CCAGTAGCATATACATGTCAAACATTTTCCTGTGATTAAATGTCCCCCAGAGGTGAAACCACCCTTCGTTAGGAACTGCCGTATTGGGGGATCTTCAGCTTTGGTGAATCCAGAGGTATGTAGAGTTTAGAAATAGCCTCGTAACATTCAAATTACAGAGCTAAAACATAGTGATACGCTACAGAGCAAAACCGACATACTCTTTGGTAAAGAAACATTTGAGATCGCGCATTGCTTCTGAAGAAGTTGGAAAGCGCTCAGGAGTCTGGCGGACCCTGAGTGAGCAGACCACACCAGAGAACTGCAGGGACCATGTGTCGTGTGTTTTAGGGGTCGTCGCCCAGAGGTCTGAGTATTAGGGCTGGTCAGGGCACCTGCAGCAGTGTTGAAATCTGTAATATTTATTTCAACACCACCTCGTCAGCTCTTTTATGTTAAAAGCATGTCACAGGTCTGTGGAGAGTAATTCTTCGGTTGTGCTTGAGAGAAAAGCAGGCTGTTTGACCATGTGGCACAGGCTTTCCTGCCTCAAGCTTAAGGGGCAGTGTCCCTCAGCTCTTACAATGGAGCATAAAGGCTCTTAAGAGATCCATTTACATACTACTGGGACCGGGCTGGGCGTGGGCCTGCTGGTACTTCCTGGTTGCAGAGCTCGCTGCTGTTCCGGGGTTGGCGCTCACTGATTTCTTTCCTCGTTTGGCCAAAATCCTATTGGTTCAAAGGGAAACTCGGCTTTGCTTCACTGATGTTACTAGCTCTAGATGGGAAGGCGTAATTTACCTTCAGGCTTTGTTGCGAAAACGCTGGGTTTACTGCCGAGAGGAGCTCTCCACATGTCCTTTGCCTTCCCTTGCTGTGATCCCATATTAAAGGGACATCTGAAATTAAGAGTCAGGTCGCATGTAAAGCAGCCTGGCTGAGGACCATTCCTAATTTTACAGTATTTCCCAGACCGGTAATTTTTTTTTTTTTTAATGTTCTATATTGACCTCTTGGACCTGATTTTCTTTTTGAGAACTAGGCAGTCTTTACTCTTTATCTAATAGTAATAGCTAACAGTTTTATTCCTTTTGTTGAGTTAACATTGGTTTACAAAATTGTATATGATTCAGGGGAATAACTAACATTTACTGAGTGCCTGCTGGACGATAAGCAGTGTGCTATGCTAGGTCCTTTATATAATTTTTCTCATTTTATCCTCATAAGCCCTGGAGGTACTAGGACTTCTTTTTTTTCTTTTAAGATTCATTTATTTATGCATACAAGAACTGGGGTACAGGCCAGAGGTGCAGGGGGTGAGAGGACTCACCAGAGACGGAGTAGGGAACAGAACAGGCAGACTGACTGGAACACTGCTGAGAGGAGCAGCAGGGAGACAGAGAGGTCTGCCTCACCATGTGGGTAGCTCCATGGCCGGGGATCAAACTCGTGCTGCAGTGGCTGCAGACTGCTTCATAGGTTGAGTCTTTTTTTTTTTGAAGAGAGATTTATTTATTTATGCATACAAGAGCTGGGGTACAGGCCAGAGATGCGGGGGTGAGAGGATTCACCAGAGACAGAATGGGGAGCAGAACAGGCAGACTGACTGAAATACACTGCTGAGGGGAGCAGCGGGTGAGACAGGAGAGATCTGCAGCGCCATGTGGGTTGCTCCCTGGCCAGCCGGGATCGAACTCATGCAGCAGAGGCTGCGGATTGCTTCATGGTGTGGTGCTTAACCCCTTGTGCCACCAGGGAGGCCCTACATACTAAGACTTCTAATGATAAAACTCAGTGACGTTAAGTAGCTTTTCCAAGGTTACACAGCTAGTGGTGGTAGAACTGGGGTTTGAACCTAGAGGCCACTGTGTTGTGCTGGTCTCACTACATAGCATAAAGAATATTTTACGTATATAAGACGCTTCTTGTAAATGAAGTGATTGTGGTCCTGGTGACCCTTCAATAAAGCAAGTTGGAGGAAAAACCTTAGGTACTAGATAAATCCTATTCCTTTTACTTACCCGATTTCTGTGAGCCATCCATTTAGTCTAATAAATAGAATGTAATTTATGAGACAGGAAATGATGTACTTCCCCAGAGTGGCAGAGAGGTCACTAGTTTCCTCAGGGACTCAAATAGAGAATGGAAAAATGACCTAGGGCCTGCGGCTGAGCGGGAGGATATAGTTTTAGAACACCTGGGAGAGAAGGTGCATGTGCTACACACATGCCAGGGAGGTATGTCTGTGCATGAAAGTGGGGATCAGATGTGACTGGCTCTCCAGGCATCGCATTTCTAAGCATTCTAAAGCGAATTCCTGAATATCCTCTTTGCTCTGTGCTGTAAGCTTTGAAAGGAACCTTACCTAGAGAATGAGGGAATGAGCTTGCCTTTTTTTTTTTTTTTTGTGGAATCCTTGTCGGTGGCCGGGGATCGAACTGGCGCTGCAGAGGCTGCGGGCAGCCTCGCAACCCAGCGCTCAACAGCTGCGCCACCAGGGGAGGCCCTTGCCTTTTTTTTTTTTGAGGATTGATTTATTTATGCATATAAGAGCTGGGGTACAGGCCAGAGGTGTGTGTGGAGGGGTGAGAGGAGTCACCAGAGTGGGGAACCGAAGTACACAGATTTACCGAAGTACACTACTGAGGGGAGCAGCGGGCCAGTAAGGAGAGTCTGCTGCTCCATGTGGTAGCTCCGTGGCCAGCTGGGGATGGAACTCAATGCTGCAGAGGCTGTGGACTGCTTCATAGGTTACATCTTAACCCCTTGCGCCACCAGGGAGGCCCTGAGCTTGCCTTCTTGATGTCTTTCATTTAAGGAAGACTCTTAATATGTCGGTGATACTTACTTTCAGACCCTGTATTGCTGAGGAGTTTCTGGAGGACCCTGAGGTCTTTTTCTATAGGAACTTGGTTTTTTTCATTGAAGCAGGTTTATTTAGATCTGCTGTTTATTGTACTTTATTTTTTAAAAGATTTATTTATTTATGCATACAAGAACTGGGATACAGGCCAGAGGTGCAGGGGGTGAGAGGATTCACCAGAGACAGAGTGGGGCGCAGAACCGGTGGATCCACTGAAATACACTGCTGAGGGGAGCAGCGGGGAGACAGGAGAGGTCTGCTGTGCCATGTGGGTCAGCTCCCTGGCCAGGGATCGAACTTGTGCTGCAGAGGCTGCATAGTGCTGAGACTTAACCCCTTGTGCCGCCAGGGAGGCCCACTGCTGCTTGTTTTAGAGTGAAGATGGGAAATCCTATGTGGAAAATAAGCCAATCTTTAAAACTTCCCCCTTAGCTGAATAAAGTATAAATTGCTTTTATTTTTTATTTTTTTAAATTTCGGTTAAAATTGATGGAGATAGGGGGCCTCCCTGGTGACACAGCGGGTTGAGTGCATTGCTGTGAAGCTGACTGCAGCCTCTAGCGCGGGTTTGATTTCTGGCCGGCCAGGGAGATTCCCACATGGCGCGGCAGACCTCTCCTGTCTCCCCCGCTGCTCCCCTCAGCAGTGTCTTCGGTCCATCTGCCTGTTCTGCTCCCCGCTCTGTCTCCGGTGAATCCTCTCACCCTCCCGCGCGTCTGACCTGTACCCCAGCTCTTGTATAAATATAAATATTTAAAAAACAAAATTGATGGAGTTAGAGACAATTATTTAGCTTTGAGAAATCTTACAGGTGCCATGCTATGTGCTATACAAAGTTTATATTTCGTGTGCAGTATTACGCTGGAGCCACGTATGCGCCTATGCTGTAATTTGCATTATGTAGCGTATTCCGGAACATAACTTACAAACCTTGGGAAATGCTCATGTGTTAACTAATTTATTCTTTAAAAAGCTCTACTTACGGTTTTTTTAAAAAAATAAATTATTTAGAACATTATTTTGGTGTGTATTGTTTTATCTTATGAACTTGATAAAGAGATCATCTTGCTTGAATTCTTCTAGTCTTTCTAAAAAACAGTTACCCAAGGAGCTTTTTTCCTGTATTAAGACATGATGTCTCTACTGGTTATGCTCTGGTCCATCAGGTGTCTGACTGAATTGGCAGGCTTCATCAATAATTCAGGCTTCTGTTTCCTACCTTCCTTCTCTTTGCTCTATCAAAGTTAAATTTATCCTGATCAGGGGCTTCACTTCTCATCCTTCCTAGTAGTCTGTAATCTCATGTGCAGGGGAGAGTAAAAAACTCAGCCACACTATCCATGCCTCGGCCGCCGCGAGCCCCTGCGTTTTATAAACATGAGTCTACAGCTGTTCTCTCTGGGTCCTTTCATATCTTAGCCGCAAAAGCAAAACAGTAGGAGGTAACCATAGTGGGCACGCTAGGGCGACATGCTTTGGGACATCCTCTTATATAATCTCTTTTCCACCTTTGCCATTTTTCTGAGCTGTGGTCCTGGAGAACATGGTGTTCCTCATGAAAGGGAAGCTGTGTCTTCTTCAGATGTCTAGGGTTGTGGTTAGGATAATGTCAAGATCATTTAACTAAAGTATAGTAATAAAAGCAAGCAGTATATGCATCGAACAATCTTTTCTGCCAGCCCCCCTGATCTCCTTGGTTGCCTGTCAGAAAAGATGGCTTTGAGACCCTCCTGTGGACCTTGGCAGTGGACTCTGGCCTGGCCTTGAGGATAAAAAACAAAAGGATGGAGAATGTTCATTGTCACGATAAAGGGCATCTTTATGGGCATCTGGCTGTCAGAGGAGGGTCCTGGGCTGGGAGTTAGGATGATGGGGCCAGCACTGGGAGAAGACTCTTCCAGGCTTGTGTTTTGGTTTTTCTCACTAACTCTTTTTACTCTCTTGTTACCGGGCAGTCTTTAAAGGGTTTCGTTTAGTTGTTGCCTAGGTTAGGCGTTCCTCTTCTCTTTTCAACCTCTTCCCTTCCCTCTACTTAGGTAGAAAAAGGGTAAGTAAATAGGTGGAGGGGAGGGGGGCATTCCCATGGTAGAAGGTTCCAGGTAATATAACTGCATTTAACCGCCAGTATTTTTTCCCCCCTCTCTCTCCCCTCCTACAGAAATGGAGGCAAACGACCATTTTAACTTTACTGGCCTTCCCCCTGCACCTGCTGCCTCAGGACTGAAACCCTCTCCCTCCTCAGGGGAGGGCCTCTACACTAACGGGTCTCCCATGAACTTCCCCCAGCAAGGGAAAAGTGAGTGTGAGGGCCGCACGGCCTGGGGAGGGACTGGGCACCGTTCCTTTAGCACAGGACAAGATGGGACAAAATTTGGCTTCCTCTGGGCTGCTGTCTCACAACAACTGTCTCTCTGCGCCAGGCGGGGAGGGAGAAAGCACTAAGTAGTCCAGCTGCCGGAGAGAAGCTGTGAAGAACACGTTTTAGAGGTCGATGAAATAAGACTTTAGTCTTGATTTAAGGCAGGAAGGTGTTAGGAAAACATCATGGCTTTTTCGTCTTGGCCTGCTCTTCTCTCAGCCCTGTTCCTGGCTACTGCCAGAGAGAGTCGCGGGCGGCTGCCACCTCCAATAACCAGGTTGTGCCCGTGAGAGCGATAACAGGCTGTTCCTCTGAAAAGTCGTTTTTTAAGGGTTTGGAACTGGGACTAGAACTGGGTGAGGGTTGGGATGTTAGTTTGTGCAGCAGAGAAGAGGGCACATGTTTGAAGTGCCTGTGCCGCCTCATGTCCTTGAAGACAGAAGATAGGGACCAGGAGAGTGGCAGTGCTTGCTCGGTTCCCCAGAAGTATCTGTAATTCCAGGCAGAGGCATTGCTGCCAGGGTTGGGTCCTTTCTGGATTTGGCTTCTCAGTTGCTCTGTAACGTGACTTTGCCAAGTACCTCTCTTGCCTGGGTTTCAGGTACTTGATGCTTGGAAGTAGAAAGAAGTCCAGATGCTTTCCTACTTCTTTGGCAGCAGAAAAACACTGCCGCACTGCTATCTTCCAGAAGGGACTTGCAGATAGAAGCTCCTTATGTCCTGGAGGATGCTCCCCCTACCCCCCAGCTTTCTTAGTATCCTTAGGATCTTTCTATTTGCCTGTCCTCCAGTCCAGAGGTTGCCACTGGGTTGAGAACTACAGTCTGCAGCACTGGTTATGCAGAGGTTTCCCTCCAGCGCCTAGGAGGAGGGGCCGAGTCCAGCCTTCTGAGCTGGGATCTTACGCTGTGGTGACTGCAAAGTCTATTCTTAGCCCAACACAAAGTGCTGGATCTGCATGTGCCAGTGAGGTGGAAGCTGTCCCTTCTGGTTCGGGTGCCACCGCGGGGCCAGACAGGCACTAGGGAAGGAAGGGTTGGGGGTGGGGTGGGGGGTTGGAGAATTCAATCACGCTGCTCCGAAGGAAGAATTCCTCTAGGGGAAGGAAGAATTCCTCTAGGGAGCGAGGGTGGGAAAGAAAGCAAGTCACTGCAGGGAGTCTGCAAGCAACTGCAGTAAAAATATTAGAAGCCCCGTGCAGCAGCCGCAGCCAGAGGCTGGCCGCTCTTGCAGTCCAGGAGAGCTCCCCGGCCCCTGCACAGCCGCCTTAGCAGTAGTTGCTAAGCCTGCATCTCGGAGCCTCTGGGTCTGGTGTTCCCTGGAGACTGAAAAGCTATAAATAGAGCAGAGGGGGAATCCCCTCCTCTTCACCTTCCCTTTTTCTAGTCAGTGCTGGTCCTTCGGTGGAGTTGGTGGAATGACTTGCATACACGTCTGTAACTGACCCTTCTCCCTCCTTCTCTGCCAGGTTTGAATGGGGATGTGAATGTTAACGGCTTATCTACTGTATCTCACACTACTACTTCAGGGATTTTGAATTCTGCTCCCCACTCCTCCAGCACCTCACACCTCCATCACCCCAGCGTGGCCTACGACTGTCTCTGGAACTACTCACAGTACCCATCTGCCAATCCTGGCAGCAACCTCAAGGACCCACCCCTTCTCTCCCAGTTTTCAGGGGGACAGTACCCACTCAACGGCATCCTTGGGGGCAGCCGACAAGCTTCATCCCCAAGCCACAACACTAACCTTCGGGCTGGGAGCCAAGAGTTCTGGGCCAACGGTACCCAGAGTCCCATGGGGCTTAACTTCGACTCACAGGAACTATATGATTCCTTTCCTGACCAGAATTTTGAGGTGATGCCCAATGGACCCCCTAGTTTTTTCACCTCTCCACAGACTTCTCCTATGTTGGGATCCAGCATCCAGACCTTTGCACCCTCCCAGGGGGTAGGCAGTGGTATCCATCCAGATGAGGCATCAGAAAAGGAGCTGACTTCAGTTGTGGCAGAGAATGGCACTGGCTTGGTAGGCAGCCTGGAGCTGGAAGAAGAGCAGCCAGGTATAACTGGGTTCATGAGCTGGGTTGGGAGAGGGTTAAAGGGGCTGTGGGGGCAGTGGCGTTTTGAGGTGAGGAAAACTTGTCTTTCCAGCTCTCTGCAGTCGAGACTGATTTGCATGTTGGTGATTAGCAGAGCCAAGTGGCTGGTGTTTTTGTGGCAGCAACACCAGCTCCGAGTGGGAGTGCAAATTATTTCAAGCTCATGCAGAGCTGCTGGCCTGGAGAGGGCAGGTGGGCGAGCCTGAAACTGCCCCAGACACCCTGCATCAAAAAGGGCTTTTTCCAAAATACAGGAAGGGGTTGGGGCATTATTAGCAGGGAGCACTGAGGCCAGTTTGACTTTGGCAGGGCCAGACTGGTGGCTAAATTGGGTTGAGGCCTCGTGGTGATGGGTGCATGAAGGAAGAAGGGAGAGCATGGCATTGCTTGTCTACTAACAGCTTCCTCTCTGGTGGTGTTAGTACGTAGCACGTTGGTACACGTGACAGTCCCGCTCATCTTTTCCCTCAAAATAAAAATTAGTTTGCTCTTGATTCTACGTATAGGGGTGACTGCCCTGTAAAGCCACCACATTTTTCTCTGTTTCACACCTCCTCCCATTGGATGGATGAAATACCTGAGAACGTGTTGAGTTCTTGTCTCAGACTCTAGTCTTCTGTCCCCTTTCTTTTCCTGCTGTAGGATTTTACCGGCACACCTCTGCTCGCTCAGAGTATCTTGGTATGATCGGTCCCCAACACAGAACTGGCGCCCCTAAATGTTGAATGAACATCTCTCTAGCAAAGACTGACTGCCTGTTGTAGCTAAGTGAACCAGTTGAGGACACTGATTTTGCTTTCCACCCTCTCCTGGGGTTTCCTAGAACTGAAGATGTGTGGCTACAATGGTTCTGTCCCTTCCGTGGAATCATTGCACCAAGAAGTCTCAGTCCTGGTCCCTGACCCCACCGTGAGCTGCTTAGATGACCCTTCACATCTCCCTGACCAGCTGGAAGACACACCAATCCTCAGCGAAGTGTCGCTGGAGCCCTTCAATACTCTGGCGCCAGGTGGGCTTGGAGACTGACTTCTTTCAGCCTGTCCTTGCAGAAGCTAGCCAGCGTCTACCACCTAGTGATAGTAAACCAGGGAAAGTATTTGGGAATGTGGGGCCTGGGGGTCTTCAGAAAATGCTGTGGCAGGCCACAGTTTCATGCCACTGGCCTGACGGGGGCCCACTGCACTCTGAGCTGAATTGGTTCATTTCCCGATTCTCTCCTAGTGTTCCTCTTGGCCAAGAGCCTTGGGCTGTAATTATTCACTGAATAGGACTTATTACCACACACTTGGGCTATTTGGATCCTCACTAACTTCGAAAGAAAACGTTTGCCAGTGAACAATTACCTTTTACCCCACTGAAATAACAAGAAAGGCCTATTTTATTTTATTTCTTTTGAAGATTTATTTATTTACGCATACAAGAGCTGGGGTACAGGTCAGAGGTGGGGGTGGGGGGGTGAGAGGCTTCACCAGAGACAGAGTGGGAAGCAGAACGGGCAGATTGACCGAAGCACACTGTTGAGGGGAGCAGCAGGCCAGACAGGAGAGGTCTGCTGCACCAGATGGGTAGCTCCCTGGCCGATTGGAGATCAAAGTCGTGCTGCAGAGGCTGCGGATAGCTTCATAGGTTATGTCTTAAGTGGTTGTGCCTTAACTGGTTGCCCCACCGTGGAGGCCCGAAAGGCCTATTTTATGATAGATGCTAGAATTTTGTATTGGCCTGTGGGTGGTTAAAGAGCCAGTTCCTTTCCCATCCTTTCCACTTGAAGCTTCTTCAGTGCCTGTAGCCTGGTGACTGCTGTTTCAGGGAGAGGGCGGGAAAGTTTAGAAAGTTTAGATTAGAAAGCACCTTTATGCTATGGGAAGTAGAGTGGATGTGTTCAGAGAGTGTTTCTTAAATTTTGCTTTTTGATTTTTCCACCCTTTAAAGAGCCAGTGAGTGGAGGGCTCTACGGTATAGACGACGCGGAGCTGATGGGTGCAGAGGACAAGCTGCCTCTTGAGGACAGCCCTGTGATCTCTGCCCTCGATTGCCCTTCCCTCAATAACACCACCGCCTTTAGTCTCCTGGCAGATGACAGTCAAACGTCAGCCTCTATCTTTGCCAGCCCCACCTCACCACCTGTCCTTGGGGACACTGTCCTGCAAGGTAAGTCAGGAAAGTTAGAACAAGGAAAGTCCTTGGCCTGGGGAAGGGTGCGAGAACAGGTTCCATATTTAGGGTCTTAGGGCGGGAAATCTGTGCGAGCACCTTGCTGGGAGCCGAGGGGCTGTGGGACGGTGGGAGTAAGAAATGCCTGGGCTGTTACACTCTGGCTTCTTCCCTGTGTCCAGAAGAACTTGTGACATTTGGAGTTTGCAGGAAAAAGGAAGCCAGAGGCTTGACTGACTCCAGGTAAAAGGTACTTCTTCACAACAATGACAGCAGCGGCTCTGCCCTTCAGCCTTCAGAATGGTCAGGGAGGACAGCCAGAGGCCACTTCTCTTTCTCCAACCCTAGGGAAAAGTCCTTGTGACTCTGCTTCACTTAGTCCAGGTTTAACTGAATAGATCCTCTTGTTCTATATGACACAATATTTCCTTTCCCCATCCTGTCCCTTTGGATTCTAGATAACAGCTTTGACCTGAATAACGGTAGTGATGAAGAACAGGAAATGGAGACTCAGACTTCCGACTTCCCACCACCTCTGACCCAGCCAGCCCCTGCCCAGTCATCTATTCAGCTACATCCTGCGGCCTCCCCGGCAGTCTCTCCAGCAGCCTCCCCGGCAGTCTCTCCAGCAGCCTCCCCAGAAATCTCTCCAGAAGTTTCCCCAGCAGTTTCTCCAGCAGCCTCCCCGGACATCTCTGTAGCTGTCTCCCCAGCAGCCTTTCCAGCGGCCTCTCCAAATTCCTCAGCAGCCCTCTTGCCAGTCTCCGCAGAAGTCTCCTTGACGGCCTCCCCGGTGACCTCCCCCAAAGCAACCCCTGCAGGTTCCCCAGCAGCTGTCTTCCCAGCAGTCTCCGCAGCAAAAAAGGATGGCAGCCCCTTTCCTGAAACCACTGCTGGCCTCGAAGAGATCCCTGGAGCAGGAGTCCTTGCTTCTGGTGGTGGTGAGTGCCCCATTCCAGGGAGTTTCTTTCTCTGTGGCACTTAGCCCTTCCCTACCCTGTTCGCCTGCCTATTGCTCAATGTTTGGCTTGAACATTTAACTTGGTGTCCCCTGTCTTCATTCATCCAAGGTGATGTCCTGAGGAGACGTATTGCTACCCCAGAAGAAGTTCGTCTTCCTCTCCAACATGGGTAAATGCTTTGGTTTGTTACATGCGTTGACCTGCACAAGTTTCAGGAGTGTTGGAGGGGAACCCCTCAATCTAAAATGGGGAAGACCAGGCTAGGCAGAACAGGTTCAAGGACAGTTGCGCTTCTCAGATGGGATTTCCAGGCCTGCCTGCCTCTCAGGGTCTGCCTCTCCTCACCTCCTCTGTCCTCGTCTGTGACCACCTCGTCCTGCTCAAGGGGCTGCAGCTATCACCTCTTCAAACCCAGCTGGTGATCCTAGGGCCCGGATCCAGAACAGCTGGCTTGTCCTGTGTGATCAGAAATGTGTCCTGCAATGCATAGCCGTGAAGAGGGGCATGGCTTAGTCCCAGTGAATTGTTGGTTTTTTGTTTGTTTTTAAACAATTTTCTTTGAAGAGGCAAGGACAGTAACAGTACATGACTGGAAGGAACTAGACAGCTGACACCAAGGGCCTTACGGGAATGACTGCGTTGCTGATTTTCCCCGCCCCTGTAGGCTACTCTGAGTTCTGCTTAAAGTTTTGAGAGAAAGAAACATAGGACTTAGTCTTAGAGTAATCTGTTGCTCAGAACAGTTACTAAAACCTGACCTACTAAGTCCTTTCATGGAGGCAGCAGCAAATTTACTCTTCTGTTTGCCTCCCCCTGCCCTCTCCTGCCTGTCCTCCTCACTGGAAATGCAGCAGTTGTCCCGACTGGCATTAGAGAAGGGATTTCTGACTGCTGTCTCACTGACTTGAAGTGATGGGTCCAACTCCCGGGCCCATTGGGTGTGTGAATCTCAGGCCTGTTTTCTGGCCAAGCATGCGTCTCATGCAGAATTTGCATCTGCATGCAGTTCTAGTGGGAGAGTCCTGGGGAAATTCGTTTGCTTACTGGGCGTGGCTCCTGGCTGGCTTGAGAGTGGGTAGGGGTGTGACCTGGCGGCAGGGCCCATGTGCTTCTCTGGCAGGTGGCGGAGAGAGGTGCGCATCAAGAAGGGCAGCCACCGCTGGCAGGGGGAGACCTGGTATTATGGCCCCTGTGGGAAGAGAATGAAACAGTTCCCAGAAGTGATCAAGGTAAATGCAGCTTTCATGGACTTGTTTTAGGGACTCGTAGTCTCCTTTCTTGGGTCCAGTGATCACACGCTGGCGTTGTTCTGGTCTAGGGCCTGTGCTGCTTGTGCTGTTGGTGGTCAGCAGCATGGTAGGACCGATGGCATTAATGCCGCTTTGCCTCTTCCTCTTAGTACCTGAGCCGCAACGTGGGGCACAGTGTCCGCCGGGAGCACTTCAGCTTCAGCCCGCGTATGCCTGTTGGAGATTTCTTTGAAGAGAGAGATACACCAGAGGTGCAGCCCCAAGGGTTAAATGTTTTTGTTCCTGAGAAAGGGTTTGTGGATAAGCTGCAGCTTCCTCTTGTGGGATTTGAAGGTTTGGGGTGTGGAGTAGTTCAGAGGGCCTGCTGCTTGCACTGACTCCTTGCTGTACTGAAGTCTTCCTCCCTGCCCTAGGGCTTGCAGTGGGTCCAGCTCTCCGCAGAGGAGATCCCGTCCAGGATTCAGGCAATCACTGGGAAACGAGGCCGACCTCGAAACACAGAGAAGGCTAAGACCAAGGAAGTCCCCAAAGTGAAACGGGGCCGCGGTCGGCCCCCCAAGGTCAAAATCACTGAAATGAATAAGACAGAAAATCGCCTCCTAAAGAAACTGGAGGCCCAAGGTACAGTGGTGTTTCTTTGGGACTCTGCTCAGTGTCTTAATTATATTTGGGGAACCCGGAGCACAGCTGACACGATGTGGCCAGAAGGAATCTGAATCCCCTTCTCCTTCCTGGGTGGCAGCATCAGGGTCCCGGTGCTTGCTTCTTGGCACTTCTTAAACCGCCGCTTTCCTCCTTGAGTTGCTCTTGCTAGTGGAGCCCTGGGCTGTCCCCAAATGTAATCGAGTAGCCCAGAGGTGAGGGCCGTGTCTTCGTCTTCGTCCCACCGTCTCTCTGTTCCTTATCTTGCTGGTTTTGGTGGTGCACGCGTTACCATCACCACAGAGGTCCAGCGTTCACATCTGAAGCCAGGAGATAACGGTCACTGTTCTAGTGGGATAAGCAGGAGCTGGCCAGTTTCTTCCTGTACATGTTGCGCTTTCCCCGATACAGCATAAAGACTTGGAAAAAATTGGGCGTCTTCTCACTCATACTCAGAGCTGCAGCTCTGCCACTTTCTGACTGTCAGACCTGCAGCGAGTCGCTTAGCATATTCGTAGAAGCCTCCAGTGGCTCATCTGCGGCTACTCTCCGTCTCTCACAGAGAGACACACAGCGTGGTGGTCCCGTCCTGGGCCAGAACGGAATCGTGCCGTCATCATCAGAAACAGCAAATGTAAAGCACTGTTGTTTGCAAAATCACGCTTAGTTTTTCCCCAGGGGAAACATGTCAGTCTTTCCGCGCAGCGAGACATGTAGTGGCTGCGCAGGAGCAGGGGCAGCGTTGGACCCGTCTGTAGCTTGTGCTCTCGGCAGGTGCCCTGGGGGAGAGGCGGGCCACGGGGCTGCTTTGCCATGGTGGCCTCTGAGGCCCCTTCTACAGCAGCCGGGTCTGTACCAGGATGATTCTAGGCAGGACAGACGACCCGAGTTCCTCTTGCTGCCCCGGTAGGAGTTCCTCCCTATCCCTCCCACCCCGGCGCTGTATTATCTTCACTTAAGGAAAACTTCAGATGCTTCCGGAGCTGCTCGGGGAGACCTTGGCTTTGCGACAGCCGCGCCGCTCTGAGGCCGGGCGTTGACCTGCCTCCTTCCCTTCCTTTTCCTTTCTGCCCTTACAGAAACACTGAATGAGGAGGATAAAGCCAAGATGAGTAAAATCAAGAAGAAGATGAAGCAGAAGGCACAGCGGGGAGAGTGTCCGACTGCTCTCCAGGGGCAGGTGAGAGGCGGCAGCGATGACCGCGCGGGTTAACTTGGCCGATAACCTGCTCCGTCCTTCCTCCCCGCGCCTGCTTGTCCCGGCGTGGCACACGCCTTCGGGCGCGCTTGGAAAGTTTTGGGGTTTGATTTGGAGGAAAAAAAAAAAAACTGGGGGCATCTCCAGGATGAGAGTGGATCCATTGCCAACCCCTCACTCCGTCTCTCGCCTCTCCTCCCCAGCGCCCTTGTCTGTGTTTGAATCCTAGCCCAGGCAGAGATGCTTTCAGAGTTTGAGGAGAAATGACTTCCCTTATGGTTTACAGGCCAGAAACAAGCGGAAACAAGAAAACAAGAGCTTAAAGCAGAAAGAAGCAAAGAAGAAATCCAAGGTAGGTGCATGTACGCGCAGGTGTGACTTCGAGGTCTCCAAACTGATTTTGCCAGCTGTGTGCGTCGGTCTGTCTTTAGAGTCGTGTTTCTGGGCCCTGAGGTTGGGAGGATGCGGACCGGACCGGGAACGATGGTGACTGGAATCTTCATGATGCTCTTGGTTCCTCTCCCTTGGTGTGGGCAGGCTGAGAAGGAGAAGGTGAAGACAAAGCCGGAAAAATCGAAGGACAAGGTGAAGAAGGAGAAGAAAGAGAAGGTGAGAGTGAAGGAAAAGGAGGAGGCGGCCAAAGCGAAGACAGCCTGTAAAGACAAAACTCTGGCCGCGCAGAGGCGCTTAGAGGAGCGCCAGCGGCAGCAGATGATCTTGGAAGAGATGAAGAAGCCCACGGAGGACATGTGTCTGACTGACCACCAGGTAGCGAGGGGGGCGTGACAGGTCCTGGGTCCTTCGGGGCCACTTGCAAAGACCTTTCTCCTGAAGGAGGACCCGCCTGGCTATCTCGTCTGCTGACAGAACCCCTCGCGCTCTGTTTCTGCAGCCCCTGCCTGAGTTCCCACACATCCCAGGTCTGATCCTTCCCAGTGGGACCTTCTCAGACTGCCTGACCATCGTGGAGTTCCTGCACAGCTTCGGCAAGGTGCTGGGCTTTGACCCTGCCAAAGACGTGCCTAGCCTGGGGGTCCTGCAGGAGGGACTCCTGTGTCAAGGCGATAGCTTGGGCGAAGTGCAAGATCTGCTGGTGCGGCTGCTGAAGGCTGCGCTCTATGACCCGGGCCTGCCCTCCTACTGCCAGGTGAGCTCCCTCCCAGGCAGGCGGCCAAAGCCTGGCACCTCACGCTTCTGTCTCAGCTGTGCTGTCTCCTCACGTGCAATACCCAAAGCCCTGGAAAGTGGTCAGGGCCGGTGGCGGGAGATTGTTTCGTAGGGTGGTTGGTTTTTTTCCCCTTCTGTTTCTTTTTCTTGACTTGCCTCTTCATGTTGTGTTCTTTTTTTTTCCACCTTCCTTTGTCTTGTCCTAGCAACTTCCATTCTTTTCTTTTCCTGTCTTCGCCCCATAGTGCCGTCCCACTGTGTTTTCCTCTTCTGGGTTCGCCCAACTTCTTGTCCCTTAGTCCCCTGACTCCATGATGCTCTCCTCCAAACAGTCCTTAAAGATCTTGGGGGAGAAGGTGTCGGAGATCCCACTGACGAGAGACAACGTGTCTGAGATCCTGCGTTGCTTCCTCATGGCATACGGAGTGGAGCCCGCCCTGTGTGACCGCCTGCGCACGCAGCCCTTTCAGGCCCAGCCACCCCAGCAGAAGGCTGCTGTCCTGGCCTTCCTGGTCCATGAGCTCAACAGCTCCACCCTCATCATCAAGTGAGGAGCTGGGGTGGGAGTGGTGGTTTTCTGCCTTGGTCCCAGCGGATGAGGGGAGCGGGTAGCTGTCCAGAAGGCCAGTAACGTGCCCTCTGCTAGACTCCGGAGACGCCGGCGTGGCTGGGGGCTGAGTCTCACCGCCTTCCCAGGGGAAGACCCTAAGCCTTCCTCTGCCGTTCCTTCAGCTCTAGGCTGAAACTCGGTTCAGCTGCAGCCCTTTCATCCTTGAACCTCCCTTTTGTGTGCGTGTCACTTACACCTCAGAGTCCCGTTCCCTGTTCTCCTGCAGTGAGATCGACAAGACTCTGGAGAGCATGTCCAGCTACCGGAAAAACAAGTGGATTGTTGAAGGCCGGCTCCGGAGGTAGGGGCCGCGCCTGCGCAGCGCAGAGGGACGGAGAGGGGGTGAAACGGCCACTGCTGCTGCCCGAAGCTCCGCGCCTTCACTTCCCCTGGGGCGGGGCTCCTCCCCCGGGCTCAGGACGGCGGGGCCCCCAGGTCTTCCTTTCGTGCCAGTGTCACGTTCCTCGCCGTCGATTCCCTCGTCTCTTGTCTGTTTCAAGACTGAAAACTGTCTTGGCGAAGCGAACTGGGAGGCCTGAGGTAGAGCTGCAAGGGCCAGAGGAAGGCCTGGGGCGGAGGCGCAGCTCTCGCATCATGGAGGAGACCAGCGGCGTGGAGGAGGAGGAGGACGAGGAGGAGGCCGCCGCCGCCGCCGCCGGCCGCAGGGGCCGCAGGGACGGAGAGGTACCGGGCCCGGCCCAGGGACGCGGGAGCGGACGCCGGTCTTCTCCCGGGTTTGATCGTGCCCTTTGCCTCCGTGTGCGCTTGCCTAGGTGGATGCCGCCGCCTCCAGCATCCCCGAGCTCGAGCGCCAAATAGAAAAACTTAGCAAGGTACTGCCGGCCTCCCGGGAGCTGGGCGCTGGCGGCGGGCGCGGGCCGGAGCCTTTGGGCTGGGTCCGGGTGGGGGGGATGGGGGGGTGGGCGGGGAAGGGGGGGCGGGCAGGCAGCGAGAGCGGCCGTCCTCCCGCCCACTGGAGGGCGCCGCCGCCGTCCCTTTAGGTTAATTTGCTTCTCTTGCTCGCCCAGCGCCAGCTTTTCTTTCGGAAAAAGCTGCTTCATTCATCCCAAATGCTGCGGGCTGTCTCCCTGGGTCAGGATCGCTACAGACGCCGCTACTGGGTGCTGCCCTGCCTGGCTGGTGTGTTCGTGGAAGGAACAGAGGGGAGCTTCGGTAGGTGTATGGTGGGCGCCAGGATCGCGTCCTTTGTAACAAGTTTAAAAATGCCCTGTGCTCTCCCGGCCGTGCTGGCTTCCCTCGCGGCAGGAGAACGGGAGCAGCGCGCTGGGGCCGAGCGCAGAGGCCCGCCCGGCCGCTCTGGCGCTCTGGCGGCGTGTGTGAGACCGAGGAAGTCGTCGTGCGTGCGCTTCATGGGACGGCTGGGAGAATTAAAGTGACTCTGCTTCTTAACAGACACTAGCCTGGGCTGCCGCTGCTGCCGTGGGAGACCAGCGTTTCCCAGACACTGTTCATACTATACAGCTCGCTGTTCCAGGGGAATCTAAAAAGGGGGGGGGTGGCCCTTCCTGGTGGCGCAGGGGGTTAAGTCTCAGCACCATGAAGCTGTCCGCGGCCTCTGCAGCACGAGTTCGATCCCCAGCCAGGGAGCAACCCACATGGCGCAGCAGACCTCTCCTGACTCGCCCGCTGCTCCCCTCTGCAGTGGATTTCAGTCAGCTCCCCGCTCTGTCTCTGGTGAATCCTCTCACCCCCATACCTCTGGCCTACGCCCCAGCACTTGTCTGCATAAATAAATTAAATAAATCTTAATAAAAATAAAAAAGGGGGCCTCCCCAGTGGCGCAGCAGTTGAGCGCTGGGTTGCGAAGCTGCCCGCGGCCTCTGTGGCGCCGGTTCAATCCCCGGCTGCTCCCCGGCCACCGGAGCAGGGTCCCACATGGCGCGCAGACCTCTCCTGCCGCCCGCTGCTCCCCTCAGCAGTGTACTTCGGTCCTTCTGCCTGCTCTGCTCCCCGCTCTGGCTCTGGTGAATCCTCTCACCCTCCCGCGCTTCTGACTCTACCCAGTGCTTGTATAAATAAATAAATAAATCTTTTTTTAAAAAAAAAAAAGGGAGGGAGGTTACGTCCAAGAGAAAAAGTACGCATCTTGCCTGTACCCCCTTGTTTCCCATATGGATCAGCAGGTCTTAAGCTCTTCATTTCCCTTTACAGTTCCTGAGGCCGTGACAAAGCCAGAACCTGACGTGAAAGCGGCAGCCCACCCGACACCCAGCACAGCCTCTTTCTCTCGGAAGAGGGAGTCGGCTAGCTCCAGCACCTCGGCCAGTTCTCCTGCCCGGGCCCGAGGCCGACCTCGGAAAACTAAACCTGGGTCTTTGCAATCTAGGCACCTTAACCCCCCCGTCAGGGGCCAGGATTCAGAAGAGCCTCAGGCCCAGCCTCAGCTGGAGACTCAGCCTGGCCCTCACATTCAGGCTCAGCCCCAGCCCCATGCTCAGCCCCAACTGCAGCCTCAGCCCCATAATGGGTTCCTGGAGCCGGAGGGCTCCCCTTTATCTCTGGGTCAGAGCCAGCATGACCTCAGTCAGTCAGCCTTCCTGTCTTGGCTGAGCCAGACGCAGAGCCATGGCTCCTTACTGAGTAGCTCAGTGCTCACCCCTGACAGCAGCCCCGGAAAACTGGACATGGTCCCGTCACAGCCGCCGGAGGAGCCGGAGCCTGACGAGGCAGAATCCAGCCCTGATCTGCAAGCTCCCTGGTTCACCTTCTCAGCCCAGACGCCCTGCAATGCTGTCCCGACACCACCCCCTGCGGTCACAGAAGACCAGACCACGCCCTCCGCCCCCCTGCCTGCCTCTTCCAAGCCAGTACGTGGCCTGCGCTTGATTTCATCTTGCCGCGGGCTTCAGTGGCTGGCCGTGGGTCGTTGCAGTGACCAACCCTCACCCCCCTGGGTCTCGTCTCATTCACAGGTGAACAGACCCAGCGCTGCCAACCCCCGAACTCCCGTGCCTCCCTCTTCTTCTCCCTTGCCGGGGGTGGCACCTAAGAGGCGAGCAGGAGAGTCTGGAGAAACAACACCGAGTTCCACAGGGCCAGGACAGCCAAAGCGAAGAGGAAGACCCCCCAGCAAGTTCTTCAAACAGATGGAGCAGCGTTACCTCACCCAGATGACAGCCCAGCCTGTGCCCCCTGGTGAGGGACTGTGGGGTAGAGAGGGGGTAGCTATGGCATCACGTGTGAGCCCTGTGATTGCAGCTGCTTCCCACGCCTTATCCCAGGTACATAAATTCTGTTTACAGAGATGCGCTCAGGTTGGTGGTGGATCCGAGATCCTGAGACATTAGAGGCTGTGCTCAAGGCCCTGCATCCCCGAGGCATTCGGGAGAAGGCACTTCACAAGCACCTCAGTAAGCACAGGGATTTCCTACAGGAAGTTTGCCTGCGGCCTTCAACTGGTAAGCTCAGTTCATCCCTTGACCCAGCCTGAGCTGCAAGAGCTGGGGATCGCTGTCCACTTGCTGCTCTGGGCTGCAGGGCCTTCCCCTCTGTCTTCTGTCTTCTCAGATCCCATCTTTGAGCCAAGTCGGCCACCTGCCCTTCAGGAAGAGGCTCTGAGCTGGTCCTCCAGAGAGAAGACATACGAGACAGACCTGGCGGTGCTTCAGTGGGTCGAGGAGCTAGAACAGCGGGTCATCCTGTCTGACCTGCAGATTCGGGTACACTGGGGCTGGCCCTTGGGAAGTTACTGAGGGGAGGGGCGTAACTTCTGGTATCCTGCTAGAAAAATCTTCCTGTGACCCTAAGTGGGTCACCTACATTTCTATGCTTCATTCACTTCCTTTACGGTGCGTTTTATTCCTCTCTCCCACCTGCAGGGCTGGACGTGTCCTAGTCCAGACTCCACCCGTGAAGACTTGTCCTACTGTGAGCATCTCCCGGACTCCCAGGAGGAGATCCCCTGGAGAGGGAGAAGCAGGGACGGGCTGGCACCCCAGCGTCAAACGACCAACCCTCTAGACCTGGCCGTGATCCGACTGGCTGCCCTGGAGCAGAATGTGGAGCGGCGGTACCTGCGGGAGCCTCTCTGGCCAGCTCACGAGGTGGTGCTGGAGAAGGCCCTGCTCAGCACGCCCACGAGTGCCCAGTGCCCTGCGACGGAGATGTGAGTGCCCCTTCGCCACCAGCACCGTTCTTGGTCTCTGGGAGAAGGGATCACTCCCTTCTGGGATGGATCCTGCTCCTTATCCGAAGGTCACCACTTTTTCCCTCCAGATCCTATGAGATCACCCCTCGAATTCGGGCCTGGCGCCAGACGCTGGAGCGGTGCAGGAGCGCAGCCCAGGTGTGCCTGTGCCTGGGCCAGCTGGAGAGGTCCATTGCCTGGGAGAAATCCGTCAACAAAGTGGTAAGAGGCTGCAGAGCTCGGGAAGCCGGAGCCGGGGCTGGGGGGGTGGTGGTCGCGGCAGGCAGAGGCTCAAGGACTCACGTCGCCTCCTCCTAACCTTGGTCCAGACCTGTCTCGTCTGCCGGAAGGGCGACAACGACGAGTTCCTTCTGCTCTGCGACGGGTGTGACCGTGGCTGCCACATCTACTGCCATCGGCCCAAGATGGAGGCTGTCCCCGAGGGAGACTGGTTCTGTGCTGTGTGTCTGGCCCAAGTAAGGCGCGCTCCTCCCCACCCCTGACGGGAACGAGGGGTTTCGTCCTGCCTCTCGAGCCGCCCGTGCTGCAGAGGCCCCGCTCGGCCCTCAGGCCCCTCGCAAAGAGCGGCGAGGCCTGGGTTCTGCTGCTCCTCGGCACGGGTCGCTTGGACTCTCTCCTCGGCGCCTCTCCCCCGTAAAGCGGGGCGACGAGCCTTCTCTTTGCCCCGCCTTGGTTGGGTTTCATGAGTCATTTCTCCTGCTGGCTTATGGGTGGAAGCCTCAGTTGCGAGGAGGAGCCGGCGGCGGCGGGAGGGCAGAGTCTCCCCGGCTGATGTCGCCCCTTCCCGGTTCCCAGCAGGCGGAGGGGGAGTTCACCCAGAAGCCGGGTTGCCCAAAGCGCGGCCAGAAGCGGAGAAGCAGCTGCGCGCTGAGCTTCCCGCAGGGGGACGGCCGCCGGCGCCGGGTCCTGTCCAGGGGCCGAGAGAGCCCCGCGGTGCCCCGGTACTCAGAAGAGGGGCTGTCCCCCTCCAAGCGCCGGCGGCTCTCCATGCGCAGCCACCACAGTGATCTCACCTTTTGCGAGTGAGTGAATCTGGGGGACGGCGGGCGCTCCGGGAAGGGGGCCGCGTGTCTGGCTCCCGGGATGCAGCCCCCGCCGTCGTGTCGCGACAGGATCATCTTGATGGAGATGGAGTCCCACGACGCGGCCTGGCCCTTTCTGGAGCCCGTGAACCCGCGTTTGGTGAGCGGCTACCGGCGCATCATCAAAAACCCTATGGATTTTTCCACCATGCGGGAGCGGCTGCTCCGGGGAGGGTAAGTGGACGCCAGCGGCTCCCCGCTCCTTGGCCGGCCCCCCTGCCCTCCCCGCCCCCACCCCGCCCTCACGGCGCCGTCCCACCCCCACCCCCCACCCCCAGGTACACCAGCTCGGAGGAGTTCGCGGCGGACGCGCTCCTGGTCTTCGACAACTGCCAGACCTTCAACGAAGACGACTCCGAGGTGGGCAAGGCCGGGCACATCATGCGCCGCTTCTTCGAGAGCCGCTGGGAGGAGTTTTATCAGGGAAAACAGGCCAGTCTGTGAGGCCGGGGAGGCGGGTGTCTCCGCGGCGTCTCCCGCCCCCGCCTCTCCATGAGCAAAATAACCTGCCGTCCTCGCCTGCTGACGCCGCCCCGGGCCAGGCGCGGGCCTGGAAAGCCCCATCCCTGGCCCGGGCGGCGACCCCGTCCTCTCCTCGGCGCCTCGCGGGAGGGGGCCGAGAGGAGGCCCTTTTGGACTGAAAGCCAAAAAAGTTTTTTCCTTTGTTTCATTTTCTAATTGAAAACGAGGCAGCGGCGAGGAGCCGCCTCCCTCCTCCCCGCTCCCCCGCCCCCCCTGCGCGCCCCCGCCCCGGGGCCGGTTACCAATAGCAATAGTCCTAGTGAATGTGCGAAACCGAGAAACACTCTGTACTGTGCGCGGCCCCGCGGCGACGGCCAGTCAAGTGGACTTAACTCCCAGGTGTGTCGAGCCGGACACCGGGCCCTGAACATGCTGCTTCCATGTTCAGTCCCTCCCCTGCTTCTCGCCCCCCCCCCTCCCGCCCCGCCGCCGTCCTCGCATCCGACGATGTAAACTCTCTTGTACGGGTTCCCCCTCCTTTCTTCTTTCCCCCGATCTCTTTTCCCCTCCGGGGAAAAAAAATGACGAGGTCCCTGTCTCTCTCGCTGTCCTCTTCCTGCCCGCAGCTCGCCCTTGTATAGCGGTGGATGCTCCTCACAAGCTGAGTTTCTGGCCTTCTTTGAAACTCAGGAGCTGGGGAGGGCAGGGAGGCGCCCTGGGCCCCCGGCCTCCTTCCCCACCTCTCACCCAAACCTCCCTCTTGGGAACTCCTCAGGGACAACTACTGCTGAGTTTGGGCGCACCCCAAGATGGAGGCCAGGGAACAATCGACTGGCCTCAGAGAGGTGTGTGTGTATGTGTGTGTGTGTGTGTGTGAACGCGTGTATGTGTGTGTGCGTGCAAGGCCGCTGTGATGGCGCCCCTCTTGTTCGGTGGCATCCAGTTCCCCCGAGTACTTGTTGCTAGGCCCACCTCTCCCGTTGTTGTAAACGATCCCATGTTGTCGGTGGGAAACCGCAGGAACAGTTTTTCTGGGTACCAGGCTGTGTCTCCCCCCGTCTCTCCCGGTCATTTCTGTTCCAGCCTCTTCAAACTGTGCAATCCTTCAGCAGGAGCCTCGCCTTTCAGCAGCTTCGGGCGTTGAGCTTGGGAAGGGAGAGGCCAGAACTGGATCTTCTCCTGTCCCGGGCGCCCCTGTGGATGCAGCGGCGCTTTCCTTCCCTTTCCCAGTAGCAGAGGCCCCGGAGCGCGAGGGAGCAGGGGGAGGGGCTCTGGGGCCACCACCGCCCCGCCTGGGACGGCCCGGGTTCAGCCCCCACACGGGCGGGCGAGGGCGAGGAGAGCTGCTAACGCCCTGCGCCCTGCTCGAGCCATGGGCTCCTGCCCCCTGCTTTCTTGCCCAGCAGAGCCCTCCCGCCAGAGATACGGGTACTTGCACTGGGAGGCGGCTGCTGGCGGCCCGAGCAGAGCAGAGCGCAGAGACGCCCAAGAAATGTTCCGGGGGGTGGGGGGGGGGTTGCCAGGCGAGGCGGGAGGTGGAGCCTCCCCGTCCCTGGCAGCACTGAAGAGCCACTGAAGGGGGCGGGGCGGCGTCGGTCCTGGGGAGGCCCCTTTCCTATTCCTTTCTGCCCCCTCCCCCGTAGCCTATTTCTAAAGTCGCCTTTTCTGTCAGATAAACCTCAAAACTTTTAATTTTATTTGAGATTTTTGTTTTGCTTTTAAATAAGAGGTGGATTGAAGAATATTTGAATTGACTTTATATTATGCATAAATATTTATATTTTATCTAAATAACTGCGCTGTAACAAACTTTGTGTTAGACGTTTGGGACCGTCATAGCTGGGGGCGCCTCTTCTCCCCGCCGGCGCCCCTGCATAAAGCGTACTAGAGATTAATTTTATTGTCGCAGGTGAGCTGGGCCGGGGGAGGTGAGATGCGCCTACCCCTGCTTTGTGTTCCTCTCCCGGCGCCATCTCCTGCCCTTGGGACCAGGCTCGCGGCGTGGGGTGGAGGCCTGACCTCAGTTGGAAGGAGTGGGGGCCGAGGGGGGTGGGTGCAGGGCGTGATCCAAGGGGCCATTTCTCACTTTTCTTTCCTCATCTTCACCGCCCCTTGAGCTACGAGGCAGGTGACCCACCCTGCCCCTCGTTCCCGCCTCTCCCCCCCCCGCCGTCTGGCAGCAGGAAGAAACCACCGTCAACACCCACAAGTTCCCGTGCTCCTTGTACAACAAAAGGGACTTGACTTTTTATATAACCAAATGTGGTGTTTTAGTGACTTTTTGATAATGTACAGTTTTTTGTGAATTTAAATTTATTTCTTTCTATATTTTTAGGACCAATCTCATTTTTAATAAGGTTTAAAAAAGGAAAAAAAATCTAGAGGAAAAAAAACTGTTTTTGCCATGTGATGTCCCACAAGTGCAGCTGTAGAAAAGTGCTTGTCAGTTGAATAAAAACCACATTTGATAGAGATTCAAAAGACTGTGCATTTTTATCTTCCTCCAGTGTGAGCGCTCACACAGGCCGGCGTGGGGAGGGGGCCTAGGTGTTGCTGGGGGAGCAGCACCCGCTCATCCCTGACCCTCCAAAGCATGGCCTTGGCCTGTGCGAGGTCCGCGGAGCCAAATTCCCGCCTCAGGCCCGCTGCGCGAGGATGAGAGGCGGCTCCCGGCCAGGCGCCGGCGCAGAGCAGGGCGCAGCGCGCCCAGCACCTGTCTTAGGCGGCCTTGGCTTCCTAAGCTGCCACCTGTCACCGCAGCCTGGGCCTGTCTCCAGCTCGCTGGTTCCTCCCACCAGTGAGACGCTGGGAGGTGGCCTCGGTGTTTTACGTCATAAAGTTTCCAAGGCAAATCCCCTGTTGCAGGGAAGGAGCACGAGAACACCAAGGGTCGGAAGATCAGCCGCCGGGGTGGCACTGGCACAGACTTTTCCTGCGCAGGGCGTTCAGTAACGCAAGAGGGCGCTCGCCACCCAAAAGGGATGGGTGTTGGGGGACAGGAGCACCGGTAATGGGGTGAGGACTTCCCTCGAGCTGGGAAATCTTAGCCCACGAACATATGCACACACACCCCTGCCCCCTACCCCCCCCCCCGCTGGAAGTTCTGTTCTCGTGAACCCCCTTAACAGGAACGAGGTAGAGAAAACATCTGCTTTGCAGCCCTAGGAAAACCTCGACGCTCGCCTACCTTCTCCGGGCAGCCGCTAGCCCGCGCGCAGCCTCCAGTCCTTAGCTCTGCTCCAGAACGGGCGTGCCTGCGGGCGGCTCCAGGCAGGGTAGCCAAGGCGGTCAACGTCCTCCATGTCCGGCCTACCAGAGCAAGACCTAACAGAGGCGCTCGCATGATTCTTGGGTGCTTAGTGAGAGAAGTGTTTTGGACGATTAGTGAAGGAAGTATTCCAAAGCACACATTCCAGAAATAGAAATAACCAGAAGAGTTTTTGCATTTGATCATGACTCCTCCCCTTTCTAGCCCCCAACTTCCTACCCACAAGAAGGGAAAGACAATAAAGGAAAGTAACCAGGTGTACGTGCCCTTGCAGAACTAGTGCAATTGTGAGGAAGGCAGAGCTGGAACAAGGACAAGGATGTTCTAGGCTACGCTTAGAGAATGAAGGTTTATTCCAAACAAATAGATACAAGCCGGGGAAAAGCTGTGGTAACTGCCTAGCTTTTTCATTTCTACAGTGTGTGTGTGGGGGGGGGGCACTCTGAGAAAGATGCAGCTGAATCTGCAAAGATCAGAAGGGTGATAGAGCTCACAGGCCAGCCTTTGCCACTGAAGGAAAACCCTCTTACCAAAGGAAGCTGAGTACACAGGAGGGGTCTACTCATGCTTGGAAGGACCTGAAACATAGGTAGCGCGGAAGTGGAGAGGCTTCCAGGGGAATCAAGGATAATCTGAAAAGGGCACAAGAGTTAAGACCCAGGTCTGCAAGAGCAGCTCTATCACATCACCCTCTTCTCCGAAGTTGGTCTAGCAGAGCCTGGGAACAAGTCTGAGCCTGCTCCAGAACCCAGGTTTCTCGCCCTTGGGTAAGGTCAAAGCAGAGCCTCATGCGTGCAACGCTGCCAGCGTGCCAGAAGGTGGCGCACAAGCTCAAGTGCGGGGCAAGGATTCTTTTCCTAGAAGCAGATCCCCACAGTTAGGGATCCCTGCACCACTCCAGCAAGGCCTCTCAAGCACCTTCATGGTACCAAGAAACCACCCATTTGCAGGCCCCAAGTGCTGACAGTGAAGCAGCAGAGACTGCACCGCAGGCGCCAGGGAGTGTATGAGGTCACTGGTGAGTTAAGTTAGGAAAAAGGAAACAAGGCTGAGGTGGCTCCAGGCAGGAAAGGAGCAGCAAAGTCTAATCTCCACCCTCAGGGCAATCCCTCCCGCCGCCCTGCCCATTGCTGACCTCTTCAGCACCACCAGGCTTCCTAGTCCGACCCACTCTTCAAATTCTTTGGTTAAGAGCACTCTCCTCATCCCGGAGTCGGAGTATGATCTCAAGAGGATGAGAAGAGCAGGACCAACGCTGGCAGGAGATGGGACAGGCAGGCTCTGGGCCTCGTAAAGGATGATGCCACCTGAGGAGGGACTTTGGGGTGGTCTATTTGACTAAAAACAGAAAAACACGAAGTACTGAACTGTTCTAAGAAAGCTCTGAGCCCCTGCCATGCGCGGGGGTGAGATGTGAAGGACACAGAACACGGTCGAGGCTACCCGAAGATATTCAGGAAACACGAGGCTGCTCGAGGGGTCCTAGGGCGCTGAGAGGGAAGACCTCCCCCCCCCCCTTACTGCCCTGTCACCACTGCCTCCCGTTGGCTACTTCCTGGGAACAGTAACCCTCATTCTTCCTCCTTTTTCCCGTCACTCACCCACGTTATGAGTGGTTAGAAATGGGATAACAACTAAAGGGAAAATATCATGAACATAACCCAGAAGCAACAGCCAGAAACCACCACAAAGTAACTCCGTTCCCCACCGCAGCCCAAGCCCAAACCTGCCCAAACTGGAAATACTCACGAAGATTCACAAAAAGCACACACACAAAAAGGTAACTTCAGAATTTAAAACAAAACAAAGCAAAATCACAGCCACTTAAACTGTAAAAATACAGAGAAAACAGACAAAATCAGACGTGTGGAAGGCAGAGAAACGGCAGTCAGGAGATCGAAGCCTGCTCGTGACAGGCCCCGCCGCACCCAACCTAACAGAAAGGCTAGCCCCAACCACTCTCAGCCAAATGGAGAGGATTCCAGATTTGTTCTCTTTTTCTTCAAGGTCAGCAATAAGAAATCTATGGGACACTTTCTTGACTGAAGGCTGGAGACTCAGAAACAACCGCTTCCTGCCCGGCCAGCCCCTCTAGAAGGTTACGGGGCTTGGGGCTGTTTTGCACAGGAAAAGCCCTGAGGCTGGAAGCACCAACAAGAGAACTGACAGTGCAACTGTGTCATTTACACTTTTCATCCCGCCCATCGCACGCCCATCCCTGATCCCCAGGACACGCGAGAGGATCATCTAGAGCGCGGAGAGCTGGGTCTCTCTACTGGAAGCCCTGCAGTGGGGCAGGAAAAGCTGGGCCCGAACTCTGGGCACAACAACAATTATTACAGTGTCTCCCCTGCATCCCCTCCTCATCCCCCACCATCTCTTTCCTTTCCTTTCACCTGGCCTGAAGAAGGCAGTGTCTCCGCGGGCCATCATCAGGCTTTCTGTCTGACGGGCGGGGGATGGGGAGTAGAGCGCTCTCCTTCCAGCACAGAAGGGAGGTCATGAGGAGAAGCTGGGCACAGCCTTCCTCCTGTTAAGTTTCCTCGGGCATGCTCAGGTCTTACAGGAGTCGTCAAAGAGCAAATACAGAATTTCTAACAGGACTCGCGACCTTGCAAAGGCAATGGAATTGGATTTATTGTCTTCTCTCCCAGCTCCCTGCTGACCTTCCACAAGAAGGAAAATTATCTTTGATGTCCTGGTTCCCTGACAAAGGAGCCCAAATACACTGGGGCGGGGCAGGTCACCCCAGACAGCTATGGAGCTTTGTCTTCTCCCCTGCACAGCACACACACGGAACAGTCTTCACCTTGAGCCCTCTGAATGTGCGTGCGCCGCGTGTGGCATGCACACGACAGTACAAGCCTTTCCAGGACAGATCTTGCTGTATGCGGAGATTTCAAAGCTCAAAACCTGGGGAAAATTCAAGTACTTCTGTTCTGTTGTATGACGTCACCGCATATCCAGGGTGGCACTGCATGTCCAGGGTGGGGGTGGAAATTTACCAAGTCCTCTGGTACAGGAAGCAGAGATAACATTGTCTACATCAAAAAGAAGAAAAAAAAACTTTTTAAAAGGAAGAAAATTAAAAAAAAAATTAAATCACAGTCTAAACCAAGGCTTCTTAACCTTGACGCTCCTGACACTTGGAGGCCGTGGGGGAACCGGCGCTGTCGTGTGCGCTGGGGGGTGCGGAGCGGCATCTGCCATCTCTTGCCACTAGATGCCAGCACAGCCCCAGCCTGACAATCAATAATGCTTCCAGAGTGCACCAAATAGCCTCTGGGGGCAGAACTACCTTCTTGAGAACCCCTGGCCTGGAGGCGAAGCAGCGGATCTTCCACAGTGGGGGAAAGGGCTCGAGTGGGCTCAACGGGGTCACAACTGTGAAGACTCCGAGCACAGCAGCGGGAGGCGGACGAGAGGGGCCCTGAGAAGCGGGGCAAGGAAAGATTCTCCGGGAAGCAAGAAAGCAGGTGCTCCTGAAAGCTGTCAGAGCAAAGATACTTCCTCCGAGGGACTGGTCCTGGTAGCGAGAAGAGTTAGTCAGGAGTCAGTCCATTCTTCTGGACCTTGCCAGGGAAGACTTAGCCTTCATTCAAATTTGGCTCAAGGATGGCTTCCAAAGACTGAGGAAGCATCTCTTGAATGAACCTAGGTCACATCTCTGCTTCCTGCAGCCATAAGCTAGTCTTTTCTCCCAGAATGTGGCAAGGCAGGGGGAGGAAAAGCCACCTCCATTGCCTGCTTGGCATTCTACCTTGTTCCTTTTCAGCCTGCCAAAAACTCCCTATGAAATTTTACTTTAAAAAGAGACAAAATTGGGCCTCCCCGGTGGCGCAGCGGTTGAGCACTGGGTTGCGAAGCTGCCCACGGCCTCTGAAGCGCCAGTTTGATCCCCGGTTGCTCCCCGGCCACCGGAGGAGGGTCCCACATGGCGCACAGACCTCTCCTGCCGCCCGCTGCTCCCCTCAGCAGTGTACTTCGGTCCTTCTGCCTGCTCTGCTCCCCGCTCTGGCTCTGGTGAATTCTCTCACCCTCCTGCGCTTCTGACTGTACCCAGTGCTTGTATAAATAAATAAATAAATAATAATTTAAAAAAAGAGACAAAATTGGGCCTCCCTGGTGGCGCAAGGGGTTAAGTCTCAGTACTATGAAGCTGTCTGCAGCCTCTGCAGCACGAGTTCGATCCCCGACCAGGGAGCTACCCACATGGCAGAGCAGACCTCTCCTGTCTCCCCGCTGCTCCCCTCAGCAGTGGATTTCAGTGGATCTGCCTGTTCTCCTCCTCACTCTGTCTCTGGTGAATCCTCTCACCCCCTGCAAGTCTGGCCTACACCCTAGTTCTTATATGCATAAATAAATAAATCTTTTAAAAAAAAGACAAAATTAAAAATTATAAGACAGAAAGTAGGCAGGATCTGCTGTATGGAAAAAAGAAAAGAACAATCCTGGTAAGAGAAAGACAGCTTAACATGTGTGAGGAAAAGACAGGGTATGTGAGCTAAGAGCTTTATAAAACAAAAATTTTAAAGTTTTCAGATTTCCTGGGGGTGGGGGCTGACATTACACACACACCCCCCGATAAGTCCTTAACTAAACTCAGAGAGAAAGAAGGGTGCACAGTAGGACCCTCAATGTTCTAGCACCAGGCCTTGCTCTTTCTTTAAGAGAAGAAATGATAAAATGTTTAGCCTCCCAAAATCATTCCAATATATCAAAAACTGTTTTACACCCCCCGTTTCCTTGGAGTAGGAAGAGAAAAGAGAGTTTCATGGTTATAAACAACAAAATTTTCTTCGCAAAATAAGAAGTTCTGGTCCCCCCGCCCCCCGGCTCTATCAGCAATGGAGGAACAGCAGAGGGCACAAGTGTAGAGATTTCTTTCTCCAGGCCCAGGACTGTGGAAAATGACGGCCAAATGTTAGTCCTCCGTGAGGTCCACAGGCGGTCTATATTCCTGGTGAGCCCTCTGGAGTCTGGCATCTTCAATAATTCACTTCTACACAACAAAGGGAGGGAGCGGGACCCTGAAGAGGGCATGAGTCAGCAAAGGAGGGGAAGAGACAGCAGACACAAGCACCGGGCTGACCTCAGACTGCTCAGCACACCCTGCCCCTAGCACGTGGCTCTTACCACTATTACTTGTTGAACTGGAAAGAACAGACCCCACGGTCTGAGGGAGCATCCACTGTCACTTGATTTTGCTGGCTGCTGCTCTCCTGTTCCGTGGCCAAGGCAAGAGTCACCTTGTGCAAGACTTTCTCACCTCCAGCTAAAGCAGCTGACCCTAAACCACCCGAGCGCGCGCCCTCCCCACCTACTCACTCCCCAGCACCACTGCTGAGGCCACACACTGGCACACACCACATCACTTCCCTACATGTGGAGCAGCCTGTCCTCTTCCAAAGACACACTAGCCCAAACGAGACAGAACCCTGAAATTAATTCCTGGCCAGCCAAGTGCAAGGAAGGGTCTCCTTCAGCAACACAGACCAAGTCTTTCCTCCCTACTTTATTCACACACCTGCCAGGATCAGCATCAGTGTGAGAGGAAGATCTTGGGCAGGGAAAACCTGCCTCTGTTCACTTTCCTATTCTCAATCCAAAGAGATTATAAAATTCTTACCTCAACTGAAACACTGGAAGAAGGCACAGGGCTACACTGGGAGAGGTACGCTCCTTGCATAGCTGAAGCTGTTGGCATGAACTAGGATAAAAGACAGCAGTAGGGTTAGAGCACTGGTCTTGCTACCTTTAAAGCACCTGGAAGCTTAAAAAAAAAAAAAAACAGATGCCTATGTTCTTCCCTGGGATGTTACTTGTGCTTTTTAAAAGCACATCACAAAAGGGCCTCCCCGGTGGCGCAGTGGTTGAGCGCTGGGTTGCGAAGCTGCCCGCGGCCTCTGCAGCGCCGGTTTGATCCCCGGCAGCTCCCCGGCCACCAGAGGAGGGTCCCACATGGCGCGCAGACCTCTCCTGCCGCCCGCTGCTCCCCTCAGCAGTGTACTTCGGTCCTTCTGCCTGCTCTGCTCCCCGCTCTGGCTCTGGTGAATTCTCTCACCCTCCCGCGCTTCTGACTGTACCCAGTGCATGTATAAACAAAACAAACAAACAAACAAATAAATAAATAAAACATGCCTCTATTAAAAAAAAAAAAAAGCACATCACAAAATAAAAAAAAATTAAAATAAAGACACTTCAGATGGTTCTAAAGTCCACCGGCTTTGAGATTTCTACCCACATGACTTCCTTTCCTCCTCTCTCTGGTCTTCGACTCTTCCTGCTTTCTCTGCCTATAAGCTCATCCACGTAAATGAGAACACAGAAGTTCTACAAGAAATCTAATGAGTTTCATACATTCTTCTTGTTATATTTTGGTAAGAATTTCTAAGATAATTATATGATCTCCTAGATAAGCTGATATGGAGATAAAAACACTATCCACTTAGTTTCATAGGAGGAGTCAGTTAAGGAGTGGGTTAAGGAGTAGAATGGCTGTATTCCTGTCTCATGGATTACTATCTTTTTGCTCCAAGTGTGCCCTCGTAGACTGAAATGATTCAATCCTCATTCAAAAGCACTTATGCTGAGTACTGTACAGGGACTCCTTGCTTGGTGAGTGTTTATGATCAAAGAGCTCCTGCTTTACCATTCCTGTGCTGCTGAGGGCGAGGTGGCCCAGCTGCTGGGTAAGAGGTCCCATCATTGAGGGAGGCTGGAGAGAAATGGGGTGATCCATCCCTGGTGTCAGAACGGAACCCTAGAGGCAGCAACAAGGACAGAGTTAGTTGCAATATCCTGAGAGGCTGCAAGAAGCAGTGACTCAAGGCTAACAGAACAGCTGAAGACAGACATTTTTTAAATGCGAGGACATGATAGGTGAGCAGAGATCCAGCTATGCAACAGGGTTAGGCACTCTGCACATCAGTATCAAATTGCCTCTTTGGCTTTTGCACACTTCCAAACACTCACTGAATGCTGCGTGAGGTATGAATGGTGGTGCATCCAAGACGGGCTAGGTACTTGTAGAGGAGATGTCTGAGTTACTCTCTAATGCAAGCAAAAATAAACAAAATTGTTAATTGCCTAGAAACTATTGTTTTTCCTAATTATATAATAATGTTCAGCAAAACCCTAAAAGGTTGGAGCCCCCCTCAGAAAACAGAAATATTAAGAGTAAACTTTTTTTTATATAGTTGTTTTTTTTTAAAGATTTATTTATTTATTTATTTATTTATTTATTTATTTATTTATTTATTTATTTATTTATTTATACAAGCACTGGGTACAGTCAGAAGCACGGGAGGGTGAGAGAATTCACCAGAGCCAGAGCGGGGAGCAGAGCAGGCAGAAGGACCGAAGTACACTGCTGAGGGGAGCAGCGGGCGGCAGGAGAGGTCTACGCGCCATGTGGGACCCTCCTCCGGTGGCCGGGGAGCAGCCGGGGATCGAACCGGTGCTGCAGAGGCTGCGGGCAGCTTCACAACCCAGCGCTCAACCGCTGCGCCACCGGGGAGGCCCAAGAGTAAACTGTTTTTAAAAATAATAGCAACTTTTGCCCCTCAACCAAAAAAACCCAATTTAAAAGTGGGCAAAGGATTTGAACAGTTATTTCTCTAAAAAGATATACACATGGCCAATAAGCACGTATCAGGCACTAGGGAAATGCAAATCAAAACCACAAATGTCACACCCATTAGGAAGGCTATCATTAACAGGGTTAAGTAGCAAGTATGTGTACTGCGGGTGGGAATGAAAATTGCAGCAGCTTTGAAAAACATTTTGGCAGTTCCTCAAAAAGTTAAGCATAGAGTTACCATGTGTAACCCAACAATTCCAACTCCTAGGAATATACCTTAGAAAAATGAGAACACATGGTCACACAAAAATTGCACACAAATGTTAATAACAGCATTATTCACAATAGCCAAAGGTACAAATAACTCATATGGCCATTAACTGATAAATGTATAAACATAAATGGAATATGGTTAGATAAACAAAACAGTGTATAAATGGAAGTATAGGTTTCTCCTATTATCTGAAAGTAGAATGTTCCCATTACTTTTATTTGGTAGATTATGCCTACCAAATTCTATTATCATTACCGTATATTAGAAATTTTTGAGTATTATCAGACCAAAAAAACAACTTATCAAATCAAACCAAATAAGAACATTCCACATTTGGATAGTAGGGGAAATCTGTACTCATCCGTGTTACAAGATGGATACTCCTTGAAAACATGCTCAGTGACAGGAAGACATGTATTGTATGCTTCCATTTATATGTAACAGGCTGATAGACAGACGCAGAAAGTACATTAGTCACTTCCAGAGGCTTGGGAGTAAGGGAGAACAGGAATGACTACTAAATGAGTATCTTCCTCAGATGATAAAAATGTTCTGAAAGGAGTGACAGATGCATAACTTTGTAAGTATATGAAAAACTACTGACTTAGAGAATTTAAGATGAATTTTATTGCATCTCAACTTTTTTCAAAGATTGATTGATTGATTGATCCAAGAACCCGGGTACAGGCCAGATGTGCGGGAGGGTGAGAGGATTCACCAGAGACAAAGCAAGGAACAGAACAGGAAGACTGACAAAATACACTGCTGAGGGGAGCAGTGGGCGTGACAGGAGATGTCTGCCGCGCCATGTGGGAGCCTCGCAGGCCAGCCAGGATGGAACCAGCGCTGCAGAGGCTGCAGGCAGCTTCACAGTGTGGCGCTCAACCTCTTGCGCCACCAGGGGAGGCCCCTGCATCTCAATTTTTAACTGAAAAAAAAAAAAAATTAGCAATGAGAAGCTGGAAATGCACCCCAATAAAGAAGCAGGTTTATTCCGCAAAAATGTTAAGTATGCAAGATGAGAAATTTTGTAAACTTAAGTCAAAATTAAAGAGAAACCAGGGTATATTAGATGAATTAGATGAATTCAGCAGCCATTTATTTATTTTAAATCAGCAAATAACCTAGGGACTAGAAAGAAATGGCTTACACACACCAGAGGCTATTTACTAATGTTAACTTAAACAAAGAAACATTAAAACCACTGCAATTACTGTAACCTGTCTTATAGCAGGACCAAATGAATACAATTAGATAAGAACAAAATTATTTTTCACTAATGATGTAACTGCATACCCAGAAAACCTAAGAACTGAAAAAATAGTAGTAAAAAGAGAATTTGGTAAGTTACCTGCTTACAAGATAGATGAACATAAATTAATAGCTTTTCTTTAGTCTATCAATAAGCACCTAGAAATGCTTATTAAAATTACAGAACAGGGCCTCCCTGGGGGCACAAGAGGTTAAGCACAGCACTACGAAGCTATCAGCAAGCTCTGCAGCAAGAGTTTGATCCCCGGCAGGCAAGGGAGCTACCCACATGGCGCAGCAGACCTCTCCTGACTTGCCCACTGCTCCCCTCAGCAGTGTATTTCAGTCAATCTGCCTGTTCTGCTCCCCACTCTGTCTCTGGTGAATCCTCTCACCCCCCACACCTCTGGCCCGTACCCAGCTCTTGTTTGCATAAATAAATAAATCTCTAAAAATATAATAGGGCCTCCCTGGTGGCGCAGCGGTTGAGCGCTGGGTTGCGAAGCTGCCCACAGCTCTGCAGCGTCGGTTCAATCCCCGGCTGTTCCCCGGCCCCCAGAGGAGGGTCCCACATGGCGCGCAGACCTCTCCTGCCACCCGCTGCTCCCCTCAGCAGTGTACTTCAGTCCTTTTGCCTGCTCTGCTCCCCGCTCTGGCTCTGGTGAATTCTCTCACCCTCCCATGCTTCTGACTGTACCCAGTGCTTGTATAAATAAATAAATTAATCTTTAAAAATATACATATACACACAAATTAAGAATTAAAATAAAATAAAATAAAAATATAATAAATAAATAAAATTACAGAACACCTAGGACTATATTTAACAAGAAAATCATAAGACCTACATAAAATCAACTTAAATTTTAGTGAAGGACATAAAGTAAGTACTGAAGACATTAAAGGAAACATAGCTTGAGTGAAAAGACATTCCTTTTTATTTTTTTAAAGATTTATTTTTTATTTATACATATAAGAACTGGGGTATAGGCCAGAGGTGTAAAGGGTGATAGAATTCACCAGAGACAGAGTGGGGAGCAGAACAGGCAGATCCACTGAAATACACTGCTGAGGGGAGCAGTGTATAAATGGAAAAGCAGACAAATTTATTATATACAAATTCTAAACTTTTTTGTATGGCAAACCTAGTGATTTCCAAAGTACGGTCTCTGGACCAGCGGTATTAGCAGAACCAGCATCTGTAAACTAGTTAGAAATACAAATTCCCCCTCGACGAACTGAATCAGGAATCCTCGGGAGGGTGCCCATAACCTAGATTTAGTAAGTCCTCCAAGTAATTTTGATGCCCAAAGTGAATGGAGGAAAAAACAAAATGTTGCAACATAAAAAGATGCTTCGGGGCCTCCCCGGTGGCACAGCAGTTGAGCGCTGGGTTGCGAAGCTGCCCGCAGACTCTGCAGCGCCGGTTCGATCCCCAGCTGCTCCCTGGTCACTGGAGGAGGGTCCCACATGGTGGTAGCGCCTGCTGCTCCCCTCAGCAGTGTATTTCGGTCCTTCTGCCTGCTCTGCTCCCCGCTCTGGCTCTGGTGAATTCTCTCACCCTCCCGTGCTTCTGACTGTACCCAGTGCTTGTATAAATAAATAAATAAATAATCTTAAAAAAAAAAAAAAAAAAGATGCTTCGACTCATCCTCAGTCAGGGAAAAGCAAATTAAACAAACAATGTGTATTGTGTCCTTTACACCCACCGTAAGTGTAACGATAGGAAAAATTTTAAAACAGCAAATTCACCTATGTTGGAAGGAAATGTGTCCATTCCTCTCCAACATCACTAGTGGAAAACTGAAAGTCCATATATTTTTCACCCTAACTATCCTATTCCTCAGACTGCAGCCCCCAGATACCAAAGCACTCATATATATCATATATAAAAATATATATCATATATAGAAATATGTATCATATACAGGGATATATATCATATATAAGGATCTAGACACACAGATGTTCACTGGAGAATTATTTGTAGCAGGAAAAAGAAATACAACTGGGGCCTCCCCTGGTGGCACAGCGCTGTTGAGCGCTAAAGCTGTCCACAGCCTCTGCAGCGCCAGTTTGATCCTGGCTGACCAGCGAGGGTTCCACATGGTGCAGCAGAACTCTCCTGTCTCACCAGCTGCTCCCCTCAGCAGTGTACTTCGTCAGTCTGCCTATTCTGTTGCCCGCTCTATCTCTGATGAATCCTCTCACCCTCCCGCGCATCTGGCCTGTACCCCGGTTCTTGTATAAATAAATAAATACTAAAAAAAAAAAAAATACAACTGAATGTCCTTCATTGGGGTATAGCTGAAGAATTCTGGTATATCTGAGGCATGAAATATAAATGAGGGCAGAGGCCACCCATACTAGCTGCATCATGAAGGACTCAGATCTGTGAACTCAGATCGCCATGACCCAACCCCAGCTCGCCCCATTCAATACATCTGGGGTAGATACAAAGGATTTGTGTTTCTAAAATTTCCCAGATGTTGCTGATACCGCTGATTAAGAAACACACTTTGGAATCTGGTTCAAGAAAATACTGTTAAGTGAGATGAATGAAGTGTAAAAGATATATTCAATATGGTCAAATTTTTGCAAGATAAATGACTCCCCAAGCCCTACACATGTGTGTATACACAAATGAAGAAAATAAAAAATAGTAAGAAATGAACATGTGCCTCCTCTTGTGTGCGGGGGACAGAGTTAGGTAAGCTACTTAACAGTCTATACATGCACAATGTGATCACATGGTATGCTTTCAAGTGAAATTATTTGAGTATAATATGTACAAAAACAAGCAGTTTCTAGTCTTAAATTCTTTCACCTAAAACCTAACACCAAAAGATAGGGAAAACCACAAAGCTCTTTTGGGGCATGAACATACCTGATACGAAGACACGGGCGATGGGAGACAGGGGAAGAATGCAGACTGAGCCAGCATCCTGTTGGGGGAGCTGTTATACAGAGCTGGGTAAAACCTGCAGGAAGGATCCTCATCAGTAAGGAGTGACAGAGATGCACAAGGGAAAAGCTGCCCGATAAGTAAGGCCACGTCTCACTAGCCACTGTTTAAAGATTAGAATGACACATCTGAGAGTCTAGACACAGGCTTTGTCATTTCCTTGTAACCTGATCATATAAAACACCCTTACCCATTCTGAAGAGCTGTGGTGGGGTCATAGGTCAAGGCCATACCACTCTATAAAGAAAGAACAGTGTTCGTATTGTGAGTCCTTGGGTGAGAACAGAAGCACACTCAGACTGTTAAGGCTAGGGGTGTGTTTGCTGAAGTCTGGACAAGTCCCACAACAGCTGTCCCAGGGTTTTTCTTTTTCTTTTCTTTTTTAAAGATTGATTCATTTATGCATACAAGAGCTGGGTACAGGCCAGAGGTGTGTGTGTGGAGGGGGTGAGAGGATTCACCAGAGACAAAGTGGGGAGCAGCACAGGCGGATCCACTGAAATACCCTGCTGAGGGTAGCAGTGGGGAGACAAGAGAGAGAGGTCTGTTGCGCCATGTGGGAAGCTCCCTGGCCGGGGATGGAACTAATGCTGTAGTGGCTGGAGATAGCTTCATAGTGCTGGGACTTAACCCCTTACACCATCAGGGAGACCCCTGTCCCAGAGTTTTTCTGGTTGTGCAGGCTATGAAATCCCACTCAAGACCCACACTGAACAGCAAGTTAAGCACTTCTTGGTTACACACCATAGCTTGCTACCTGCCCTCACAGAAAACAGACCACGATAATTTCCTTTCAAATTAATTAACTTTTTTACCCTTTTGACTTTTTCGTTACTCAAAAAACCTTCATTTTTTATTTAGCTTTCTAACTGTGTGCTTGTGCCCGCCATACTTTTACAATTTTTTGTTCCCCAATAAGAAAAGCATATTTGAGGGCCTCCCACTGGCGCAGCGGGTTGAGCACAGTGCTGTGAAGCTGTCCACAGCCTCTGCAGCACGGGTTCGATTCCCAGCCAGTCAGGGAGATTCCCACATGGTGCGGCAGACCCCTCCTGTCATGCCCACTGCTTCCCTCAGCAGTGCTTTCAGTCTGTCTGCCTGTTCTGCTCCCCACTCTGTCTCTGGTGAATCCTCTCACCCTCCTGCACCTCTGGCCTGTACCCCAGCTCTTGTATAAATAAAAAAGAAATTAAAAAAAAAAGAAAAGCATGTGTGACCCTGGGATAGACACATTTAGCACACACGGAGCCAGGACAGGCCCTGGTCACATTTTTCTCATTTTTGACAACTTCAATGGAACTTTATTTTTTTTTATTTTTTTTTTAGAGGCATGTTTATTTATTTATTTATTTATTTGTTTGTTTGTTTGTTCTGTTTACACATGCACTGGGTACAGTCAGAAGCGCGGGAGGGTGAGAGAATTCACCAGAGCCAGAGCGGGGAGCAGAGCAGGCAGAAGGACCGAAGTACACTGCTGAGGGGAGCAGCGGGCGGCAGGAGAGGTCTGCGCGCCATGTGGGACCCTCCTCCGGTGGCCGGGGAGCAGCCGGGGATCGAACCGGCGCTGCAGAAGCCGCGGGCAGCTTCACAACCCAGCGCTTAACCGCTGCGCCACCGGGGAGGCCCCTCAATGGAACTTTAGGTCTCACGGGATGAATTCCTCGGAGTTGGCCTGGGCACACACCATAGGCAGTTTCGGTGCTTTCCCAACCTTCTTGGCATAAAGGTAAATAATTTTATCACCAGGGGTTCAGGATAGGCAAGTTTTGGTACAGGCTGTCTTGTGGGATGGCTACGACAGCGTGTCAAAGGTGGAACCATTCTGAACACCTCTGGACACCAACCTCAGCTGAAGCGTACTTTCTACTTTAACATCTTTAGAACTGCTGTCTTCTCAGATGTCCTCTTACCATGTCTCCATTCCTTGTCCAGGCTCGTCCACTTGGCACAAATTTTCCTTGGGTCTGCCGCTTCTTCGGGCCACCATCAGCAAACTTGCACAGCAAGGGATCAGGCGGGACTGCCAAGAGAGAGAAAGCAGAGTGGCAGCTGAGTCCTCCTCTGCCAGCCCAAGCACACTCATGTAACATTCCTCCAGAATTTTCATTGGAAGTAACAACCTGGGCCCTTTCAGCCTGATACCCAGATGCCTTACCTGGTATTCCAGGGGGTGTCTTAACATATTTTCCATTAAAGTGGGTAATAATGGCTTCACACTTCTCTGTAGACTCCATCCTAAGGAGCACGAGAGGGGTTAGGTTTTAGCTTCTCCAGGATCTGTGCTCTCCCAACATTCAAAGAGAAAGCTGTATCTTCCCAGCCCCACAAATGCTCCAAAAAGTTATGACTATAGGAACACAGAGTTTCTTCTACATAAACGCAATGTATCTTAAAGAGACAATCTGGCTTTGAATGAGGGTTTTCTCAGTTGGCTCCTGTAGGGGGTCCTCAGAGGAATAATGATGGTCTTTTTTTTTTTTATAATTTTTATTTATTTATTTATGTATTTATACAAGCACTGGGCACAGTCAGAAGCGCGGGAGGGTGAAAGAACTCACCAGAATCAGAGCAGGATGCAGAACAGGCAGAAGGACCGAAGTACACTGCTGAGGGGAGCAGCGGGCAGCAGGAGAGGTCTGCGCACCATGCGGGACCCTCCTCCGGTGGCCAGGGAGCAGCCGGGGATCGAACTGGTGCTGCAGAGGCTGCGGGCAGCTTCACAACCCAGCGCTCAACCACTGCGCCACCGGGGAGGCCCAATGATGGTCTTTTAAAAAACCAACAGCATGGGAGCAAAAAGTTTGATGACCACAGGCCTTGTGACTCCCCTTTTGTGATACTTAGGGTTGACAGTGGTTGTGCTACCAAGATTGAGCTGCCTAGGAACCTAGTCCTGTTCTCAAGATCAGAAACTCTCCAGATAAGGAGGTATTCTTGGCGCAATTAGCCCAGCTGTTTTTCAAACCTGAAAAAAAAAAAAAAAAAAAAAAAAAAAAGGCAAGAGAATCTCTTTTGAACAAAATCTTAAATAAAAGCAGAGTCATTTTGGGCCTCCCCAGTGGTGCAGCAGTTGAGAGCTGGGCTGCAAAGCTGCCCGCAGCCTCTGCAGCACTGGTTTGATCCCCAGCTGCCGGTAAGGGTCCCATATGGTACGCAGATCTCTCCTGCCATTCCCGCTGCTCTCCTCAGCAGTGTATTTCATCAGTCTGCCTGTTCTGCTCCCCGCTCTGGCTCTGGTGAATTCTCTCACCCTCCTGTGCTTCTGACTATACCCAGTGCTTGTATAAATAAATAAATAAATCTTCAAAAAAAAGCAGAGTTATTTTAAGAGAGCTAAGGGAAGGTATTCTTGAAAATTCTGCAGTTCTAAGGAATACCCTAAGAAATCCACTCTTCTAAGTCAACCTCCATTCACAAAGTAAACCAATGTTCATAAAGGTCTGACACTACATGGGCTGTTTGTGGCAAGGTGGTCGAGAATCTAGGTTTCTTCCCATATCTGAAAAAGCAGACAAGATCATACACCTCAGCCTACTAATCTTTGAGCCAGAATGATTAGGGCTCTGCTCTACCACCCACTTCGTTTTGGGGACTTTGGTTAACTTATCTATAAAATGGCCAGTTAATATTTGTTTCATAGGGTTTTATAAAGATTAAATGAGATAACAGGATAAGAAACTATTCAGTAACCACTGAGAAGGCAGGAATTATTTTGCTCTAGTTGGGTCTAGATCACAGGAACAAAAGCTAGAGCAGCAGGAAGAAGTAGGAGAAGAATAAAGACTTGAGGGCAAATGGGCTTGTGAGCATTGTGACCCATAAAAATGAACTTTTAATTTATTATCAAGTACTTTAGCTAATACTTTGGGTCCTGGGAATGGGGAAGACAGATTTCTTGGTGACGTCCTTAGTGATCTTCTTTATTGACCTCATGATTTCCCATTCTTGGCATCCCTCACCTTGCAAAGCCAACTCCTCTGCTGGTCCCGCCGGCGTCACGAAGGATTCGTGTGGAGATAACCTGGCCAAAGGGCTTCAGCATCCTCTCCAGTTCTTGTTCATCCATCGACAGCGGGAGGTTTGATATGTATAAATTTGTGGGGTCCTGTTCTTGTTGCTATGGAAATAAAAGTGAGAAAATGAAGCTCACATCTCTTACCCTTCTCCCACTCTAAGCAGCCCTCATCCACAAAATTACATCTCAGAAAAGCAATAGTAGGAAGGATTTCACATAACAGAGAATATCATCAACTATTTCTGACACCTAGTCCCACTACCATGTATATTGAGTTCAGGGTTAAAAAAATCAGATTTAATATTTCTGGTACTATATAAGCCAATAAAAAAGTCACCAGTGGTATTCTGCTGTCTCTTTAAGAACCAGGCAAAGCAGCACTCCCCCCTTCCCAAGAGCCTCTCCCAGAGGATGGATTCTCTTGGACTGCCTTCATTCCCTGGAACTGTTTTGAGTAATCTTCCTCCCCCTCTTCCGGCTGCAGCAGACTCCTCTGAGGAATTAAGAAATGCCTATTCAATGATGGAAGAGAAGCAGGAAGAGGGGGTAAGGGGAAAGGGAAAGCAATGTGCTACGGGCCGCACCAAGGTCAGATGTCTGCTCATGGGTTATCACGGAGTCTTGAAAGCGCTAGTCTTGGAACTCTGAAGGCTCCACTACCAGAGAGCTTTTGTCCAGAAAGAAGAGGTTGAAGAGCCCTTCCTGTGGGCAGAAGGTGCAAAACGGCAATAACTTCCCATAGCCATATTTTAAAGACTTAAAGTAGTTATTCTGCCCTAGACAGGGGATCCTAATTCTCCTGCCTTTCCCCTCAGGACTTTCTTTATCCTTCATACTTACAGAGAAAGGTGCCTTGCAGGCCTGCCTTGTTTTGCTCTACATGGAGAATTTATGACTTCAGAGAGGCAAGGGGACAATCTCATGTAAGAGGAGAAGAAAGAGAAAAGCGTGTTTTCTAGAAGTCTAGATGAAAATAAAAGCTCAGACAAGTCTGAGAAGGGACAGGTTCCTCACTTGTAGTGGTTTCCCTTTCCCCAGCCCCTGGAAACCTTCCTCCCCGACAGGCAACACTGTTAAGAGGTGGGAAACACTGTTCTGAACTTCTAAGTTGCACAAATGCTTCTTCAGAAAATGTTGCAAAACCACCACAAGCTGCCTGGTAGGGAAGGGGGACACAGCAGGAGGAAGGGAAGAAGCATCTTGAACCTTAAGATACCTGAAGAAGAACAGAACTCACAAAACCACCTGCCACAGGTTATGAATGCCATCTTACTGGTATTCGGAGCAGGCAGGCAGGGGGTAGTCTGTAGGACCCTGGCGCCGACTGTCTTTGGGCAGATATAGCAAGAAGTAATGCAGGCAGCCCTTGCCCCTCAACTTCAAGGCTCTGAAACCCTCTGGAAATCTTGGAACTGAACCTCTGGTGTTAGCTACAACCCCTCAGAGGAACAGACACAGGGTAGAATGCTCACCTTTGCCATCTGTGCCTGCACACCACTGGCTTTCAGTGCTGTTACAGCCTTCTGCGCTGCGGAAGGACTGTCAAAGTCCACAAAGCCGTAGCCTGAAACAGGGAAACAGCGTCACTGGTATGTTGGGGACCAGGGGGAGGTGAAGGAAGGCAGAAGGTTCAGGATTTTCAGGAGACAGAAAGTATTACGATCCATGTTAACAGACATGGTAGGGAGAAAGAGAAATTAGGAGGATTCAGGTAGTAATCCATGTGTTCCTCAAATCCCGTGAGATTGCGGAACTTAACAGCTAAGGCCCAAAGCAATGAGGTCCTTAAGGTGTCCTTGCCTTTCTTCCTCCTGCTTAAGAAATGTGAGGTTTCAGGAACCAGATTTTTCTAATAATTCACAGCCCCCCCTTCCATATTTCTAACAGGACCTCTTCCTCTTTTCTAGCCACACCCCAGAAATGGTAGGCATGTGCAAAGTGCAAGTTTTCCCCACTATTTGAGCATTCTTATACAACTTCTATAAGCCTAAAGGACGCAAAGCAAAGACACAATTACCATTCATTTATATGGGGAAACTGGGGGAAAGGGTTCCCAGATCCCGAAGACAGCCTCTCCAGTCATAGCAAGTCACACACAAAACCTAAAATAACACTAACATATGGTAAACTAGGGACGCTATGATAAATACACAGCCCGTATAAATTAGCTCCTGGGGAAGAAGCTGGTGGTCCACTCTCAGCCCCACTGCATACCGTCTCTGGAACAGCTGCTGTGAAACAAACACTGTATGCTACATTAGCTTTTTGCCTTTTCTCATAAAAGCAAAACTCTTCTTCAGATTTCCTTCAGTTAATGAAAACAAGTACTAAAGCAGGTCTTTCATATAAAGTGAAATGTAAACCTTTGAAAGTAAACCTCTGAAAAGTGGGGCATACCTGCGTGCCCTCTCCATTACAGGTAACCAGCCATCTGCTGGAAGAAATCCCTCACCCACCCAGCCTACGCCCCTTTCCCTTCCTTCCACTCTTTCATCCCCACCGAGAACTGTCAAAGCCCTAACAAAATTACCCATCCTGGACCTCCCTGGTAGCGAAAGGGGCTAAGCAAAGCACTGTGAAGCAATCAGCAGCTTCTGCAGCATGAGTTCGATCCCTGGCCTGTTCTGTTCCCCACTCTGTCTCTGGTGAATCCTCCCACCCCCACACCTCTGGCCTGTAGCCCAGTACTTGTATATATAAATAAATCAATAATAAAAAAAAAAGAAACAGAGCAAAACTCACAAAGTAACACCTACGAAGTCATACAAGTACCACCACTAAAAAGCATTCACAATGCTTTGATAAGTAGAAATGATCTCACCTACCTGAACCCAGCATCCTCAGGGAAACATGAGAAGTAAGTCTACAGTAAGTCCAAGGGACTCAAAAGAACTCAGTACAGGCATCAAGCTATGGGTCCCCAAAATATTATTAGCTAAAGCTATCTGACCTCCAAAGAACCAAAATATCTACTAGTCTTTTTAACCTGAAAACCTCAGAGACACTCCCCTGGCCCTGGTACTGGGAACTTTCAGCAGTAAAAGGCAGAGGCAAGGAATGCCTCACTCACAGTTACCTTCCATCAGCCAGGATATCTGTTCTCTCACCTTTGCATTTGTTTGTGGTCTTGTCCAGTATGGCCTTAGTAGACACAATCTTGCCATATCTAAGGGAGAGGAAAATGCAAAGTGATAATCTGGGGGCAGTGACTTAAACAGGGCAGAGATTGAGCTATCTGGATGAATACACGTTCTTTCTCTAATCCCACTAGGACTATTCCTAATCAAATCTTAATAAAAACAATAAATGAATAGGAATGTCATGCTTCTCATATAAACCTACCCCCCAAAGGTATCTCCAAATAAAGGAACTTTAGACTTTACAATATCGACACGTTTTTCCCTTTTACTCCCCAACTAAGACTCAGACACAAGTTGGAAAGCGAATACCGTCTTTTTGGAAAAGAAGTTTGGCGATGTCCACATAGCAGAGCACACGGGCAGAGGTCTGGCTAAAATTCCATGAGGACTGAAAATAATTCTTGATATTACTTATCTTCTTCCAGACAAACACCATTCCTCCTATGAAAAATCTGCAGATATTTCTCTTTTCTAACACTTTTCTTTTCCCCACCCCTCTCCTGGCAGGTCAACCAGAACCAAACAGCTTCTGTACAAATCCTTGCTCTGCAACTCTTTAACTATGCGTTACAAATAATCTTCCACAAATAATTTAAACCTATCTGTGCCTCAGTCTCATCAACTATAAAATGGAGAAGATCATTGGGAATATGAAATGAGTTCTTGAATTTTAAGCACTAATATTTACCACATTGCAAACACTTGAAAATTCTTAACTATTCCAAATGTTATAATTGTTGTTATATCCAAGGGATCTCAGCTTAATCGACCGCAATGACTCTCTGCCTTTACTGTATTCAATGTAAGTACTGCACACTAACCCACTGCACCACTGGAGCTCCGTTTTTGCTTTATTGTATTCTAGGACTTGTATTTCTCATTGTTAAGATTTGAGTGTGTTAAGATTTAGAGTGGGCACCAGAAAAGATACAACAGCAGTGCTAAGAAAATTATCCAAAGCTTAACAATAAGGTAAAATGAGTATTGCATATTCTGGAGCATTATCTAAAAGGCCCGTTCACGGTACATATCATTTTTTAGGGGGCTGTTTCTTTGTTTGACTTTTTGTTTACCACTGATCAGGGCCCAGACTTTGTGAAGATGCCTATTAACTTGTAGAATTTTATCTAGCAGAAATGCAAATGATTTCTGTCCAGTAGAAAAGATAACCCCAAAGGTTACTATTTTGTTGTCCAGTAGCATATAAATCAGTTTTGTATGTAACTAAACAATCTTATTTTCATATTCTTTCTTTAGCACCTCTAAATACTCAGTCCTTCAAATGCTCTTTGGGCTCATTTTACCATCCTGCTGGTCCCCTCATCAATGAGTAAAACAAATTTTTGGCATGTATTCATCCTACATTTGTATGAGAATCTATTTTTCAACTTTTTGAAAATTATACTTTGGCAGCAGAGTCATCTGGAGCTCCCTAAACCCCGGCAGTGTGGTATCACAGGCCAGCAAGTTATGTCAGAGGAGTTCCACTAGTGTGAAGTCCAGGGCAGGGAAAACACTAAAGAGACAGAGCAGAAATCGCTAGCAAAGTCAGAAGTCCAAATTTAACTGAAAACATTTGGCAAGGACTAAATTTGAGACAAATACCCCAAATAAGCTTTTTCCCCCTATTTTTCCTCTCATACTTAAAGAACATATGATAATTGATGTGTTTGTTTAGCTCCGTGGCAGCCTCCCACTAACCTTTTCAGCGCGGCTTCTATGACACAATGGATTAAGCAGAATAAGCCAAGCAATGCCCTGGAGGCTGGGAAAAGCACACACCAAAATGGGGATGGGATGGACGTGGTGATCCTACCCTGCTAGGACTAAATACTCGGATTCTTTCCCAGTTGTCGGCGAGGGGATGAATGCATGAGACTGGAGTACAGAGGACACACGTGCTGCTGTCCCTATCGAGGCCCTATGGTGGAGTCTGCTGTGGTGTGAGACTTTGAGCTCGGATTTTCCATTGCAGCTGCCAACAGCTGGGTTGCTGCTGCTTTCTTCTCAAAAGGACCCCTCCAAAAGAAGCAGGAGTTCTAGTCCCAGACTCCACACCTCTCCCTCCCACCTACCAGGTCTTAGTTTCTAGCAATTTCTCCTACCACCCAGAGAGACAACCGGGACAAAGGCAGGAAGGGTTCTATACACGAATACTCCCTTTCTAGAAAGGTTTAACTCTGCTCACATCATCTATGAAGGTCGCTCCCACTTGGCCTCCCTTTCACGGCAACTCATTTAGCACCTATTCTTTCCCTGCCTCATTACTGCTTCTCCAAAGTTCCATTTTGGGCTCCTGACTACCATCTTACATACTGATTCTGACTATTCCCAGACACAGCAAAAGATAAGGCAAGTGTTGGGAAGGGCAAAATGAAACCCTAAAAGTATAGTGAATTAGCACTGAATTCTGTCTTGTGGTAAGAAAGGATTTTTGTACCATATTATATTTAGTACAAGAAACACAGAGTGCAGAAATCAAGGAACTAGACTAATAAGGTACACTTTTCCCTCCTAAGCCAATAATTCTTCTAATTCCCAGGCTCCACTGCCGATTTTACTAGTTTCAAACTAAATACCCAAAGTTAAATACATTTCTAGCAAGGTAGCTGGGGTAAAGGAACCAGCTTTACACAGATTCAGCTTGTGCAATATGGTGCTCGTAAAAACTCATATGATTTGCATAAAGTAAATCACTACTTCAGAAGAGTGAAGGATTCACAGAGAACCTCTGACACATCATACTCCATTTTGGGAGTATTGTTCTGCCTCTCCAGGATCTGGAACTGGCAGAACTTATACTGCTGTAGGAGTCTAATTTGAATTAGTCTTTCCACCTCAGAAAATTGTTTAGTAGTATTTACAGAAATTGACAAATGTTATCAGTGACTCAGCAATTTTACTCCCAGGTACGACATACAATGCACATACGTGCACAAAGAAGTACAAGTTCACAGCAGCACTCTTCACAGTCACAATAGTCACAAAATGGAAACAACAGTAAAATGGGTAAATGAACTGTGGTATATTTCTATGGTAGAATTCTATAAAGCCAGAAGAACAAAGTTTTGCATTTTATGCAACAATGTGGATGAACCTGCGAATAACACTGAGTAAAAGAAATCAGACTTGAAAGGTTACATGCTGTATGATTACACTCACATGATGCTCACACAAGCCACACCAACCTACTACTTAGATGCTAAGTAGTGGATACTTTTGATGGGGGTGGAACTGAGAGTTGGGCTTCTGAAGAGCCAGTAATGCTCTATTTCTTGATTTGATTACAAGGATACATTTATTTTGTGAAAAGTAAATGTACATACACTGTGGCAGTACACTTATGATCTGTATGCTTTTTATATCTGCTTGTTATATTTCAATAAAAAGTTTTAAAAGATAATCTATACAGTCTAAGGTTCCTATTTTTATCTTTCTACCATTCAATTACCCAAACTCAACTTTGTCCCCTGCTCATTAATGTGCCCATCCCCACCTCCCCCCTTCAGACTCCTTCCTCTAATCATTCCCCCAAATACGTTTTTGAAACATATTTTTTCTGCTAAATGGAATTAAGCTGGCATCTCCACATGTTTGCAGTTTTCCAACAATCCTAACTGGGCTAATTTCCATGGTACTTTTCTCCACTTGGTGACTCAAATGTACCCTAAGTCTAAAGAACCCCAAGATCTTTAGGGGGTAGATGCAGAGGGACAGCCTCTTTCTCTACTTTATTTGTTCTTTAGCCACTAATTTGAGGGCAACTCTGGTTCACTGGAAATATCTCTAGCAGCAGAAACTGTCCTAAGGGTACAACTCAATTGGCTAATGCCACATTCTCCTACCCATGCTATCAGCCGTCACTGCCTTTTAATCAGTATCTTTAAAGATACTGAACATTTTTATTCAATGTGTAAGGACAGAAATCTTTCCACTAAGACCCTTACATTAGCCTTAGGTGGATGCTAGAAACAAAGTTATATGAACGTTTTCCCCACGCGAAAGTTGAATGATCTTATTTGTTCAACTTATTTTTACCACCAATTTTATACGGAAAAACTTTTTTAGTGTTCCCAGGCCCAAAAAATAACCTATGAATCCTACCAAATAGGAATGTTCAACTTTCAGGTATCAGGGGCCTCCTATACTGGGCTTCAAAGGCCAGTCCTACCCTGGCTACCCTCAGTGCATCCCATAAAGGTTTTATGTAACAGTAGCATGCATTATTTATTTAAGAAATTTGCTGAGAAACATTGTGACTATTGGGCAGAAGCAAAACAACATTGCATTTCAGGATAAGAGTATCTGGCATGAAGTCAGTATTACCAAACTTATACTGTCCCTGGAAGCTTACCCACGTGTATCCCAACTTACGACTGACACAACTTGACAAGGTCCTGGTCAGTAGTGCCTGGTTGTAATCCCCGGATGTAGAGGTTGGTTTTGCTCAGCTGGTCACTTCCATTGCTCCCACTGCTGCTGTTAGGGGTACTGCTGTTTGGACTAGGTGGTGCCATCTGTTGAGTCAGTGGCACATATGTCTGCAGAAGACATGAGAAACAAAAGATCAGAGAGATTATACATATAAATATTGAAGACTGAGAAAAATGTTGGCCTCTAGGAAAAAATTATTCCAAACTTTAGCAGCAAAGACATCAATGAATAAAGATTTATTTATTTATTTATACAAGCACTGGGTACAGTCAGAAGCACGGGAGGGTGAGAGAATTCACCAGAGCCAGAGGGGAGAGCAGAGCAGGCAGATTGATGAAGTACACTGCTGAAGGGAGCAGCGGGCGGCAGGAGAGGTCTGCATGCCATGTGGGACCCTCGCCTGGCGGCCAGGGATTGAACCAGCGCTGCAGAGGCTGTGGGCAGCTTTGCAACCCAGCGCTCAACCGCTGCGCCACTGGGGAGGCCCCTCAATAGGAGAGTTTTAAAAAATAAATGAAGGAATTCCTCTCTGCCATGGAATAAAAAATACATATAACTGTTCTATCTATCTTTTATTATCATGGAATTTTTTTTTTATTTTTTTTATTTTTTTTTTTAATAGAGGCATGCTTTATTTATTTGTTTGCTGGTTTGTTTGTTTGTTTTGTTTATACATGCACTGGGTACAGTCAGAAGCGCGGGAGGGTGAAAGAATTCACCAGAGTCAGAGCGGGGAGCAGAGCAGGCAGAAGGACCGAAGTACACTGCTGAGGGGAGCAGCGGGCGGCAGGAGAGGTCTGCGTGCCATGTGGGACCCTCCTCTGGTGGCCGGGGAGCAGCCGGGGATCGAACCGACTCCGCAGAGGCCGCGGGCAGCCTCGCAACCCAGCGCTCAACCGCTGCGCCACCGGGGAGGCCCCCATGGAATTTTTTTTTTTAAGATTTATTTATTTATTTATACAAGCACTGGGTACAGTCAGAAGCGCAGGAGGGTGAGAGAATTCACCAGAGCCAGAGCGGGGAGCAGAGCAGGCAGAAGGACCGAAGTACACTGCCGAGGGAAGCAGCGGGCGGCAGGAGAGGTCTGCGCGCCATGTGGAACCCTCCTCCGGTGGCTGGGGAGCAGCTGGGGATCGAACCGGCGCTGCAGAGGCTGCGGGCACCTTCGCAACCCAGCGCTCAACCGCTGCGCCACCGGGGAGGCCCTATATAAAATTTTTAAAGCCCATCCTAATATTAATTTGGAATCTCAAGATACCCCAAATAAAATATTGAAAAAGTAACAAAATTGGCAGTCTAACACTTCCTGATTATAAAAACGAATGACCAAGGTACAGTACTAAAAACAAAATAGAGGCAGGTAACAGTGCATAGCACTCTGTGGTTTACACTCCAATAATGAAAGTAAGACAGTCACCTAGATGATTTCAATACAATGCAAAATTCTATAAATACCAAATATGAAATACAAAATATGACTGAAGCTCAGAAACAGAAGTCCTCCTTTGGGTTTGGGAGGTGGAGGGATAAGAGAAACTTTATAGAAGTAACATTTTAGTCTAATTCAAAGGAACAGTTTTGACTGTGAGCTCTTGAAGGGTAGCAATCATGCCTGAGCCCCAGGGGCTATCTAGCATGCTGGAACAGTTACATAAACTTGGATGTAGTGAACAAATTCACAAAGAGGCCATCCCAAAAGGTAACAACAAAAAGGATCAAAATACAAAATACACAACAACAAAAGGATCATAGATTGGGGGGAATATGAATATATATATATGGAAGTAAATATCAAGTAACTCCTCATGATTCTCCTTACATTTTACATCCATCTTTAAGAAAAATTTCTCAACATCTTCCTTATCTTCTAGCTTTTATCTCATTTCTCTGCTCCCATCAATTGTTTAACTTTATTGAGATATAATTTTACACTTATTAACCCACTTAAGGTATAAATTCAATAGTATTTAGATCACAGAGCTGTGCAACCATTATCACAGTTTTGCTTTTTTAAAAAAAGATTTTATTTACTTATTTTTTTGCGTAGAAGGATTGGGGTGTTGGCCAGAGGTGCAGGGAGTAAGAGGATTCACCAGAGATAGAGTAGGGAGCAGAACAGGCAGATCTACTGAAATACACTGCTAACAGGAGCAGTAGGAGAGAAAGGAGAGGCTGTGCCCTATGTAGGTCAGCTCCCTGGCTGGGGATGGAACACAGGTCGTAGGGGTGATAGTGCTAAGACTTAACCCCTAGGCCACCAGAGAGGCCCCCTATACTGACAAAATTAATGATTATTCTTCAGTCCCTATTCTCCAGGATAAAATACTATAGTTTGTACATCTGCATTTTAATTCCAACAGGCCTCTTATTATGTTTCCCCTTGTCTTGCTTCTTATTTATATTTTCCTGTTTACGGAATGATTAGCTAGGGCAGAGTAAATGTAATGGAATCTTTGGGGTAGGAAGGTGAGGAAGATGAGGAAATCCTAGATAAATAATGAGTAGTGGGCTAGGGATCTGGACCTCGTTTAGCAGGTGATATACAACATCAAAAGTTTTTTTATACAAGAAATGTTCTGCAATAGACTGCTGGGATATTGGAAGACTGTCCTGGCAGCAGGTACCAACTGACTTGGGGTTAAGGGACAGCAGGTCGAGAAACAGGCAAGAGACCATGTGATGGAATATTACTCAGCATTCAAAAAACATAAACACATGCAATTTGCAGCACCATGGATGGCGCTGGAAGGGATCATGCTCAGCGAAATAAGCCAGAAAGAAGAAGAAAAATACCGGATGGTCTCACTCATAGCAGGAATCTAGAAAACTTAAATAAGGGACCAGGAAAATGAATAACTATAAGAAAGTGAAAATCAAAATCAACAAAAAACTATGAACCGGAGATACTCTATGGGAGGTGGGGGCAAGGAGGGGAGGGATTGGGGTCAAAATAAGGGGGTTGCAATTGTATGGGGAATATAAAAATAAAATTTATTTAAAAAAAAAGAAAATGCATACAATGTACAAAAATGAAAAATGATGTAAAAATATGTAAAATAAAATAAAAAAGAGACCATGTGAGATATTTATTATAGTAGAAAAGATAATCTTATAATGAGGTCATAAATTATTGTATAGTGCTAAAAAAGGAAAGATGGAATCAATGGAAAGAAATTACTACTAACTTTAGCCAAATGAGTTAACTTTATTACTTGTAACTGAACAGCAGCTCCCAGTCAAGAGATGCTAGACTTAAAAGTTTATTCTACTGTATTTGACTCGATGGAAACTAGTGAAAATGTAGTAAACACACAAAAATACTATACATGATTACAGTATTGCTTCCCACTTCTTTTCTGAGTAAATCTGAAAATCTCAGGCAAATCAACTTTCTCAAGAGTGAAGATTTGGCAATACCCACCAATTCCTTCATCATTCCCTTCCACCCATCACTGGTCTTCAATATGTTAAAATCAAGAGGAAATTGGTTTTATGCAAAATAGGTCAGGGGAGGCAAATCATCCCAAGTAAGGCACAGTCCCTTTGCCTTTTTTCCCAAAGGAAATGGCTGTTGAGACTCTGAGAAGTTAAACTGTAACAACACATGCCAGGAAGATGAGCTCAGGGAAGGCATCCTTAGGTGCTTTACAAGTCTGAAATTCCTTTAGTCCCAAACATTTCCTCTTTCAATCTCATCTACACTCAAATCTCTCCACTGAGGAATCTCAACTACACTCAAAACTCACCTACACTCAAATCTCTCCACTCTTTCAAACACTGACAATTGACAAAACAGTGTTGAGGCCTGATAACTCTGATCTTTTTACTTCAGTCTTTTTTTTTTTTTAAGATTTATTTATTTATACAAGAACCGGGGTACAGGCCAGATGCGCGGGAGGGTGAGAGGATCCACCAGAGACAGAGTGGGGAACAGAACAGGCAGACGGACCAAAATACACTGCTGAGGGGAGCAGGCAGGAGAGGTCTGCTGCGCCATGTGGGATTCTCGCCAGCCGGCAGGGATGGAACCCGCTCTGCAGAGGCTGCCAACAGCTTCACAGTGCGGTGCTCAACTGCCTGGGTCACCAGGGAGGCCCTTCAGTCTTTTTTTAATAACAAAGAAAACTGAAGGCCACTAAAATGAATTTTTAAAAATTTTTCCACATTATTTTGTGGTTTCTCTCTATGAAAGTCACATGGTCCTCCTTCTAGGACTACCTTAATTCAAAAGAAGGGAATGGATATTCAAAACTACAACCTGGGAAAGAATCTGCCTTTACTGGGCATTAGGTAGTTGTTCACTAAGGAAACAACTTCCTTGATGGTAATGTATAAAGATATGTTTCAAAATAAAATAACCCTATTTAAAGTCAGGTAAAAAAAAATTAATACACTTTCAAACAAGCAAGTCACAACAGTAGTGGTATAAATAACTCAACTAAACTTGTTACCGGCCCCCCCAACCCGCCCCCTCCCAGGCCGCAGGGAAAGAATTTTTTGGGGGCTGAGGCAGCATCCTCAGCCCACCTCCTGTGGACTGTCCCCCTCCTCCAGCCCCAGAAAGGATGGTTCTGGCCATGGTTTCCTAGCGCCAACAGGCCCACCAGCCTGCCTTGACCTGAGTACAGGCAGGACTGGGCTTTTCCCCCTTCCATATCCAGCACTAGGATTCACAAATGGTCCAATCAGGACCATTTAAATTGACCGATCAGGGGCCTCCCCGGTGGCGCAGCGGTTGAGCGCTGGGTTGTGAAGCTGCCCGCAGCCTCTGCAGCGCCGGTTCAATCCCCGGCTGCTCCCTGGCCACCGGAGGAGGGTCCCACATGGCGCGCAGACCTCTCCTGCCGCCCGCTGCTCCCCTCAGCAGTGTACTTCAGTTTGCCTGCTCTGCTCCCTGCTCTGGCTCTGGTGAATTCTCTCACCCTCCTGCACTTCTGACTGTACCCAGTGCATGTATAAACAAACAAACAAAAAAAAACAAACAAACAAATAAATTAAAAAAAAAACATGCCTCTATAAAAAATAAATAAATAAATAAATCTTTAAATAAATAAATAAATAAATAAAAATAAATTGACCGATCAGGTTCAAACTCATTTTGTTACTTATTTGGATTGAAAAATGAAAAATGAGTTGGTTGGTGCTAAATGGTCCAATCAGATGCTTAAGACTGAAAATGGTCCAATCAGCCTTGTAGGGTGGGACACCCTGAAGGGACTAAAGGCAGAGCAAAAGCCAGCTTGATTCATTCTGCTCCCAGCCTCCAAAAGAGAAGGATCCATTCTGCTGCTGGCCTTTGAAGAGGCAGCATTTATCAGACCACCTTCAATGAAGGATTCTGCACCGAGCCTCTGATGAGAGACTCATCGAGCAGTGGACCTCTGGGAGTCCCAAGACCTTCACAGACTCATAGACTTCTAGGCCTCCACACCTCCACAGAGGTGTGCACCTGCGTCTGGCCCTGCCTCTGACATCACCTGCAAGGAGCACCGTGGGGTGCTCAGCCCAGTATTTCTAACAGCTTCAGATTATGCTGAGCATAACCTCTGGTTCTCCAGTACCACCTTTTGGTGCTGTTGAGTCTGTCACTGTCTGGTTTGGCTTCCAGTCCAGCCCTCAGACTGCTGCTGCGGACTGCTGCATTTGTTACCTCATCCTCCACGAGCAGTCTTTATTTGGGACTTCTAGACACTGTGTACACTACCTGGGGTGAGACAGTCAACCATTTGTGGCTTCAAAAACTCTTCCCTTTTCCCAATCTCTTGTTTGCTAAATAAACTGTTACTGCAGTTGTATGCTTGGGTGAGAACCCACTGACAGTGACCTGTCCTCTACCTCAGGCAGTGTCCCGCAGCACTCATTGGACACTGTTTGAGCCTTGTTGAGCACTCTTTTAAGAGTCTTTTGCACTGTTCCAGTATTATTTCAAATTTACTGGCAATTATTTTTATTACAAACTCTAGAGGTGGTGACAACAGCAAATCATGATACAAAATTCCCCACTTAGGGCCTCCCCGGTGGCGCAGCGATTGAGCGCTGGGTTGCGAAGCTGCCCGCAGCCTCTGCGGCGCCAGTTTGATCCCCGGCTGCTCCCCGGCCACCGGAGGAGGGTCCCGCATGGCGCGCAGACCTCTCCTGCCGCCCGCTGCTCCCCTCAGCAGTGTACTTCGGTCCTTCTGCCTGCTCTGCTCCCCGCTCTGGCTCTGGTGAATTCTCTCACCCTCCTGCACTTCTGACTGTACCCAGTGCATGTATAAACAAAAAAAAACCAAACAAATAAATAAATAATAAAACATGCCTCTATTAAATAAATAAAATAAATTTCTAAAAAAAAAAAAAAAAAAAACAAAATTCCCCACTTAATCAGCAGATACTTATACTTTGAGAAATTAAGTTCTACATGACAAGATAAAAGAGAAACATGGTAACACTTTATTTTAAATATACCGAATTTTGGGCCTCCCCTGGTGGTGTAGTGGTTGAGCGCTGGGCTGCAAAGCTGCCCACAGCCTCTGCAGCACTGGTTCGATCCCCGGCCGGCTGGCGAGGGTTCCACAAGGCACGCAGACCTCTCCTGCTACCTGCTGCTCCCCTCAGCATTGTATTTCGCCAGTCTGCCTGTTCTGCTCCCCGCTCTGGCTCTGGTGAATTCTCTCACCCTCCTGCGCTTCTGACTGTACCCAGTGCTTGTATAAATAAATAAATAAATCTTAAAAAAAAAACCAACAAATTTTCACAAATCTATATACTTATATAAGGAATCACATACACAGTCACACAATGATGTCGTCATAACACTGACCTGTAAGAACCCAAGGAATTCTTGGCACATATGTTAATAATCACACACCTCTCACACATACACACCCATTCCACCAATATTGCCTGAATTGCTTCTCAAACCTTACTAATTACCAGGCAGAGATAAGAAATTTGACTCCAAATCCATAACCAAACTTTTGCCCCCTATTACATTGTAGATTAGGAGCTGGTTAAATGTTTCCCTATACTACAAGGGGGAAAGGGACTAGAGAGCTAAGAAAAGGGTAGGTTTTAGATAATATGTGAAATCTCAAATAGGAAAAGATTTATTTTTTGTTAAAAAATTAATTTCTGGAATTCATTTTACTTATTTTAATGTACCTCAGTAACCTGAGAGAAAAAAATTAGGAAGGAAAGTTTCATAAAGTACTATGTAAGATTTGAGAAGAATAAAGATATATGAAATATCCCTCTATCACAATCATATATATGTATGTATGTACATACTGATAACCAACAAATATGTATAGATGAATATTGCTTTGTTTTTTAAAGATTTATTTATGTATACAAGAACTGGGGTACAGACCAGAGGTGTGGGGTAGGGGGTAGGTGAAAGGATTCACCAGAGACAGAGTGGAGAACAGAACAGGCGGAATACTGAAATACACTGGTGAGGGGAGCAGCTGGCAAGTCAGGAGAGGTCTGCTACGCCATGTGAGTAGCTCCCTGGCAGGCCGGGGATCAAACTCGTGCTGCAGTGGCTGCGGATTGCTTCATAGATTGTGTCTTAAGCCCTTGCGCTACCAGGGAGGCTCTAGATGGATATTTCTTAAGAAGATAAACAGAATGAATGCCATGTGAACTAACACCAATAAACTAACCATTTTGGGTCTAAACATTTATTTATTTGGGAGGGGGTGTCTAAACATTTACCCACTGCCTTGATTAGACACTTTGTTTAAATCTGCCTGTATTAGTCTCTTCAGGTATAAGATAAAGAAGCACCCTACGACCCAACACTCCATCAGATAAGCAAAAGATCCCTAAATGTTTATGGCACTTTTTTTTTTTTATTACTTAAAGGACAGTCATAATACCACCAAGAGAAGGAGTAAAAGTTCTTTCAGCTACAGTAATAAGTTCCTCCTATGTACCCTGAAATCCAAGAAATTGTCTCAAGATATTACGTGGCAGACTGTGCCATGGCCATCCAGCGCTCCCAGAATGCCCAAGCACGCAAGCACAGCACAGCTCTCCAGCAGCCTAGGCTGGGTTAATCATAAAGAGTCCTGCAGAGCCTGGTGTCTGTAGAGCTCCGAACTCTGGCACAGAAGCAGAACCCAATCACAGTTTTCAGCCTAATTTCAAGGCATATCATCTCTTTAAACTCCGTCACTATGGGCCAGGTGCTGGAGGGTCTCTCTCTAATCCAGAAGAGTGTACCCAGTTCTTGAGTTTGTTGTGATTTCACTGGCTATATTTCTGCTATCTGATAATGATGGTTGCGCAGGTGGGAGGAATGATGGGGTGGGGGATATTAATAAAAAAAGATAAAATAACCTGGGAGGGGGTAGGCTGAGGGTTATAGTTTAAGGCGATATATTATCCCTGTGGAGACTGGACATATCAGCAGGAAGTAAAACTAACTTCACAAAGATATAAACTTGTAAGTTTGGTTTGTTTTTAATTCCCCTGCCTTCTCAGGCATAGCATACCTGGACTATAAATTCTTGTAACTTCAAAGCCAGGTGAGAAAAGCTGCAGAAAGAAGTGGTAGAAAAGGGAGAGGTGCTGAGCTAAAGAGGAATCCAAGTCCCTCTTAAGAAGAATGGTAAAGCCAAGGGTACTCCCAGATCCCCAGAAAAGGAAGTAACTGGCTTCTAAAAACACACTTTTCCCTACCTTCTTGTTCTGGTTATAGCCAAAAGTCGAAATCCCAGGCCTGGAAGTCACTGATAGCAGCATTTTTCTTTAAAGTTAGGGAGCTGAGAGAGAAGAGAGAGAGGGAAGGGGAAGGGGTGGGGAGGAAGGGAGAAAGGAGCAAAAGGAAAGGGGGTAGGTGGAGAAGGAGCTGGGGCTGCTGTTTGCGTCACTGAGAGAAGTCAACCCAGAGTCTGACTGAGGTACTTCCACTGGGTCCTAATGCCCAAGATGTTACACACACACACACACACACACACACACACACACACACACACACACACACACACACACACACACACACACACACACCCAGCCATAAGAAGATTTATGCTTGATGTAAAGAGGTCATGAGAAACCGCCCTGGAAAACATGTTAAGAGAAGCACACTGGAAAGAGTATGTGAGATGAGCTTAGGACTCCCCACGTGACACTGACACCGACCACAAAGCGTGGAGAAAGAACAAACGTAACAGCTCACTGAAGAGCAAGACAAACCAGAGTGTGAGAAATAACTAGATTCAGATCCTCGCATAGTTCCATTTTCCTTGGGTCAAGCTGATGGGCGGATGCTTCTCACTCCTTTTCAGATTCCTCCAGGTTTGACCTCATTCCTAAGAGGAATTACCCAACCTGATAATGTCCTGAAACTTGGGGCTTCTTAGTTGTTTTGTTTCCAGCCGTATTAAAATATAATTGCCTGGTGGTTTCTTCAATAATTGTAGCTATCTTATTTTCTCATTTGATTCTTTATCCCCCTATTTCCGAATCTTCAAAGTTCATGAAGTTGAAACAATTAGTTACTCACCAAACGTGGAATTTATGCCTAAATTGAAGTTCACAGAGTTGAGATAGCTGCTGAAGTTGTCTCTGAGCTGTAGAGGGGAAAAGAAACCATTTAAAAAGCATATGCTTCACTGAGAAAAAAACTATAAAATTCTTAGGAAAGAAAAACATAAACTTAAGAGTCAAGAACTTAAGCACAGTTGCAACAACACTCACCTCTAATAGTTTCAAAGAAATATCCCATGAAAGTCGTCTTTAACAAAGAAAAGAAATTCGTAGAAAAGCAAACATAAGAACGATAACCCAGTAACTCCTATCAATCCAAGTGGAACAGGGAGGTAGAAAGAAAGCCTTCGAATCCCTTCCTGAAGCCACCTTGCTGCTGTCTTCTATATTCTCTTAAGACATGGATTAACCCTTTCTGCTTTGCTACTACACTAAGCCAAACTCACCCTTAAAAGAAGTCTGGTCTGTATTCTAGTTTTCCTGTCGCGTTTTTTGCTACATAAGGGGACAGAGACTATTAACATTCTTCAGAGTAAAAACACAAACATGCCACACCCCCAACTCTAACTTTCATTTCCAATAGAACAGGAAGTGCCTGCTGAGCTCAAGGGACACAGGAAGGGTGGCAACAGCCTCGCTGTGGGAATTCAACTGAGACTGGAAGCACAGGAACCAAATTCAGTAAATAAATCAGTAGAGGCATTTCTCAGTGATACCGTATGTTTTTAAGTCCCTTTTCTGCCCTCAGAGATTCTCATTCATTATATGCCAAGCTACCCTGGCCATTTAGACCTTTAGACTAACACTGTGGTACAAAAACCTTAATATTTAAGGTCTGGTTTATAATGAAATTTATAATGGAAGTCAACCTAATTGAATTTTTTAAAAATTCAAATATTCGGGCCTCCCTGGTGGTGCAGTGGTTGAGCGCTGGGTTGTGAAGCTGCCCGCAGCCTCGGCAGCCCCGGTTGGATTCCCGGCTGCTCCCCGGCCCCCTCTCCTGCTGCCTGCTGCTCCCCTCAGCAGTGTACTTCGGTCCTTCTGCCTGCTCTGCTCCCCGCTCTGGCTCTGGTGAATTCTCTCACCCTCCCGCGCTTCTGACTGTACCCAGTGCTTGTATAAATAAATAAATAAATCTTTAAAAAAAAAATTCAAATACTCTCAATGTGTTGCTATCCCTACTACATTCCTTGATGCTCAATGATATCTTAGAATTTAAAATAGTTAAAACCGGGCCTCCCCGGTGGTGCAGCGGTTGAGCGCTGGGTTGCGAACCTGCCCGCAGCCTCTGCAGCTCCGAGGGTCCCACATGGCGTGCAGACCTCTCCTGCCGCCCGCTGCTCCCCTCAGCAGTGTACTTCAGTCCTTCTGCCTGCTCTGCTCCCTGCTCTGGCTCTGGAGAATTCTCTCACCCTCCCGCGCTTCTGACTGTACCCAGTGCATGTATAAACAAAACAAACAATTAAATAAATAAATAAATATGCCTCTATAAAATTAAAATAAAATAAAATAAAATAGTTAAAACCATTGCTTTAGAGAGAACCAGATAGGAATTCAAATTCTGACATTGTTAGTTAATATTTATGTAGTTTAGGTCAGTTACCATTTATCTGACTTTAGAATCATTTAAAAAATGGAAATAATACCTACTTCATTAGCCTTTGGAAATCAAATCTAAGTTTTGTTTCAATCCCATCACTGAGAAGTTGAAGAACACTGGGTCCTCCCTGGTGGCGCAAGGAGACACAATCTACGAAGCTACCCACAGCTTCTGCAGCAGGAGTTCGATCCCACAGGGCCCAGCAGACCTCTCCTGACTCACCCACTGCTCCCCTCAGCAATGTATTTCAGTTAAGCTGCCTGTTCTGTTCCCCACTGTCTCTGGTGAATCCTCTCACCTCCCCCCGCCCCCATACCCCAGTTCTTGTATGCATAAATAAATCTTTAAAAAAAAAAGAATTACCACATGTATCTGAGCCTTTTCTAATCTGCAAAACAGAATAAATAAATAGTATCTACTTCCTAAATTTGTAGTGAAAGAAAATAAGGCAATGCATACAAAACCCTTAGGAAGGTACCTGGCAGTGGGTAAACATTCAATGTATGTTAACTCCATTACCCTATTCTCTCCCAGCAAGTGTGGCTCTGGGTTTACAGAACCTAGATTTGATGATCTGAAGTGAACATTTCCAAGAATTAATATCTCATTTACATTCAAAAGATTATACTAGGACTAGTCAGGCTAAACTACACAGTGAATGAAAAGTTTCTGAATCACCCAATCCAATTTCTTATTTTCTCTATTTTGCATAAGCAAACAATATTTGGAATTTTTTTTCTAACTTTCAACTTCCTAGAAATTTATGGAACATCTCTTATCTCTAGAAAAAAGTAATACACAATCAAAGCACAGCAGTATAAGACACTCCAATTTCCATTTCTCTAGGGTACTCTACTCTTAGAAATAGATCTCAAAGAAAAGTAGGATTTTCATGTATTCTAAGACTTAACATCATTTCTCTTCTCTACAAGTAGACAATATCAGATAAAAGGGAGATAAAACGTTAAATACCTAAATAAATTTCACTTTAAATGAATTAATACGAAAACTTAGGTTTTTTGGGTCTTTCTGTAAGTTTGGAGCCACAAAATTAAATTGATCCAGATTTGTGATATGATGCCAAAGGTGAATTATTTCACAGAACACTACAAGACTAGAAACTGCAGCCTTCAGTCTGGTAAGGACATTTTTTTTTTTTTTTTTTTTAAAGATTTATTTATTTATTATTTATTTATTTATTTATTATTTATTTATACAAGCTCTGGGTACAGTCAGAAGCGCAGGAGGGTGAGAGAATTCACCAGAGCCAGAGCAGGGAGCAGAGCAGGCAGAAGGACCGAAGTACACTGCTGAGGGGAGCAGCGGGCGGCAGGAGAAGTCTGCGCGCCATGTGGGACCCTCCTCAGGTGGCCGGGGAGCAGCCGGGGATCGAACCGGCACAGCAGAGGCTGTGGGCAGCTTCGCAACCCAGTGCTCAACCGCTGCGCCACGGGGGAGGCCCCTGGTAAGGACATTTTTAAAGGAAGTTACGGAATTTTGCGGAAGAGGTGGAGAAAGTAATGAAGTCCAATGGTTAGATCCAGGCATTACCTGAGAAGAGGAAGAATCCAGGTCCTTTCAGTGTATTTACTTTGTCCCCTCCTATCTGCTTTGCCCTTTATCTGGCCTGTTTTTCTAGATTTAGTAAGTACCTCTCAAATTCTTGGTTCTCATAGACCCAGCACCATTTGAGAAAGAAAAATAAGATCTATTTTGAATGTCTCTTAAAGAAAGACATTTATAACTCTGATTCGATATAGACTCATTTGTGATTTCTCCAGAAAAACAACACTTAAATAAGTGTCTCAGATAAATGAATATGAGCTAGTTGAACTGTGATCTGTATATTGAAAGATGCTTGCACATCACTACTAGCCCTTCCATATCAGGGTGGAGAACTAAAAAAAAGTGTTACCTGCAGATGTGATGAATGCCAGCCATTCACTGGATACAGACAGATGCGGTACATGTGTCTAAAAACAGTAAAAGAGGACCAGTTTGGTAGTGGAGCTCTAACTACTGTTCATAGATCTGAACCAGGTAGAGTAGGGCCAAGAATTTTTCTTTTTTCCCCAGCTATTAATATTCTCTGTGGCTCTTTCCTCCCACTGATTAAAATTTTTGTGCCCATCAGACAAAGTAATGAAAAGAGAATTTTAAAAAGTTGAATTTATTTCATGGTAAAGAAATGAGGTAATGTCTTAGAAGTAAAAATAAGAGTTCAACACATCAGCTTCCTTAGGAAGGAAATCTTAAGATGGTACATCAAATGACAAAGAAAAACTTAGCCCTATCCCCTCCGATGTAGGATAGAATGATAAAATTGGTCTAAAACTACAAATTAGATGGGCCTCCCTGGTGGCGCAGCGGTTGAACGCTGGGTTGCGAAGCTGCCCGCAGCCTCCGCAGCGCCGGTTCGATCCCAGCCTGCCCGGTGAGGGTCCCACATGGCGCGCAGACTTCTCCTGCCGCCTGCTGCTACCCTGCTCCCCTCAGCAGTGTACTTTGTCAGTCTGCCCGTTCTGCTTCTGCTCTCCGCTCTGGCTCTGGTGAATTCTCTCACCCTCCTGTGCTTCTGACTGTACCCAGTGCTTGTATAAATAATTAAATAAAATCTTAAAAAAACACACACAGTAAAAAAAAATAAAATAAAACTACAAATTAGGAAAGTTTGATGTTGTCTTGTCAACTCCTTGTCCTAACTCATTAGAAAGTAGGAATAGGGCCTCCCTGGTGGTGCAGGCAGTTGAGCACCGCACTGTGAAACTGTCTGCAGCCTCTGCAGCACAGGTTCGATCCCAGCCTGCCTGCCTGCCTGCTGGCAAGAATTCCACATGGCGCAGCAGACCTCTCCTGTAGCACCCACTGCTCCCCTCAGCAGTGTATTTCGTCAGTCTGCCTGTTCTGCTCCCCGCTCTGGCTCTGGTGAATTCTCTCATCCTCCCACACTTCTGACTGTACCCAGTGCTTATATGTATAAATAAATAAATCTTTGGGTGGGGGGGAAGGAATTTTCACTTCCTCTCCAAATGAATTCTCAATGAATATTAAGAGAACACCACCACCTCCTGGGTAAAATAGGTGGTGCGTCCTTTAGCAACTACTGATACCAGGAAAACAGCATAAAATTTGTTTATAGGTATACCCTATATATATATTTTTTTTAAAGGTCTTTTTTTTTTTTTAAAGACTTATTTATTCATACAAGCACTGGGCACAGTCAGAACCGCGGGAGGGTGAGAGAATTCACCAAAGCGGGGAACAGAACAGGCAGAGTGACGAAATACACTGCTGAGGGGAGCAGTGGACACGGGCGGCAGTTGCGGCAGTTGTGCCATGTGGGACCCTCGCCAGTGGCCCCGGGGATCAAACTGCAGCTTCGCAGCCCAGCTCAACTGCTGTGCCACCAGGGGAGGCCCCCAATATTTTTTTTAAGATTTATTCATTTATATAAGAACTGGGGTACAGGTCAGAGGCTCAGAAGGGTGAGAGAATTCACCAGAGAGAGAGGGAAGCAGAATAGGCAGACGGACCAAAGACACTGCTGACGGGAGCAGCAGGTGAGGCAGGAGAGGTCTGCCATGCCATGTGGGTTTCTCCCTGGCTGGCCTGGAATCAAACCTGCGCTGCAGAGGCTGCGGACAGCTTCACAGTGCAGCGCTCAACCCACTGCGCCACTGGGGAGGTCTGGGAGACCTAGTATTTGAAATTTAAACTTAGTTCTACCATTTGCTGTGTTAAAATGGAAAATCTCAATCTTTCAAAGTTTCCCCTTCAAAAAACAAAATGGGCATAAGTATCTTGTCCTATCCCTTAGGGATAATCATGATAGTCAAATCAAATGACTTTTGGGTCTCTGTAATATCCACTGAATCTTTTCCCCTTCAGTCTCATCACGGATACTGTGCTTGCCAGTGATGTGGTACAGACAACACTACTGGGTGACCTTGTTCTTACCATCCACGTGAGCCTCCCAAGTCACTGGTTCATGCTCCACCCTCATGCAAAGGCAGCAATATTGTAGTGGAGGAAATCAATCCAAAGGTCAAAGTGCAACTGGGGGCTAGTTCACTATCAAAGAAACTCCCCTTCCACAGGTAATTTCATACATGACCCAATCAGTTCTTATAATGGGAGTGTAGGGAGAGAGTAGGGAACTTATTATAAATAAATTCAAAAAAAGCAGGGGTAGGCAGCCATGAATATGTCCAGGCTTCAAAAGAGGGCTTAAAGTGCCCTCCTCCACTGTGGCAAAAAGGCCTGGTAGAGGGCCTCCCCGGTGGCGCAGCAGTTGAGCGCTGGGTTGCGAAACTGCACGCAGCCTCTGCGGCTCTGGTTCAATCCCCGACTGCTCCCCGGCCACCAGAGGGGGGTCCCACATGGCGCGCAGACCTCTCCTGCCGCCCACTGCTCCCCTCAGCAGTGTACTTCGGTCCTTCTGCCTGCTCTGCTCCCCGCTCTGGCTCTGGTGAATTCTCTCACCCTCCCGCGCTTCTGACTGTACTCCGTACTTGTATAAATAGATAAATAAATCTTTAAAAAAAAAAACCTTCAAAAAAAAAAATAAAAGGCCTGGTAGAATTCCAGCAAGACCAATGAAATTGTCAATGCCAACTCCTGTCAACAAATCAAAGACAGAATCAAATCAAACCCAGAAACAAATCAAACCCAGAAGTCTGTGACTGTCCATTCCCAACTCCATTCTGGAAAAACATCTTGGCTGCCAGAAGGGCAGGCATATGGGCATAGGTAAGCTAAAGGGTACTTTCTTGGATGTCCAAGAAGGTAACCTAGTTGAAAAGGATGAGAATTCTGCCCTGGGTGTTCAGAAGATACTGTGAATCTAAGAAGACTGACTGCCACAATACCACTGCCTGTACCTGAAAGCACACAAGGCTGGCAAGAAGCTCCTGGCTGACCAAGCTGAGGCCCACTGGTCTAAGACCAAGGAAGCACCAAAGCACTGGTGAGGAACTGCTCCAGACCAAGAAGGAATTGAGACTGAGGAAGAGACAGAAATAAAGCTCCTTCCCTCTCTAGTCTGTACACAGTAACCTCAGTAATTAATTGACCCATTATTCAATAAAATAAGATGTAATCTGACCTCTCCCTACCCCCCAAAAAGTCAGGGGTAGAAAATAAAAGGCGGCAAATAACTTCTGGTTAGTAACTTCCTTTTAGAAATGCCCTGATAGTATTTTCCTCATGAACAAGCTCAAAAATCTTCAGAAAAATAACATCCCTATTAAACAAGAATGAAATTTTCCTGTTATATTTGAAAAAAACGAACTCCGACTTGAGTTTACACTAAGTGCTAAGACCCAGAACTTTCTTAAAGAAGTCAGGGGCAGGGCCCCCCCTAGTGGCGCAGGGGTTAAAGACGGCGCTATCAAGCTGTCACCAGCCGCTGCAGCACTAGTTCAATCCCCTGTAGGACAGGCAGCAACCACATAGCGCAGCAGACCTCTCCTGTTTCGCCTGCTGCTCCCCTCAGCAGTGGATTTCAGTACATCTGCCTGTTCTGTTCCTCATTCTCGCTCAGGAATTCTTTCACCCCAAACACCTCTGGCTTACACCCTGGTTCTTGTATGCATAAATAAATAAATCTTAAAAAAAAAAAAAAAGTCAGGGGCAAAGCTGTGCATGAGGCAGCCCAGGGGCAAACTAAAGTCCCCTGAAGAGGGCTCCACTGACAACAGCTAGGGCAGGACTACAGAAAGGAAAAACAAACAAAAAAGCAAAATAAAGGTCACTGCATCTCGTTTTCAGACCAAATAAACCCTCCAACCCTAACTAAGGCAAAGGAGAATGGCCTTTCCGCAGAACACAACCGAATGTGGTTCTGATATTTACTTTCCCACGGTTACCCAAGATGTTCATTTCAATGTAAAGAGGAAAAGTGGTTATTTTGTTATCTACAGCCGGCCTGGGCCTAACTCCGTATTCTACCTGTGCTCCCAGACAAAGCGCCCCCTTTAGGGACGGGGTCATTCCCTGGAACGCAACTCAGTGGTTCACCTGGGGGAGAGCCTCGTTAGTGAGAGTTTTGTGACCGACACCGGAGTCTGATTGCGGCCTCTGGAACTTACCAGCCGGGTTATCGGGTTATCTTATTCACAGAAGTCTTCGTTTCCTCCTCTTCGCCCCGGGACTAGCAGCAACTACACGGCCGGCGCACTTGCCGGCACCGGCGGGCCTAGGAAACTCGCTGCGAGGGGCTGCGGGCACGCGCCTTTCCTCACGGTTGCAAAAAATCAAATTCCTGAATGTGCTTAGTTTTCAAAAATCTTTTTGTACATCACTTCTGCCTGTGAGTAACACAGGCGCAAGCCATTAAAAGAGCCCAACATTTGGGAGCACGTCACGGTTCGCAGGAACGTTCAGGCCTCCGTGTTGAGAGGCCCAGTTCAGCGCGGCCGCCACACACACAGGCGCCGCGGGACCCGGCATCGGCCGCCATGTTGCCCGGGGCCACGCTCGGGCGCGGGGCTGTTTCTGGTGGGGATATTTTCTGGGTAAGCGACTCTCCACTCACCAGCACCGGCACCAACACCAGTACCGGCACCAGCACCGGCACCACCAACACCGCCGACTAGGGGCGCGTCTGGCCTGGACGGCGCCTCAGGCCTTCGAAAGCCGAAGGTCGCAGAGCGGCCTCCTGACCAGGCCTCGGGCTTATCTGAGGGGAGAGCGCCAGCGCTCGCCCCGCTCCGCCGGAACGCCATCGTTCTGACGCCACCGCGCCCCCGAGGGCGCGCCCGGCTTCGAGACCTCCCGGCCTTGGCTTTCCCGCCCACCGCGTTAACGCGCACTGCGGCACGTGAGGGGTCGGGCGCGGAGGAATCCGCAGACTTTGGCGACGGCCCACCTGGCTCTCATTGGGTGGTCTCATCGTTTCTCCGCCCCCAAGCTTTTTGTCTCCTCGGTGATTGGACCTGGGGGCTGTCCATCCTGTCGAACCACCGCCCTCTTCCACCACCCACCCCCACCGGACCCCTCCGCCTCGTCTTCGGACCCTCGGCCGGCGCCGCTGCCCCGCGCTGGCCCCGAGAACCGTGTGCCCCCGGCCGTGGCCGCTCCTCACAGGGCGGCCCTCCTCCTGCCCAGCCCACCCCCGGCCCCGCCCCGCCACCTTCCCGGCCCTTCCCTCCGCGGAGCTCCCCCACCCAGCCGCGTCTGCAGTCCTCCGCCCGCCCGCAGCCTCCCTCAGACGCGCTGGGCGCTCCGGCGGTGCGGGCGCGCGGGGGATGCGCTCCATGAGGGCTCTGCAGGATGCGCTGAGCGGGGCCCGCAGTCTTTGCCGGCGGGGAGGCTGGGGTCACCTGAGCCGGAGCCCCTCCTGGGCGGGGGCGTCCGGCACCACCTCAATGAGGCCGCGGCGCGGGGCCGGGAGACGCCGCGCAGCCACCAGCCGCAGCGCCCGGATCAGTAAGGCTCGCGGGACGGGGCAGGGGCCCGGCGTGCTCCCACTCCCGCGGTGGTCCTCGCTGGCTCTCGAGTTCCCTTCCCCCGGGAGCGCTCCTCAGCTCCCTTCTCCTCTCTTCGCTCACTAGCCTGCGATGCCTTTTCCTTTAGATTTGGGGCTTTGGGTCCGCCGCGCTCGGGCGGTAACGTGCCGCCCGCCCGGGAGGGCGTTTGGGCAGGTCGGTCCTCGGGATGGTCCCTGTCCAAGGTGCGTACCTCGCCGGGCCGCGGCCGGGCGCGCGGTGTTGTTGGTGCACGTGTCTGAATGCGGGGCGCAGTGCGCGCCCACCCTCCCCGCCCCCCCCCCGTTCTCCCGTGCGTTCTGGGGGCTGCGTGGCGGCGGGACCCCCTCCCGATTCGAGCCCTGCCGTTCTCGGTCTGTGTGTGGCGGGTCTGCCTGTGCGTGTCCTCCGCGCGTGGTGTGTGATGCGCGTGTATTATTGGTGCTCACGTATGTCGTGTGTCGCTTGCGTATGTCTTGGGTGTGTGCGTTATCTGGGTTCCGTCATCCTGGGTTCCATCATCTGGGTTTTCCAACTTGTTGTCGAATGAGGAAAATGCCTTATGGTGATGGGGAAGACATTAGACGACGATTTTCTAAACCAGAGCCGGTATTTGTGCTGCTCAGGCTCCCTGATTTAAAGGGTTCCCTTCCCTCGGCCTCTTACTTTGCAGGAGAGGCTGCATCTCTCTCCCCCAACACCCAGGACACATGGTGGCTGAGTCTCTTTTCTTCCAGTGGCAGATGCAGCTGAGCAGAAAATTTACCCCCCAACCCAGAAGCCGAGATAGACACTGTCCAACAGTCCCTGCTTTATCATAGCAGAAACAGGAAATGAACCATCACCCCTGCCATTGACATCTACTAATGACATTCAAGAAGACACGCACACCACACCGTACAGACACAGCAGTACCTCACCACCACTGGAGTCCCTGCCTGACAGCTAACAGGCCAACACAATATCATTTATTTATTGTTAATAATAATCATGCTGTACTTTTCCATCACCCTCTTCTCAAGGAGACGCGGAACACTGAAACTTTAAAGAAGAAGCCCCCTCTTGTTTTGTACTCTCCACCCCAGCTTCTCCCAAATAATTGCCATAGGAGAAATGTTAGTGGGCTAGAACGAAGTTTTAACTTCCCTCACCCTCCTACCTTCTGTGGGATGGGGAGAAAGAGGGGCCCCTGGAAGACACACATTTCCATGTTCAGGCATCCAGCAGTGGGAGTGTTTTTAGGAAACGCGTTCCTCTTGCCGTGACTGCCAGTGCTTGAGGAAGCTCTTGTAACAGCGTTGGACTGGTGTTCCTTGGGCAGAAAGAGTAGGGCATTGAGGGCTTGGGCTCTGGGAGTTGAACACCTTGAGGAGGAAGGGGTTTGGAGGGACAGGCGGGCAGCAAGAAGAAAATACCCTCTTCGGGTTATTTGCTTTTTAATCTTCACCTTTATTGTTTTTGATTATGAAAGAAAAAGCGTACTGAGAAAAAAAAAAACAACAAAGATCCCAATACTAGAGATAACCACTTAATTTTGGCCTATGTCCCTATATATTCCCCATATGTGTGTGTATATATATGACATTTAACAAAAATGGGTTCATAGTCATGTCTTTGATAATCCGCCTTTTTCATTTGTGAGCAGCTTTTGATGTCATTGAATGTGTGTGTGTTGCCGTTTTGGTGGCTGCCATTTTGCTATGTTAAGATTCCGTTGAATGACATAATCATTTGCTTAACCAGACTTCAATCATTGTTCAGTTATTTCTTAGGGTATTCTAGGAAATTTTGTTCCCTAGAGACATTTGTCATTGATATCTGTATAACTTTCTAGAGATGCTTTATGCATATATCAGCAAATACAGGTTGGTGTTATTTTCCCTTTTTTATACAAATGGGTCATACAATACACTTTGCTTTCCCCCCTCCTCAACATTACATTGTAGATCAATCCATATCTGGGTTAAAGGGTATGCAATTATTTTTAAGTAGTGTGGTATTATTTACTGTGTTTCCTCAGCCTCCAGGCACAAGGACTGGTCCTCAACATGTCCCACGTACTTTCCTTCTTGAGTTTTCCCTCAAACAGCTTTTCTCTCCCTTCCTGTCACCACATGGATCCCCTCCTCACTATAGGCTCTAACCTCATTGTGATCATTGAATTTCCTCAGAAACAAGAAAACTCTCCCTTCTCCTGGTGTCCCTCTGACTCAAAACATACACAAACCTAGTTTATGCCAAGCATCTTGAGGGCTTTGGGACTAATTGGGAGAGCTTTTTATTTTTTAAAGCAATGTTTCAATAACATATATTCATGTATATCATATTCAATATATAGTCATATGGTTCAAAATTCAAAATATACCAAAAGATATACAGTGGAAAGTATCTCTCCCTCCTTTTGCCTAGTACTCATACCATCTCCTTAGAGGGAGATAAGTCAGTCTACTTCCAGAAGCAGTTTGTGTCCAGAAGCATTTTGTGTCTGAATAAGCAAACATATATTTTTTTTCTTTTCAAACATAAATAGTACTGTACTGTAAATATAGCTCTAAAACTTGCTTCTTTTGGTTGATAGTACATCTTAGAGATCATGCTATATCAATACCTAGAGCACTACCTCATTTCCCTTTTTTATACTGCATAGTATTCCATTATACAAATATACCATAATTTACCTACCCAAATTCCCTGTTGTTTCCACCTTAGGTTGTTTGCACCTTAGGTTGTTTCCAATCTTACTAACAATGCAATGAATAATTTTTAATATGTTACTTTGTAGGTATCTGGCTACTCCTGTAGAATAGATTCCTGGAAACCAAATTATTGGTACAAATGGTTTTGAAGGGGCTTAATGTCAAATAGCTGTCATGTTTGGAGAAAAACAATTTCTCTAAAACTGTTAACATGTTAATAGGAGAACTCCTGAGGACCAAGAAGTTTTTAATACCTAAATTTTAGGTGCTATAAGCCAGTGAGAGATAGGTATACTGTGTGGACCAGGGACCTTCCTAGCAATGTAACTTGATAATTCTTTATTGAAGACCCACTATGTGTTAGGGACTGCTTGATGTTAGGAAGCTAGAGATATATCAAACACAAAGGAGTAAAGGATGTTCTTCTGTCAACAAGATGATGTATTATGTCACATTTGCAGCATAAGCAAAATGTGGAGATTTGGGGAAGCCTTCACAGAGTTAGTAACATTTGATCTGGGCCTTGCAGAATGAGCAGGACTGTGCCAGGTGAAGGAGAAGAGGGTCATTCCATGCAGAAGTTGCAGTATAATCAAAGGCCAAGAAAGCTGACAGAGCCTAGCCCATTTGGAGAGCCGCCTTTCCCTGCCGTAGCTTGAGTGTGGGACATGGTAAAGAATAGGAAAGGAATGTAGGCAGATTTTAAAGAACTTTGAATGCCATGAGAAGAAATAAGAACTTAGTCTGTAGACACTGGGAAGCTACCAAAGGTTTTTTGTTTTTTTTTTAAGACTTTTTTTTTTTTAAGATTTATTTTTATTTATTTATACAAGCACTGGGTACAGTCAGAAGCGCGGGAGGGTGAGAGAATTCACCAGAGCCAGAGCGGGGAGCAGAGCAGGCAGACTGAAGTGCACTGCAGAGGGGAGCAGCGGGCGGCAGGAGAGGTCTGCACGCCATGTGGGACCCTCCTCCGGTGGCCGGGGAGCAGGCGAGGATTGAACCGGTGCTGCAGAGGCTGCGGGCAGCTTCGCAACCCAGCGCTCAACCGCTGCACCACCGGGGAGGCCTGCTACCAAAGGTTTTTAAGTAGAAGAATGATGTTTGAGTTTGAAGAAGATAATTGACACAATGAGGAGATGGATTGGAAATCAAGAGTGTACTGGCAGTTAAGATAGATAACAAGGAGTGATGGTAAAGAAGCATGATTTACTGAACATCTACTCTGTGAGAGATCTTTTCATAGGATGTTATTTTAATTAAGCCTCACATCATCTATCTGAAGCAGAAATTACCACCCTTATTATACAGTTGAGGAAGCAGGTTCAACAATATATAATAACCTCACCACTTACTACACATATTAAGATCATATAGCTACTAAGAAAGTTCTGGTTCTTTCTAAAACCACACCATACTGGCACAGGGAAGAGGGGAAAATGAAGTGGGTTTGGGAGACACTGTAGAGGTAGATTCATCAAGTGTTGGTTACCACCTGAGCCTGGATATAAAGTACGGAAATTAATCAAGTGATTCCACATTTCCAGCTTGGCACGCTGGTGAGTGGTAACGCTACGAACTCAGATGGGAAACAGAAGAGGAGCAGAGGGAGGGAGATGAGATGATCTCAGGTTTGGACATAATGAGTTTGTGATACTGATGGGACATTTAGAAATGGAAGTATCTAGAAGGCAGCTAGAAATGAAGGTCTGACTGTTACAAACAAAAGAAAGCTAGAGAGTAAGGTTTAAGACTTCTCAGGACAGAAGAAAAGTTGGAACTACAGGGATAGAGCGAGATGCTTCCAGGAGAAGGCAGAGTGAGGACACTGCCTACTTATGATCAGCCCATGTCCCAGGAGGAGAAGCAGGGAGAGTTCTCAGGCTTTTGCCCTCCTCCCCATCTCTACCCCCAAACAGTGATGCATCAGAGAGTGGCATGCTGTCCCGCCTGGGTGATCTTCTCTTCTACACTATTGCTGAGGGACAGGAACGAATCCCTATCCACAAGTTCACTACTGTAAGTTGTGCTCTACCAACCCAAAGCACTAATCCAGTAGGATCTCTGGCAAATGGGCTGGGGAGGGAAGGAAAAGCGCAGGGCAGCAAGGGGATTGTTATGAGGGATGAAGAATAGTAGCTGATAAGATGCCTGGGCTGTTGAGACCATCTCATCCCTGCCCAGGGTAAAAAGATGAAACCTTCTGTCACACCATCTTCTTGGTTTGGAGCTTTGACCCAAGGGGTTCAGAAACCAGTTGCCTTTATGAAAAAGGGCAGGAAGCCCCTAGTAGCCTTCAGAGCTACTCCTTTCCCTCCTTTCTTGTCTCCAAACCCCCGTGTTCCACCTATAGTGGTAGTTGAGGTCGAGCTAATTGTTGTCCACTGGGAAAGATTATTAGAATTAGTGACTATTCTTGTAGCTGACTTTACCAGGCGTTTCCTTTTCCCTAAAGGCCCTGAAGGCCACGGGACTGCAGACATCAGACCCTCGACTGCGGGACTGCCTGAGCCAGATGCGCCACATGGTTCGAGAATCCAGCAGCGGGGGCCTCTTGGATCGAGAGCTCTTCCAAAAGTGAGGGCCCCAGAAACAAGGGCAGCGCTCTCCAAGCTGTTCTGGGCATATAGACTATATAATAGCGGGGAGGGGACCTTGGGGATTGTCCAGTTCACCCCCTTCATTAATATAGAAATACATGTTCTCCTTTCCCTCTCTCCCCAGTCCCAGTCCTTTCTTCCAGAAGAAAACATTGTAAACAGATTAATGAACAGATTAATGGGTATCATGTAGATAATATCCTGTGCATTTACAGATATGAGAGTATAAGTGAATGTACTTGTATGATCTAGGATTTCTTTAAATATGAAAGTGACCTACTATACATGATTCAGATATTTTTTTTTTTCTCATATCCCAAGACACTGTGTCTTGGGATATCTCTCAACATCATTACAACCCCTCACTTTCGAGGCAAAGAAACTTAAGACCCAGAAAGATAAGGTGACATGCCAAAGGTCACATAGCTGTTGGTCCCAAACCTGATGACCACTCACACCTTCTTTATTCCCAACTTCCACGTCTCCGGAGTGAGTCACAACTGCATCTCTCCAGCCCCCTAACCCAATCGTGTCCGGGATCCAGGTGTGTGAGCAGCAACATTGTGCTCCTGACCCAGGCATTCCGAAAGAAGTTTGTCATTCCTGATTTTGAGGAGTTCACGGGCCATGTGGATCGCATCTTTGAGGATGCCAAAGAGCTCACTGGAGGCAAAGTGAGGGCCGGGGGGCTAAGGGAGGGGCAAGGGCTCTGGGCCAGATAGACTTTGCTTCTTGGAGATTTCCTGGGGCTGGGTGTCCAATGATGATCAAAATCTCTAAAAATGGGGACAAGGGCTTTATGTATTTCTATATGTATGATTTCTAGAGCAGGCAAGGGAATCAGGCTTTTCTGGGGACAGTGAGCATGAAGAGCCAATAGAAAGAGGCCCATAGCGTAACTGAGCCTGAGCCCCACAAAGGAAAGCGGACCCCAGAATTCTCTTTTTGCCTTCCAAGGGCTTACTGCCACCTGTTTAGGAGTGGGGCTCCAGAAAGATAAGGCCTTCTAGGACTTAAGGCTTGGGTGTCTCTGGGAACAACAGGTAGGAGAGGGACCCATGTTGTCCCACAGAAGACAGAATTTTAACTTTTATCTAAAAGGTTCTCTTGACTCTGAGCCTCAGCTCCGTTCCCTCACTCCATATCCTTATTTCCACTGTGTCTGTTTTCTCTCCCCGTCATGCCCAGGTAGCAGCCTACATCCCTCAGCTGGCCAAGGCAAATCCAGACCTGTGGGGTGTCTCCCTGTGCACCGTGGATGGTCAGCGGTGAGATGCTGGGTGAGAGGAGGGGCGGCAGGGCCTCAGTGCAGAATGAAGGCCGATCCCTTTCATGGCATCTGTCTGCCTCCAGGCACTCTGTGGGCCACACAAAGATCCCCTTCTGCCTGCAATCCTGTGTGAAGCCCCTAACCTATGCCATCTCCATAAGCACCCTAGGCACTGACTATGTGCACAAGTTTGTGGGCAAGGAGCCCAGCGGCCTGCGCTACAACAAGCTTTCCCTCAATGAGGAAGGTGAGCACAGTAGGGCTCAAAACAGACTCATAGCTGCCCCGCTCTCCTCATCTCTACTCCTCTGGCCTTTTTTTGTTTGATTCTCTGCCCTCCTGATTGGCCATGTCATTCTCTCCTCCCCACAAAGAAACAGTTGTTGTCTAGCCCGCAGAGTGGACAGCCTTTTAAAGGAAGTTTTGCCCAGTGGCTGATCAGACTCTGGTGGTTTCTATTTCCCCAGGAATCCCCCATAACCCCATGGTCAATGCTGGTGCCATTGTCGTGAGCTCCCTGATCAAGGTCAGTGCCACCTTAGTCTTCTCTAAAATACAGTTCTCTAAATTCCCTTGTTCCTATATCCGTCATGTCTGCCCACCTCTCCACGAAGACCCTTGATTCCTTTGAGGGTCCCCAGAAAGCACATGAGGGCACAGCAGGGACTATATTTTGTGCTGAGGATGTAAGTAAAAGGAACTGTACCCCTGCCCCAACCTGTGAATCCGAAGCCCAGGGTTTCCTGGCCCTTAGAGAAATGAGCAGGTTCTGACCCCTGCCTAGGACCAAGGGCCAAGTGCCAGACACAGGGGGAGGACGGGACTATTAGACACTGATTGGCCATTTCTGGGTGAGGTTCACCAGGAAGGAAGGGTGAATGGCCAGGCCAAGGCAGCTGTTCACGTCACCTGGAACTACGATTTGGCCTTGAGCAAAGGTGTCAGGCCAGACGTCAGCTGTGGGTCTCCTGGGCTTGAGCAAGAACCAGAGAGCAGTGTGGGCAGCGACACTCTGGAGCCAATCACAGCCCCTCCCGGGGAAGGTGGTGTTAGAAACCCTGCCCCCAGGGATTCAGGTGTCAGAGTCCCTATGGTGTTGACTCTGTAGTTGACACATGCAGGGAGCATTGTGTGGGGGGTGGGGTCGCGGGGGAGGGCAGGGAGACCAGATTCAGTCTCCCTTTGCTCTGGAGTAGCTTTATCTAAAACCCCCTATATGGCACCTGTCTCATCCCACTCCATCTAAGCAGGCCCCACTGGACTTGACTCTGGACTAACAATTCAGTTATCAATAAAATTTATATAATCGAATATTATATGTGAGACTCTGATCCCATTCTTGTCAGTCACTCAGTCTTGGAGGTGGCTGTGAGTGAGGGATTGGACAGAGTAAGGCTTCTGGCTTGGCAGATGAGGAATGGGATCAGGAATAGAGGTGGGGCTTGGGAACAGGATTGGTGTAGGAAAATGACAGTGGGAGTCAGGGGAGAGGGTTGGGATTGAGAATGGAAGTGGGAGTGAGACTCGGATGGGTGAGGCTTATCCATAGGGTGACACTTTCTGTACTCATTACCTGATAATCTAAATGACTAAGTTGCGGGTTTTTTTTAAGATTTATTTTTATTTATTTATGCATACAAGAACTGGGGTATAGGCCAGAGGTGGGGGGAGAGGCGGGTGAGAGGATTCACCAGAAACAGTGGGAAGCAGAACAGGCAGATCTGCTGAGATCCACTGCTGAGGGGAGCAGCGGGTGAGACAGGAGAGGTCTGCTGCACCATGTGGGTCACCTCCCTGCTTGGGGATCGAACTCAGGCCAAACTCAGGCCACAGTGGCTGACGATAGCTTAATAGCACTGAGACTTTAACCCCTGCACCACCAGGGAGGCCCTAAGTGACTTAGTTTTTAAGGTTATACTAGATATACATGGAAACAAAAAGGTCCCAGTTGTGGTTTTGTTTTTTTTAAAGTCACTGTAAAACAGAACATTCCAGTAGCAAAACCAGTGTAATACTTGAACTCACATAGATCCTTCTAATCCTCCCCTGTCACCCTCCAAGGGTGGTAATACTGAAATCTTTCTCTCTCTCTCTCTCTGCAGATGGACTGTAACAAAGCAGAGAAGTTTGATTTTGTAAGTTCCCTTGCTACTCAGCCCCTGGCTGCTTTTCTCTCTGGCAAGTTGTCCTCTCCAGGTGCCCCAGGGAGTTCTAACCCCAGTGTACCACCCATAGTAGAAGCCTTCTTTCTGGGGGCATGGAATCTGTGGGCCTTAGCGAGGAAAACCTCCTGAAGTCCCTGCCCGGATAAGGACTGAGGCATTCAGAAGGGTAGTTAGCCCAGTAGGTATTGGCAGGGGCCCCCACTCACATGGTACCTCCCAAATCCCTTCTTCTCTTCTAGGTATTGCAGTATCTGAACAAAATGGCTGGGAATGAATTCATGGGTTTCAGCAATGCCACGTAAGGCCCTGTTCACAGGATTGGCCGAATGCACTATCAGGTCGTGTGTGAGATGGAGGGAGAGATAACAGACTCTTAAGAGGAAGAAATTCCAGGGGAACCTTGGCCTTCCAGCTTCCTCTGAGTCCCTTCATTGGCACTTACTTTGTAAAAGAATTTATTCCCTTTCTGTATATTAGTAAGTGAGAAAGCCAGTGTGTAGGGTTTGCACCTAGATCCCATCTTGCCAACCCTCTCAAAGCCAGAAACCACCCCTTTTGTTAGGATTGATGACTAGACAGTTTTGGGGTTTGTTTTGTTTTTCACACTTTGCAAAAAGCTATGCCCAGTGCTCACGCAGGTTCCAAAGTTTCCTCCAGTATTACCGTGACAGTTGTTAAGGTGCTGATTTAGTTTGACCTGTGTGATGGAGCTGTCTCTCCACTCACACCTACCCTCCTCACATCAAGTACTAAAATGGTGTTTGCTTCAGATTCCAGTCAGAAAAGGAAACAGGGGATCGGAATTATGCCATCGGCTATTATCTAAAGGAAAAGAAGGTAACTGGGAGAGACCGGCAGAGAAAGACCCTGGGAATCCTGTGTCTGGTGGAAGGGAAATTGGGTTGGGGCCTTTGACGAGGTCCTGGCAGGGTGACAGAAACTGCGGACACCTGAAAAGAAATGCTCTCCCCTCTTCCTTGCAGTGCTTTCCCAAGGGGGTGGACATGATGGCTGCCCTCGATCTCTACTTCCAGGTAAGCGAATACTGCTGTTCTGCTCAGGGCTAAGGGAGCCAGACACACTGCCTCCGTGCTCTAACCCGCAGTCCTCTTCAGTGGTGCTGGTGTCCTTCAGAAACACCATGGGAACTCGTGGAAAACTCAGGATGCCAAGAAGTTGCTGCACACCCAACAACACAGTGTTCAGGTCCACACCGCACCCGCACCTCTGCCTTGTCTCCACAGCTGTGCTCCGTGGAGGTTACCTGTGAATCAGGCAGTGTCATGGCAGCCACCCTGGCCAATGGCGGGATCTGCCCCATCACAGGCGAGAGCGTGCTGAGCGCTGAAGCAGTGCGCAACACCCTCAGCCTCATGCACTCCTGCGGCATGTACGACTTCTCCGGCCAGTTTGCCTTCCACGTGAGTGCTTCTGGTCCTGCCGCCCATTTGCTACAAGCCCAGTGCAAGAGGAGAGGACACTGAGTCTCTGAAGGTAGACAGGTGGAAGCTTGCTCCTGCCTCTCACTCACTAATTCCCGGCTAGATTAGCTGAGAATCCGTAAGAGAGTTAAAAGCAAGTTCCTCAGACACATGATGCTGCAGATCTTGAACTGCGCTTCTGCCACCCGTCACGCAGCTGCCGCACCTCGAGTCTCAGCATGGATGTCACTTCCAAAGAGAGGCTTTTCTGACCACTCCATCGCAAATGGGTGCCCTCCACCTATATTCTCTATCCCAGCACCTTTCTTCTCTGTTACCAAGAGCTGTAATTTACTTTTATCTTTTTGTTTACCTGTTATTGTCTACCTCCTAACACCAGAATGTAAATTAAATCACTTTGTCCTGAATCTAGTGTAGCATTAGGCACAGACTAGATAATAAATACTTCCTTGCTGAAGTTCTAATTTGAAAGGGAACCAGAGGGAGATAATAGAAGCTAATTAACAAGCCAAAAAGTTAAGATGGCCGTGACCTTCCCAATGCAGTCATGTGGTTGAGCTATCTTGTTAGACTACTCTTGGGATAGCTCTTGCTCATCCTGTTTCATCTTTATCACCTAGGTGGGCCTGCCAGCCAAGTCAGCTGTGTCGGGAGCCATACTCCTGGTGGTACCCAATGTCATGGGGATGATGTGTCTGTCACCTCCACTGGACAAGCTGGGGAACAGCCATAGGGGTATCAGCTTCTGCCAGGTAAGTTGCTTTGAATATGGTGCTTAATATTTTTTTTTTTTTTAAATTTTTTTTTTCTTTTATAGAGGCATGTTTTATTTATTTATTTATTTATTTGTTCGTTTGTTTTGTTTATACATGCACTGGGTACAGTCAGAAGCGCGGGAGGGTGAGAGAATTCACCAAAGCCAGAGCAGGGAGCAGAGCAGGCAGAAGGACCGAAGCACACTGCTGAGGGGAGCAGCGGGCGGCAGGAGAGGTCTGCGCACCATGTGGGACCCTCCTCCGGTGGCTGGGGAGCAGCCTGGAATCGAACCGGCGCCGCAGAGGCCGCGGGCAGCCTCGCAACCCAGCGCTCAACCGCTGCGCCACCGGGGAGGCCCTTAAAGGACCCTCCTCCGGTGGCCGGGGAGCAGCTGGGGATCGAACCGGCACTGCAGAGGCTGCGGGCAGCTTCGCAACCCAGCGCTCAACCGCTGCACCACCGGGAGGCCCCTTAATATTTTTTTTTTTTTAAAGATTTATTTATTTATACATGCACTGGGTACAGTCAGAAGCGCGGGAGGGTGAGAGAATTCACCAGAGCCAGAGCAGGGAACAGAGGAGACAGAAGGACTGAAGTACACTGCTGAGGGGAGCAGCGGGCGGCAGGAGAGGTCTGCGCGCCATGTGGGACCCTCCGCCAGTGGCCGGGGAGCAGCCGGGGATCGAACCTGCGCTGCAGAGGCTGCGGGCAGCTTCGCAACCCAGCGCTCAACCGCTGCGCCACTGGGGAGGCCCCCCTTAATATTTTTGAATTGAGTAAGGAAAGGAATTTTGAGCTCCTACCAAAAACAAGAAAACAATCTCTTTGCCTTAAAATTCTAGAAGTTGGTGTCTCAATTCAATTTCCACAACTATGACAACCTGAGGCACTGTGCCCGGAAGTTAGACCCACGGCGTGAAGGGGGAGAAGTTCGGGTAAGAAATATCCAAGTGGTTTTATTTATTTATTTATGCATACAAGAGCTGGATACAGGCCAGAGGTGTCGGGGGTAAGAGGATTCACCAGAGACACAGTGGGGAACAGAACAGGCAGACTGACTGAAATACACTGCTGAGGGGAGCAGCAGGCGAGACAGGAGAGGTCTGCTGCACCATATGAGTTGCTCCCTGGCCAGCCAGGGATCGAACTTGTGCTGTAGAGGCTGCGGATTGCTTCATAGTGCAGTGCTTAACCCCTTGCGCCATCAGGGAGGCCCTGAGAATGCTTTTTTTTTTTTTAAGATTTATTTATTCATTTATTTATGATTTATACAAGCACTGGGTACAGTCAGAAGCACGGGAGGGTGAGAGAATCCACCAGAGCCAGAGCGGGGAGCAGAGCAGGCAGAAGGACCGAAGTCCACTGCTGAGGGGAGCAGCAGGTGGCAGGAGAGGGCTGCGCTGCGCGCCATGTGGGACCCTCCTCCTGGGGCCGGGGAGCAGCTGGGGATCGAACCGGCGCTGCAGAGGCTGCGGGCAGCCTTGCAACCCAGTGCTCAACCGCTGCCCTACCGGGGAGGCCCTGAGAATGCTTTTTAACAGAACATTCCATAACCCTAGCTAAGTATCCATGGAGGAAGATCTCAAGTCAGAGCTGGGCTGGGCTGGTTGAAAGTTAATCTCAGGTTGGTATGATTTGTGTTCCAGAACAAGACTGTGGTGAACCTGTTATTTGCTGCCTATAGTGGGGATGTCTCAGCACTTCGAAGGTACTTCTGTGATCAAATAAACCAAAATACTCCTAATCAGAGATCTCAACAGGAGTCACAAGGCAAAATAGTTAAGGGCTTCAGCTTTATAGTCAGAATGGACATAGACGGAATTTAAAGAACTTTTTAAACTATAGCGCCTGCCATGTAATAAGGATGTAACAGTAGCCGTTGTTAAGATTAAGCTGGATGTTAAGATTAGAGTCCTAGGGGGTAGGTGTGGACCCTAACTCAGATTACCAACAGACACAGATATGTACAGGCACCTACCACAGCTAGGTACTTGTTTCTGGAAGCATCACGCTCCTGTCTCATGTGGGAACAGCAGTCTCATGTGGGCACAGACACCGACGGTGCAGGGTGTACCCATCTTGGCACAAGCTGTTTTACTTTTTCTGTGACCCATCTCATGTGACCCCCACTTCCAAAAGGACTCGGTTCTTGGCTGAGCTGGGTAACTCCAGCTGCTTTCCACTACCCGCAGGTTTGCCTTGTCAGCCATGGACATGGAACAGAAAGATTATGACTCCCGCACGGTCCTGCATGTTGCTGCAGCTGAAGGTATCTGATAAGAGGGGAAGCAGATCTGAAAGCCAGTTTTCTACCCAGAACACCCCCTTTGTATATGCCCTTAAGATTTGTAAAGCAACCAACCCATTCCAGGCAGGTTTGTGAACGGTTCAAGCAGCCACATGCTCTTCGCTGTTGTTTGTAGTCGCTGTACTCCTCGGTACACTCCACTCCACCCTCGACACCGCACCCCCACCACACCGCACTCTGCTGTGCCACCCTTATAAATCAGTCTCTTAGCTCAGGTGTACCCATCTACACTTGCCCATACCCTACTCCAGGTGCCCGCCATCAGGACCGCAGGGTTCCGTTATCCATCCTAATGGCGGGAGGGCAGAAAAGCCTGATGCCTTTTACCTTACCCTACAAGATTACAAGAGCAGCAACTAGTTTTGTCCAGATGCCCTTCAATCTGCAAACTATTGTTGGTTGTTGTGGGGAGCAAAATTAGAAGAGGCCTCCATCCCACCCCATCCTTGATTTAGACTCCAGCTGCCCAAGGACTCTGCTAATATCAAAATGTTCAAGGCCGTATCCTCTCATTTTCCTTCTGCCTTTATTCCTAGGACACATTGAAGTTGTTAAATTCCTGATTGAGGCTTGCAAAGTGAATCCTTTTGTCAAGGACAGGTGAGTGGTATAAAGCTAATAGGGCGTGGGGGTTGCAGGGGGGGGCAGCTTTTTTACTGTCCTCCAGCCACCAGTCACATGTATAACCACAGCACCCTCCGTGTCTTCTTTTCTGATCATGGTCCTTGTTCCTTGCAGGTGGGGCAACATTCCCATGGATGACGCTGTGCAATTCAACCACCTGGAGGTGGTGAAGCTGCTTCAAGATTACCAGGACTCCTACACACTATCCCAGACTCAGGCTGAGGCAGAGGCTGAGGCCTTGTCCAAAGAAAACTTAGAGAGCATGGTGTGAGCATGGGGCACGGTGTCCCTACTCTAGAAAAAGCACCAGCTGGCCACACACGTAACCCATTACTACCAAATACCCTATGGAGAGCTACACTGCTTCAGTGGGAACCAGGACTGAGGCCAGTGCTTTCTTTGAGAGTCAAAATACCCCATTCCTTTGGCAGACAGAGTATAGAGAAGTGCCTCACTGGACTCCTGCAGTAGAGCTATCCATGGAGACTGTGGGCTGCTTCAAAGTACAGCTTACTAGCTTGGCCCACTCAAAACCACCCCAGATCTTCACCCAGATCCCCTTTTCTCCCTGAAGAAACCATTGTGACGGATAGAGATGCCCTGGTGAAGGGGTTCTAGCCACCAGGCATATGTATATACCCACAGAGGAAGGGGGACAAAGGGTGGCTAGGCACCTGGCTTTAGTAGTCTGGAGAAGTCTGCCTCCCCTTGGCCAGGAAGTGCTACTGCTAACAGCAATTTTATAGACAGAGAAAGTATTTTGTGCTCAAATAAACTTTAATTACACAAATTATTATTTTTGCTAAACCCAGTCCTCTTTCTCCCCGAGGGGCATCCAGCTATGTCTCCATCATAAAAGTTGAATAAGATGGAACCACAGGGTCAGACAGAGCTCAAGCAATATATATTTCACATACATATTTCACATATATAATCACTCACTCCACCAGGTTTTTCTCAACCCCAAATACTGCTATAGGTTAAGTTTATTCTGCTGCTAAGGGGGTGAGGGTGTAGGTCTGAGCACGTCCAAAAATGGGTTGAACAAGAACTCAGGCCTCCCGCCTCCTGGAAGTTCCATCTGTAGCAGAAATGAGTCTGGAACTTCTCAAGAATAAAGTTTTTAGCACAAAACCCCCCAAATGTCTCTTCCCCTTTGGTCATGGTTGTAACTGGCCCAGTGATTATAACGGATTGACCAGGTGTCAAAGGTGTGCAGATTAAGGCAGATGGACTAGGGGTGAGGAGAGCTGCAGCTGTGCGGGGCTGAGAGCATGGCATTGAGGTACTGGGGAAGGAGCGCTCTGTTCTTGCTCTGACAGTAAAGCACTTCCTGAGGGAGCCGGACACCGGACTCTGCTACAGAGAAAGGGCCAGCTCAGACTGCACCACTCTCCTCCAGCCAGAGGTAGAAAGGGTTTACTCTGGAGAAATTCAGTAGAGCCCCAAGAACAAACAGAAGCTACATGTGGGCAAAAAGAGATCGCAGCCATGAGTAAATTCAAACGAAAGACCCCAGATAAAGTCTGTGAAAGGCTTAGGCAGAGGGACTGAAGGAGGCAAGTCCGAGAAAGTACATTCATGGTAACTGGGGAAACTGGCAATAGTTTGGGGGAGCCTAGAAGGTAGTTAGCTTTACCTAGCTTTCACAGGGCAGGGGAGAAAAAGATAACAAAGATATTGCACAGAGGACCTGACGCTGGGCTGTGGGAACTAGAGATTGCTTGGGACAAAGCTTAAAGGTTTCAGATACTGGCAGATGGCTGGCCAAGAGTGTGATAGGGACTCCAATGATGGACATACTAGAGGCCCTCGGGCACCTCAAGCCCCGAGTGGGACAGCAGTTCTCCATCCCAAAGGGCAAAGGCAGGCACCACTGGACCCCGGAAATCTGTCTTTATCGTGTGGACCACAGCGACCCGGCTCACATCCACGAGGCTCAACTTTTGGGCCTCATACTCCAGTAACAGCCCCACCTTCTCTGGCTGCCCGATGCCCTCAATAGGGGCTCTTTCGTTCGCCAACATGGTGTGCCACTTGCGCTGGGCATAGGTAAAGACCCAGGAACGATCGTCAACACCGATGCAGCCATCCCGGGATATGTCCACATCGGCCACTCCTATCCGGAACTGCTGGGAGCGTTTCACTGTCACCTCCCAGTAATGCCTGCCGCTGGAGACCGCTGTGTCTGCCAGCACCACTGCCCACTCCCGGAAGCGCTCCACATTCGGGGCCAACTTGGTGGGTTCCAATCCCACTATGCCATACTTGACACCCGTGTCACCTTTGAAGAGGGCCAGGCTGCTATGGGCGGTCTTTTCTTCCAGTTTGAAACTGATGCCTGCGGGCAGAGCAAAGAGACGGGGTGACGCCGGGGGCTGGGCCTTAGAAGGAATGATACATGCATATTCCCACACGAAGTCGGCAGGCAGGACAGCTCGGGGATACGGGGGCGAATCATGGGGCAAGAAAGTGGGGCAGTTTTAGCAGGGCAGCCCTCGGACTGGGGGCGTGCAGGGATCTAAGGAAACCCGATCCCGTCCCAGCTTTGGAATCTAGACTAACCTCGACGGGGGAGGGGAAATGTGACCCAAGGGGGCTTGGAGTTGTTCAACGGAGCGGGCTCCAGCAGTAACAGACGCGATGCCATTTTGGAGGTTAAAAGGTAAAAGGAGATAATCCTACCTCTGCGGGCTTCCGCGGCAACAACCCCCAATTGTTTGGCTCCCCAACGGCAAAGGGACAGCGAGCGAGCAAAGGGCAGCGCCATCTTGTGCCACGGAAGAACAGGGCACGCCCCCCGGCCCGAGACCCCGCCATCTGCGGGCTCGCTCCTCTCGCACGTGGTGAGTGACAGTTGGTCGCGCGGAGTGATGACGTCAGGGAACCGGCGCCCAGCGGGGAGCCGCCATTTTAGTGAACTGTGTTCTAGGTCCCCCCACGGTTGCTGCAGTTTTGTTTTGTTTTGTTTTGTTTTGTTTTGCTGAGAGGAACGCTACTCAGATTTGAACCGAATATGACGTTTAGAGAGAGCGTGTAGAGAGGGGGTTTAAAGTATAGATTTTAGGGCCTCCCCGGTGGCGCAGCGGTTGAGCGCTGGGTTGCGAAGCTGCCCGCGGCCTCTGCGGCGCCGGTTCGATCCCCGGCTGCTCCCCGGCCACCGGAGGAGGGTCCCACATGGCGCGCAGACCTCTCCTGCCGCCCGCTGCTCCCCTCAGCAGTGTACTTCGGTCCTTCTGCCTGCTCTGCTCCCCGCTCTGGCTCTGGTGAATTCTCTCACCCTCCCGCGCTTCTGACTGTACCCAGTGCATGTATAAACAAAACAAACAAACAAACAAACCAGCAAACAAATAAATAAAGCATGCCTCTATAAAAGGAAAGAAAAAAAAAAAAAGAAAGTATAGATTTTAGAGTTAAGGAATTGGATTCGAACTCAGCTCCTCTGGGTGACTTTGGGCAAATCACTTCTCTGAGCCTTCGTGTTCGCAGCTGTAAAACAAAATTTTACATCTAAGTAAAATTGAATTGATGAAACAACCTAGAATACAATTTGAAAAATAGCAACCACTGGGAGAGGCACACGTTCATGGAGTGTAGTGGCTCGTTCTGCCCACCAGGGGTCAGCCTGGCCTATGCCTCTTAAGTGGAAGGAGCGCTGTTTTTCCTTTCAAGCTCAGGTGCAATGGCATGGAGGAGATGCTTCCCTTAGAAAAGTCTTGCTCGGTTAGTACTTTGCGTTTCAGTTGAAATGAAAGTTGCAGAGTTGTGTTTCTGTTGTATTTCTCCTTTGGTTCCATGCTCGTCTCAAGGGCAGAAACAGTCTGCACATTCCTCACATTATCACTTAGACGCACCACTGTTAGATTTTCTGCTTAGGAATAACTTCTTACCTGTCACGTCTTGTATTATTTCACTTTTATAGACTGACCAGCCGATAAATTCATCATTCAGAGATGATTTATCTGCCTCATTGCTAAAAAAAATTAATTCTTTACATTAACATGCTTAGTAGGAAGTGATAGAAATTTTTATTTATGCATACAAGAGCTGGGGTACAGGCCAGAGATGCGGGGGGTGAAGAGGATTCACCAGGGACAGAGTGGGGAACAGAATAGGCAGATTGACTGAAGTGCACTGCAGGCCAGACAGGAGAGGTCTGCTGAGCCATGTGGGTAGCTCCCTGGCTGGGGAGCGAACTCATGCTGTGGTAGCTGCAGGTTGCTTCATAGGCTGTGTCTTAACCCCTTGCGCCACCAGGGAGGCCCAATATATTCAATTTTAAAACAGAAGGAAACTCTGACACCTGCTACCACATGAATAAAACTTGATGACATTATGTTAAGTGAAATTGGCTAGCAACAAAAGAACAACTACTATATGATTGCACTTATATAAGGTATCAAGATTACATTAATTGAAAAAATGCAAAATGTAGTTGACAGCAGCTGTGGAGAAGGAGAAGTGGGGAGTTGTTAAACTGGTACAGTTTCAGTTTTGGGAGATGAAATAGTTCTGGAGATTGGCTGCACAACAGTGTGAGCATCCTGAACATTATTTAACTGTACACTTTGAAATGCTTTAGATAGTAAATTTTATGTTGCGTGTATTTTACCATTGAAAAAATTTTAGAGGGCCTCCGCAGTGGCATAGCGGGTTGAGCACAGCGCTGTGAAGCTGTCCGCAACCTCTGCAGTGCCAGTTCTATTCCCAGCCGGCCAGGGAGAGTCCCACATGGCGCAGCAGACCTCTCTTGTCGCACCCGCTGCTCCCCTCAGCAGTGTATTTCAGTAGATCCACCTGCTCTGTTCCCCACTCTGTCTGTCTCTGGTGAATCTTCTCACCCTCCCACGACTCCGGCCTATACCCAGCTCTTGTATAAAAATAAATAAATCTTGGGCCTCCCCGGTGGCGCAGCAGTTGAGCGCTGGGTTGCGAAGCTGCCCGCGCCCGAGGAGCCGGTTCGATCCCCGGCTGCTCCCCGGCCACCAGAGGAGGGTCCCACATGGTGCGCAGACCTCTCCTGCCGCCCGCTGCTCCCCTCAGCAGTGTACTTCGGTCCTTCTGCCTGCTCTGCTCCCCGCTCTGGCTCTGGTGAATTCTCTCACCCTCCCGTGCTTCTGATTGTACCCAGTGCATGTATAAAACAAACAAACAAACAAATAAAGCATGCCTCTATAAAAAAAAAAGAATATAAAAATAAATAAATCTTTAAAAAAAATTTTTAGAGCAGTATATAAAGTAGTACAAACTGATAACAGAGAGAATATATAAGTGCTAGAAAGGTTTAGGATAAAGGAATCATTTGATGAGTCAGAAAAGAAAGAGTTTTTGAGGTGCAGTTAGTAGAGCAGAGGTTACAGCTTTAAAACAAAAAACACTGATTTCTGCTTAAATAGTGCCCAGTTGTAGGATCTCCCATGGTGGCGCCGCGGTTTAGCGCTGGGCTACGAAGCTGCCCGCAGTCTCTGCAGTGCTGGTTCAATCCCCGGCCACCGGTTAGGGTCCCACATGGCGGCGCAGACCTCTCCTGCCGCCTGCTGCTCCCCTCATCAGTGTACTTCGTTAGTCTGCCTGTTCTGTTCCCAGCTCTGTCTCTGGTGAATTCTCTCACCCTCCCGTGCTTCTGACTGTACCCAGTGCTTGTATAAATAAATAAATATTTTTTAAATAATAATAAAAATAAAATAAATAAAATAGTGCCCAGTTGTAGGTGCCAAGTGCAAGAGATGTTTTCCACTGATGGGCTTGGTTCCCTCCCTACGCCTGATCATGACTTGTCTCCTCCTATAGGTGTACTGGGTGGACCAATCATTGGAGGGGGCCTGAGTGGTCTCCTTTACGACTTTCTCCTCATCCCCCAGTTCAAGAGTGTTTCCGAAAGACTGGCCATTCTTTTTTCTTTTTTAAAGCTTTATTTTTTTATATATATATATTTTTAGATTTATTTATTTATTTATTTTATACAAGCACTGGGTACAGTCAGAAGCGCGGGAGGGTGAGAGAATTCACCAGAGCCAGAGCGGGGAGCAGAGCAGGCAGAAGGACCGAAGTACACTGCTGAGGGGAGCAGCGGGAGACAGGAGAGGTCTGCGCGCCATGCAGAACCCTCCTCTGGTGGCGGGGGAGCAGCCAGGAATCGAACTGGCGCTGCAGAGGCTGCGGGCAGCTTCGCAGCCCAGCGCTCAACCTCTGCGCCACCGGGGAGGACCAAGACTGTCCATTCTTAAGGGTGCCAGACCTACAGACTCCCATGGGAAACCAGAGGGCACAGAGAAACCTGTCGAACTAAATACCCCAACCATGTAAAAGTTCCAGTTGGATGAAGGGAGTAGAAGCTTCTGGGTTTACATGGAGAGGTTGAGCCAGCCCTGATGAAGAAAGATATTGTGGAGAGGGACATGCGCTTCTTTATTTTTTTAATTTATATGGATTTTTTTTTTTTTTTTGCCTTTTGCCTTTTGCTGTGTGAAATCCTTCAAGTTGCATTCATGAGCTGATTGGTGCAAACTTCCCTTCCTCCCCATCTTTCCTTTTACACCAGTGTGCCTGTGATTGTACATTGTGCGTATGAATGTGGCTGTGCTTGAATTTCCAGCCACAGCATGAGAAGTGGGGAAGGGAAGGAGGTGTCATACTATATACTTCCTCTCCCAACCCTGAGGGGTGAGCACTGGGAAGTGAGACCTTACATTTTTGGCCTTTTTTTTTTTTAAGATTTATTTATTTATGCTTACAAGAGCTGGGGTACAGGACAGAGGTGCAGTGGGTAGGCAGGGGATGAGAGGATTCACGAGAGAGAGTGGGGAGCCAAACAGGCAGACTGACTGAAATACACGGCTGAGGGGAGCAGTGGGGAGACAGGAGAGGTCTGCTGCTCCTTGTGGGTCAGCTCCCTGGCCGCTGGGGATTGAACTTACTAGGGATGGAAGCCTCACAGTGCTGTGCTTAACCCCTTGGGCCACCAGGAAGGCCCACACTTCTGGCCTTTACCCTGCCGCCAGTCAAATGTATGGCTGTAGGTTTCTGAGTGAGCCAGGAGTCAGGGAGTGACTCTTCATGAGAGGCAGATGGAGTCAATCAGGAGACAGGGGCTGCTGGAAGGGGCAGGAGTGGGAGAGAATTTGTGGAGGTATTAGTCTCAGAGTAGCAAAAAATTTTACCAAAAAATTTTGGGGAAGTTAATGGTAGCTTGCTTACCGCAGGGTGCTTGCCCCAGGGACTTGTGCGGGCAGTAGCTCTGAGAAAAGTGAGTGCTAGGGTTTAAACTGTCCTGCAAAACCATACAAACCTGTCTACAGCCACTGGCTGGTTTTCTTGTTCATTCTGGCATCATCTCTTTGGGGTCACACAACTTAACCGAGTGGTGGGTGAGCCTAGAATCTAGAAAAATCAGGCAGTTTAAATTTTCTGCCTGACGCTGCCCAGTGGGGCTTCTAGGCAGATGGTCCGTAAGCCCCATAGGAGCGCAATAAAGTGAAATCTGGAAATGTGATGCCTGGAGCAAACGCACAGCGGGTGGGTAAAGTGGAAAAAGGAGAGATTCAGTTTTTTGGTTTTTTTAAAAGATTTATTTGTTCATACAAGAGCTGGGATCCAGGCCAGGGAGGGTGACAGGATTCACCAGAGACAGAGTGGGGAGCAGAACAGGCAGACTGACTGAAATTCACTGCTGAGGGGAGCAGCGGGGAGACAGGAGAGGTCTGCCGCGCCATGTGGGTAGCTCCCTGGCCGGCCGGGGTTGAACCCGCGCTGCGGAGGCTGCGGACAGCTTCACAGCGCTGCGCGCAACCCGCTGCGCCACGAGGGAGGCCCTGTAGTAATGCTTCTTCCCATTCAAGGCCCTACGCATTAGAGTATGTTTTGTGTGGATGCTGCCCAAGGCAGCAGCTCTTCAGAGCAGGAGTCGTGGGGTGCCCTTCACCCTCCCTGTCGGATAACAGTATCACAGACGCCCCCACTGCATCACTTTTGTTCTTTTTCAATATGGACTGCTTCGTGAATTTGCACGTCATCTTTGCGCGGGGGCCATGCGAATTTTCTCTGTATCCTCCCGATTTTAGCGCCTGTGCTGCGGAAGCAAACGCACTAGAGCCGACCGCAGGCAGCGCCGAACCCCCGCCGCCCGCGCGGCCAGCGGCCTCAGTGGACTTTGGAATAGCCCACTTGGGAGGGGAGGGGGAGGAGGGTGTTTGTAAATGCGCCTCTAATCGGATTTTGATTCCTGTCCTCTCCAGTCAGCAGAAAGCTCCAGCACTGTGGTTTCCAGCCCAGGCGGGGTCAGCTCGGGTGAGACACCGTGCGCCCTCGCGCCCCCGCTCCTCACTTCAGCCCAACCCCCCCGCTGCCGGGCCCCGTGGGCCGGCCCGCCCCGTCCCCCGCCGGCCCCGCCCCGTCTCCATCGGCCCCGCCCCGTCCACCGTCGGCCCCGCCCCGTCCCCGTCGGCCCCGCCCCGCCCCCCGTCGGCCCCGCCCCGTCCCCCGTCGGCGCCGCCCCGTCCCCCGTCGGCGGAGTCTGTGCGGCGGGAAAGCGGCGGCCCCCCGTTTGCGGGCGTCCGGCTCCGCGGAGATCCTGAGGGCCGGCGGGACGGGCGGCTGCGTGTGCGGACGAGGCAGCTCCAAGCCGGCGCGACCTTTGGAGCCCGCGGGGCACCCAGGTAGGCGCCGACCCCCTTTTCCCGCCACCCGGTTAAAGGCAGGGGGCGGGGCCGCTCACGCTGCGCACGCGCAGTTCCCGCCCGCGCGCCTCGCGTCCTGCCCGCGCGCCCCCCGCGGCGGCTGCTCCAGGGCTTGGGGCGTGGGGCGTGGGGCGTGGCGGGCGGGGTCTTGGGCTCCACGCGGGACAGACTCCTCGACTTTTCCTCTTCGAGCTCCCCACTCCAGTCCGATCCGAAACAACCGTTGAGCAGCTCGGGGGTCACAGGCGTCCAGGGGGCTGAAGTCCTGGGCGTCTGTGGAACGGCGTTCTCATTCCTTCCGCCCCTCGGAGGAGACTTGGAGAGGACATTGAAGCCCCTTAAACGCCTTCCCTCGAATCTGCCGGTCACTCTGCCCTTGGCACAGATGCGGAGGTGCCTCTAGAGCCCGCCGTGTCTTCCCCGCCCCCCCCCCCACCTGGGCCCTGGTCCCCGCGGAGGGGCGGGGGTGACCCCAGCCGCAGGAGGGTTGGGAATAAAGTCAGGAAAAGGGAAGCGAGAGCAAGTGCTGTTTCATCTGAGTCGATCCCCTACATGGAGTCAGAAGCCCCCGCGAGAAATAGAGACAGATACACACAATCACCTTTATCAGATTAAATTTGAAATTTCTTTTGCCACCCATAGTCAGGCTTAAATTCTTTGGCGCGCGAGCATGGCCTTTCACCGGCCGCCCCGACTTCCTCAGCCTCATTTTCCAACGCTCCCTACTGTCTCTCCTATCTTACGCACTTGAGGAGTGGGGACAGTGTCTCTCTACTGTGCTGCTTCACGCCTAACACCTGGGCTCCCGCTGCTCCTTTACTTGGCATTCTTGTCACCTCTCTGCTAGATGAACTTCTCTTTCAGGACTGAGCTCAGTCGTCCCTCTGAAAGCTATTTCTAGCCCTCCAAGGGCAAAGTAGTCATATCTTCTGCTGTGTCCTTGAAGTGTTGGACCGGCCTCTGTTATCAGTGGGGCTAGTACAACTCAGTGAGAGATGACTGAGCTCCTAACATTTACTATGCCCGGTGCTCTGAGCCGGTGGACTGAGTTGAATAGAACCAAGCTCCTGCCCTGAGGCACTCACAGACTGGGGAAACAGAACAGGTGAAGGAGTCCTCTGCTATTGTTTACAGGCTCACAGAGAAGTCTACCCTGGCTTTCTTACTCAGACCTCTCTTGAGCAAGCGTATCACAACTTCACATACCATCTTGTATCTTATGCCTCCAACTCTCCACTCCTGAGCTCTTCTCTCTCAACTTCAAGACTTACCTACTTCAAATTAGAAAGCATTTATTGAGCACCGGCACTGTTTGGTCAGTGATTCCTGATCGTATGCTTATATATATTTTTTAAAGATTTATTTATTTATTTATACAAGCACTGGGTACAGTCAGAAGCACAGGAGGGCGAGAGAATTCACCAGAGCCAGAGCGGGGAGCAGAACAGGCAGAAGGACCGAAGTACACTGCTGAGGGGAGCAGCGGGCGGCAGGAGAGGTCTGCGTGCCATGTGGGACCCTCCTGCCGGGAGCAGCCAGGGATCGAACCGGCGCTGCAGAGGCTGCGGGCAGCTTCACAACCCAGCGCTCAACCGCTGGGCCACCAGGGAGGCCCGGTATGCTTACATTTTAGTGCAGTTGTTAACGGGATTGAGTTAGATTCACCTGTCAAACGTTTTCACAGAGTTGTGCAGATGTTACCACTAGCTAATTATGAGACTATTTTCACTCCCCTCAAAAGAAACCCTGTATGTATCTACTATAGTAGCTCCCCATTTCCTCCTTCCTCCACTCATCTACCTTCTGTCTGGACATTTCATATAAATGGGATCATATATGTGACGTTTTGTTTTTAGCTTCTTTCTGAAACATGTTTTCAAGTTTCATCTGTTTTGTAGTACATAGCAGTAAATACTCTATTTTTTTTTTTTTTTTTTTTTTTTTTTTTTATTTATACAAGCACTGGGTACAGTCAGACGCACAGGAGGGTGAGAGAATTCACCAGAGCCAGAGCGGGGAGCAGAGCAGGCAGAAGGACCGAAGTACACTGCTGAGGGGAGCAGCGGGTGGCAGGAGAGGTCTGCGCGCCGTGTGGGACCCTCCTCCGGTGGCCGGGGAGCAGCCGGGGATTGAACCGGCACTGTAGAGGCTGCGGGCATCTTCGCAACCCAGTGCTCAACCGCTACGCCACAGGGGAGGCCCAATACTCTATTCTTTTTTATGGTCAGTAATATTCCATTTTATAAGTATACCACTTTTTTTTTTTTTTTTTTTTTTTTTAATTTTCTAGAGGCATGTCTATTTGTTTGTTTGTTTGTTTGGTTTATACATGCACTGGGTACAGTCAGAAGTGCGGGAGGGTGAGAGAATTCACCAGAGCCAGAGCGGGGAGCAGAGCAGGCAGAAGGACCGAAGTACACTGCTGAGGGGAGCAGCGGGCGGCAGGAGAGGTCTGCGCGCCATGTGGGACCCTCCTCCGGTGGCCGGGGAGCAGCCGGGGATCGAACCGGCGCCGCAGAGGCCGCGGGCAGCTTCGCAACCCAGCGCTCAACCGCTGCGCCACCTGGGAGGCCCTATAAGTATACCACTTTTTGTTTATCAGTTGAAAGACATTTGGGCTTTTTTATAATTTTACTTTTTTTTTACTATTTTTTTAAAAAGATTTATTTATTTATGCATACAAGAACTGGAGTACAAGCCAGAGGTGCGGGGGGTGAGAGGATTCACCAGAGACAGAGTGAGGAGCAGAACAGGCAGACTGACTGAAATACGTTCATGAAGGGAGCAGTGGGTGAGACAGGAGAGGTCTGCTGCACCATGTGGATTGCTCCCTGGTGGGCCGGGGATCAAACTCGTGCTGCAGAGGCTGCGGACTGCCTCACAGTGCAGTGCTTCACCCCCTGCACCACCAGGGAGGCCCGCCATAATTTTACTATTAAAAATAATGCTGCTAGGGCCTCCCTGGTGGCGCAGCGGTTGAGCCCTGGGTTGCGAAGCTGCCCGCAGCCTCTGCGGCACCGGTTCGATCCCCGGCTGCTTCCCGGCCACCGGAGGAGGGTCCCACACGGAGCGCAGACCTCTCCTGCCACCCGCTGCTCCCCTCAGCAGTGTACTTCGGTCCTTCTGCCTGCTCTGCTCCCCGCTCTGGCTCTGGTATACCCTCCCGCGCTTCTGACTGTACCCAGTGCTTGTATAAATAAATAAATCTTTAAAAAAAAAAAAAAGAAGTAAAGGTTTGTTTAAATAAAAAAAAAATAATGCTGCTATGAACATTCGTATACAAGCTTTCATTTGGACATAATTTTCGTTTCTCTCAGATATGTGCCTAAGAGTGGAATTGCTGGGTCATATAGTAACTGTATGTTTAACATTTTGAGGAACTGCCCACCTCCCTTATTCGGCATCCCAGTTATAGGTAACCTTTTAGGTAAATGCCTTTTAGGCAACTGATGTGTTGAAAGCAGAGGGTTGAGTTCTGCTGGGGCAATTTTTACAAATGTTGAATCTTTAGAATTGGTTGACTGAGAAGAATAGGATATGGGGGGGGCGGGTGTAACAGGGAAGACTGTGGGGCTAACTCTGGGAGTCATCCGCACATGACTTCTCTGCTGGTGGAGACTTGATCATTTCACACCTTTTAGTGCCAGAATGGGGTGCTGTGTCTTTTTTTGAAGAGGGTATGCTGACTCAGTGTCTTGAAGCCGTGCAGTGCTCCCCCCTCAAAGTCTCCCTTCTCTTTGGAGAGAACAGATGGGGAAGCCCTTCCATCTGGGGTTTTGTGCTTACGTGTGAGCATATGTACACATGCTAGAGGTCTCTGAAAAAGCTGGCCGGATCTGTGGGGAATCAGATCTCTCACACTGTGCCCAGGTCTCCAGGTCCCATGAGAAGGGAGAGTGGAGGGAAGTCTTCCTTCAGTCTTCCTGGTCATTCAGTGAGTGTCTCACTGGGAGGGGTGGAGGAATAATAGGCAATTTAGAGAACTAGACCAGTTACATAAATGCTGAGAGATAACATCAGGCATTGAACCTTAGTCCTGTAGACACTACCCATTTTCTGTGGGAGCAGGGTGGAGGCAGGTATGGGGGCAGGGGAAGGTCTTTTTAGAGGAACCTGCCAAGGCTGAGGGTAGTGCAGCTGAATGTGCCAAGGGGACAAGATTGGTAGAAAATCCGCAGGATCTTTGCTTTCACAGGAGCAAGGTAGTGAATGTAATGTGTTTGTGTGTGTCTGCATTTTCAGTGGCAGGTTCTGAAACGTCCTGGATTCTGGATCTGTGCCTACTGATAATCTGATGAGGCTTAGCAATCTTAATAAAAAGGGACAGGCTTTGGAGCAGGAAGAGATTCCTTTCTGGAGAGTGACAGGGAGTTTAACCAGTTCCTGTTTACCCTTTTCTTCATATTGTTAGCTACTGACTTCTGAGATTACCAATACTTAAGAATAACTTTAGGCAGGAGAGACCTTTCTCTACACATCCCCTGTGTCTCAAAAGATTCAGGACTCCTAGGTTCTGTCAGATCCTACGTAGCATCATTATGTGGTCAGAGATGGGTTTTCTAAATTCCAGTAACAGCACTAATAGTGTTTGTCTCACGATTTTTAAAGGAGAGGGAAACTCATCACCATCACTGCCACCCTCCTCCAAAAGGCTGCAGGCTCTCTGGAGTGAAAGTCATAGAATCGATGACATTCTCTAATGAACTTTTCTTTCTCGATGGTTATCTTGAGTTTGAAAAAGACTCTTTTTATTATTACGGACCCAAGATAGAATATGAAGCAGGTGCTTAATTCTTGGGCTCGGAGGCCCTTTGCTTTCCATCAGGTAGAACCTTGTGGTGAAGCCTCCCTTGGGGCTGGGAATGGCACTTTGGGTTCCAACAAAAGTGAAGCGTTTGACAGTCTTGTTCAAAATACACTGAAAATGAGGGTCCTGTGCTTTTGTCTTTCCCTTTCATGGAGAGGGCTCTCTGTTTGTTATCTCCTTATCTCTGCAGGCCTTGTCGGTCCTCTCTGTACCGACCTTACCTCTCTGCTGGCTGCCCCACTGATGTACGGACTTACACATGATGAATTGTGAACTTCTAGCCACATGCAGTGCCCTTGGGTACTTGGAGGGAGACACTTACCACAAGGAACCAGATTGCTTAGGTGAGTACCTTTTTGAGGACACAAGTTTAAAAAAAATTGTGAAATAGCCAGAAAGAAAAAAAAAAATCAGATGGTTTCACTTATAGGAGGAATACAGAGGATCCAAATAAGGGATCGGGGAGCAGGGGGAAAGGTAATTATAATAAATTAAAAATAAAAATCAATAGGCAACTATAGATCAGAGACATTCTACAGGGAAAGAGGAGGGAGAAGGATCAAAACGGGTGGGAAGAGCACAAGGGACTATGGTGCTGGTGCAGGGGTGAATTGGTGGTGGGAATTTCACGGGATCTACACCCGAGAGGAGAAAGCATACATTATACAAAAATGAAGAATGATGTAAAATATATATAAAATTTTTAAAAAATGGCTTGCATTGAGGGGGTCTGTTGAATTTCTCAATCCATGGGTATGAAAGCATGCAGGCTGGGTGGAGCTTCTTCCAGGGTTCTTTGTACATGTTATTCTGTCCCTGAAGAGAGTGTGAAGGATCTGATTCGTTACTTGAGACACGAGGATGAGACTCGCGATGTGCGGCAGCAGCTGGGGGCAGCCCAGATCCTGCAGAGCGACCTTCTACCCATCCTGACCCAGCACCGCCAGGACAAGCCTCTCTTTGATGCTGTCATCAGGTCCGACTTTTAAACTTTTTCTCTGTCCCAGCCTTTCATGTGAGAACTGATAGGTTTTGGTGTCTGTGCCTAATAAGGAAACTTAACATCTTCTCCCTTTACTCTCTCCCCAGGCTGATGGTGAACTTGACACAACCAGCCTTGCTCTGCTTTGGTGCTGTGCCCAAGGAGCCTAATTTTCGGCACCATTTTCTGCAAGTATTAACTTACTTGCAGGCCTACAAAGAGGTGAGGTGTTCCTTCAGAGTCCCTGGGGCAGAATTTGAGGGCAGTGGGGAAGGAGTAGGTGGGTGCTACTTAAGATTCATCCCCTATTTCCTAGGCCTTTGCCAGTGAGAAGCCTTTTGGAGTCCTCAGCGAAACCTTGTATGAGCTGCTCCAGCTGGTGAGTGAGTCTTCTGCCTTACAGGGTCTCACAGGACAGCTAGCGCCTTGCTTCTCCGGACAGAGCCCCAGCTGGGCCCTGTCAGGCCATCCTGAGTTTGGAAATATGGTCCCAGTTCTTGGAGCTACATACTCCAATCCACAGTCTCTACTGCTTCAAGGCTGCCGAACTCTTTCTTCTAATCTTGCTCCTTGCTTCAGTTATCCAGCCAGGTTAGATGCCACCTGCCTCTCATAGGAAGTCTCTGGATCTGATCCCCTAACTCTTCTTCTGAGTAGGGCTGGGAGGAACGGCAGGAGGAAGACAACTTGCTGATTGAACGGATCCTGCTGCTGGTCAGAAATATTCTCCATGTCCCAGCCGACCTTGATCAGGAGAAGGTGAGAGGGTCTTGGGTAGTTTGAATTCTTGTGCTTGATTAGGTTCAGCTGCCCTTTTTAGGCTTCTCAGTCCTCTGAAAAGTCTGGGGAAAGACTTTAGGGACCTTCGATCAAGGAGTGATTTGGAGACCCTAAAGGGCAGTGGAAGGAGGTGACCTTCCTTCCTCTCCTCACGTCTCACTGCTCAGAGGATTGATGATGACGCCAGCATCCACGATCAGCTTCTCTGGGCCATTCACCTCAGCGGCCTAGACGACCTGCTCCTCTTCCTGGCCAGCTCGCCTGCTGAGCAGCAGTGGAGCCTACATGTGCTGGAGATAATCTCCCTGATGTTTCGTGACCAGGTGAGATCCTGGCTTACTGGCCCGGTCCCTTCACCCTTGTCCTTTTCTGCTGTGTGGCCTGAATTGCTCTGGCAATGCTGCATTATTGGGGGTGTGCCGGTGTCAGGTAGAGCAGCCTTGCTTTAAGTTTGTGGTTTCATCAGCAGTGCTGTTTCATTCACTCTTTCTGTCCCCAGTACGTGTGAATTCAGACTAAAGGATGGCTGTCCTCTCACCCTTCCTGTTCCCCATCTAGAACCCCGAGCAGCTGGCAGGAGTAGGCCAGGGGCGCTTAGCTCAGGAGCGGAGCGCAGATGTAGCAGAACTGGAGGTGCTACGCCAGCGAGAGATGGCAGAGAGGAAGACTCGAGCCCTTCAGCGAGGCAACAGGTGAGTGCAGAGAGCTCTGCCGTGTTCCCAGTCCTGGGTGGAATGGAATGCCGAGGACTTGGGCCGCTACGGTCATGGTGACTCGCTAGTAATTTACAGTTATGACACATGCTGATGGGCTAAGAAAAATAGGGATCAAGCTTCCGAAGAATCAAGGAATCCCCTGAACTTACATTTTTTCCTCTTCAGGCATTCTCGATTTGGGGGCTCCTACATTGTTCAGGGGCTGAAATCCATTGGGGAGCGGGACCTCATCTTTCACAAAGGTCTCCACAATGTGAGTCTGCTGCCATCCAGGTGGGGCGTTGTGGAGTTGGGGTGCGGGAGGGGCCTTGCTAAGAAGGGCGAGCATTTCTGGGGGTAAAGATTCTCTGTCGTTCCTCTGAGAATGTTGGAGACAGTGGGCAAAATGGCATCTCCAGCATTAGCCATATTGTCTTCACCTGTATCTTCAGTTAGTACCAAAGGGTGAAACCTCCTAAGAGTTTGTTCTGAGAAAATCGCAGTACCAGGAATGTGGAGAGAGCTGCAAATGGTGGTTAGGAGGAACTCTAATGCCAACCCAACCCCCCAGCTCCAAAACTACAGCTCAGATTTGGGAAAGCAGCCCCGAAGGGTACAAAAGCGTCGCCAGGCTGCCCGGGAGCTGTCCATTGAGCGCCGTTCAGCCTTCAACGTGAGACTCTTCCTCAAAGACTTCTGTGCTGAGTTCCTGGAGAACTGCTACAACCGGCTTATGGGCTCAGTGAAGGTGAGCGCCTTGGAGGGGTAGGACATAGAGGTGATGGGGGCCGGAGCAGGTGCTCAGGACACCTGTGGAGAAGAGTATGCGGGACTGACCCTGGATGAGGACAAGGAGGTGAGAGATGGCGACGCTCTTAAGAGGGAGTGGGTTATTGACATAACGGAAAGAAGGTCTACAGAAGCTGCCTCAGAGGAAGGGAAAAGGAACGTGGAAGAACCAGAGGAGACCCCGACAGAGACAGAGACTGTTACAGCGGTGTCCAGGGCCTGCCCTGCTTTCATCAGATGGGGTGAAGTTGGAAGCCCTGAGGTCACAGGTGGCCCTTTCTTCCTGGACATTAGGATCACCTACTTCGGGAGAAGGCTCAGCAGCACGATGAGACGTACTACATGTGGGCCTTGGCTTTCTTCATGGCCTTCAATCGAGCTGCCTCCTTCCGGCCAGGCCTGGTTTCTGAGACCCTCAGTGTCCGTACCTTCCACTTCATTGAACAGAACCTCACCAACTATTATGAGATGATGCTGACTGACCGTAAGGAAGCTGCTTCCTGGGCGCGTCGGTGAGTGGATTGAGAATTGGGGTCAGAGTAGACGTTTTGGCTGAGCTGGGGATCTGATGCATGAATTCTAGATGGTACTTTTTTCTACCTGTTCAGAGTTAAGGTGGTCAGGCCGGGGAGTGAGGACCCCTTGGATCTTCTGGTTTTCGTGGCACTGTTTGTTTTTTTTGTGGGGATGACTGGTACTGTTTCCATGAGCCAGTGTCCTAAGTTATCCTCCACTACTCTTCTGTCCCTTGTCTTGCAGTATGCACCTGGCTCTGAAGGCCTACCAGGAGCTGCTGGCCACAGTGAATGAGATGGACATGTCCCCAGAGGAGGCCGTGCGGGAGAGCAGCCGCATCATCAAGAGTGAGACCCTGACCTGTTTCTGATTTGGGCTTTCCCTATCTCTTGACCAGTATCTTCCTCTTCTCAGCCCAAACTTCATCTCTCCTTTTCCCAAACTTTCCCGACCACTCCTTCCATCCCTTACCTTTTCCCTATTCCTAGATAACATTTTCTATGTGATGGAGTACCGAGAGCTGTTCCTGGCGCTCTTTCGAAAATTCGATGAGAGGTGCCAGCCCCGCTCTTTCCTCCGTGACCTGGTGGAAACCACCCACCTCTTCCTCAAGATGTTGGAGCGGTTCTGTCGGAGCCGTGGGAACCTGGTGGTGCAGGTGTGTGTGTACTCAGGATGTGGAAAAGAAATGCGGGGGTAAAAGGCAGGGGCACTTTCTCTTCATATTTTCTGCAGCTTAAGCTGATCTCTTAGAACTGCTCTGATGAAGCGCTTTCTTTGTATGTGTTGCCGACATGAGTCTGCTAACATTTCTTTCTTCCATTAGATTAATCCCTCATCATGTACCATAGATATCTTAATTCATCCAGAGTTACAAATATATTGACTACCTACTGTGGGCTCAGCATATAAACTCCAGGGATTCATAATTTTAGAACTTAGTGATTATGCTGTGATATTTCCTGGTTATATTTCAGAAACATTGTAGTGAAATAGAAAGAGCCTTAAATTAAAAGATCTAGGATCTCCTGTATTAGTTACTGCTGGAATAAACTCAGGCTGTTATGGCTGTGTCTAGAATCCTAAAGTTGGGATTATAATATGAGCCTGAAATGAAGTAATAATAAATGAAAAGTCTAGGGCAGGAAGATAGATTCAAGGGATTTGTGTCCTAGAGACACAGGAACTCTGCTTTGTAAAAATCATCCTATAATTTTGTTTGCTGCACAACTTCACTTAAAAGGAGCAGTAGTATCAATGAGACCTTGCTAAAAGGTATTTTTATCCTCAGGCTCTACTGGATTATCAGTAATAATTATCATTTGCTATCATTTAGCAAGTGTTTGATATGTGTCAGATGCTGTGCTAAACTGTCCATGCAGTCCTCACAACTTGTAGGACACATGCTAAGAGTGGTCTTGCTAGAAGTGACGAGTGTCAGTACTAGAATACAGATCTGCTGGAATCTAGAATTCTTGCTTCTAACCTTTGATGCATAGAAGTATCAACTCCTTGAATCGAGCGTGAAATTCAAAGGCTTTCCAGCCCATCCTGTTTATATGTAGCAATGACTGGTTCACAGCAGTGTCTTGGAAGGATCAGGTCTGGAATACTGACTCACTCGCCTGCTTTTCAGGCGAGAAAAAAATTACCGGTTATGTCCGCATACTGCTTTGCCTTTTACAAAGCCTTTCCAAAATTCTTTTCAAAGAATTTTATATCCTCATAGCAAATCTATTCATTTATAGACGTTGACGATATCATCACTTTCACGAAATCATTGACCCCAAGAAATGAATCAAGTGCTGTTTCTGTTTTGCCATGGCATTTTATGCTCAATCACCTTTTAGGTTTTAGCCATGCTATTATGCAATTTACCTTTTTTTTTTTAAAGATTTATTTATTTATGCATACAAGAACTGGGGTGTGGGTGAGAGGATTCACCAGAGACAGAGTGGGGAGCAGAATAGCTTATCTACTGAAATACACTGCTGAGAGGAGCAGCGGGCAAGACAGGAGAGGTCTGCTGTGTCATGTGGGTTGCTCCCTGGCCATCTGGGGATCAAACGTGCTGCAGTAGCTGCCGATTGCTTCATAATGCTGAGACTTAACTCCTTGTACCACCAGGGAGTCCCAATTTACTTTTTTATTTACCAATCCTCCCCCACTGGACTGCAGTCTCCTCAAGGACAAGGGAAAAACTGTTCACTGTTGCTTCCCCATTTCCTATGAATAGCACATAGTATGTCTACTTAATGCAGACATCTGAAGATATCTGAAAAGACATTGATGGGAAAAGTGACTCCTTAGCTCTCATGCCATCCTTAGATAAATCTTTCTTCATAGAACAAACGAAAGAAGAGGAAGAAGAGAAAGAAAGTGCTGCAGGAGCCTGTGATCCCTGGTGATGTCCCCCGTGGCCCAGAGGAGCTGGAGGCTCTGTGGCCCTCCCTGGCGGAGCAGCTGCAGGGCTGTGCCCTGGTAGGTGGTTGCAGAAACCCTGTCTTCCTTGAGGCTCTGAGTGGATCTGGGTTTGTCTCCTCTTATTGGCATAGCCTTAATCCCTCTCTAGGATCCTGACCTCAGCCTGGATTCCATGGTTCCCTTTGATGCAGCCTCAGAGGTACCAGTGGAAGAGCAGCGGGCAGAAGCCATGGTGAGGATTCAAGACTGTCTCCTGACTGGCCAGGCCCCACAGGCCCTGGCCCTCCTCAGGTCTGCCCGGTAAGGCTCCTGCCCACCCTTCCTCCTGGTCCAGCTCCTGGCTTTTGCAGGAAGAATGAGGCTTTCACTGTGGCGCAGCCTTCTCAGTCTTCAAAAGTTCTTAGATCCAGAAGCTCTGGGTCTCTGTACTAAGCCCTGAGTCCTGGGGAGTTTTGATTGGTGTATTGGGATTTTTGTTGTTTGTTTTTGTTTTTGAGAAATACTAGAAGACACAGTCAATTGGGGAGAAAAATAAAGATAATTCTACTACCAAAGATAGCCATCACTAGCATTTTCATGAGTAACTTCCAGTTTTCTCCTCTGTGTTATATGTAGACATACCATCTATTGCTTCTTTTATAAAAATGAAATATTGCACATACTAACTTAGAGTAATTTTCTACTTTTCAATATATTGTGAGCATCATTTCTCATCAGATATATTTCTTTTTTTTTTTTTTTTTTAAAGATTTACTTATTTTATACAAGAACTGGGGTACAGGTCAGAAGTGCAGGAGGGTGAGAGAATTCACCAGAGCCAGAGCGGGGAGCAGAACAGGCAGACGGACCAAAGACACTGCTGAGGGGAGCAGCGGGCGAGGCAGGAGAGGTCTGCCGTGCCATGTGGGGTTCTCCCTGTCCAGCAGGGAATCGAACTGGCGCTGCAGAGGCTGCAGACAGCTTCGCAGCATAGCGCTCAACTGCTACACCACCAGGGAGGCCCTCAGATGTATTTCTATAACAGGTTAATGTCTTTACAACACCATCATGTGAATATGTACATTTGTTCAACCAAACATTTAGATTGTCTATATTTTGTTCTTTTTATATATATATATGTTGCATCACTTTTTTTTTTTAATTTATTTTATTTATGTATGTATGCAAGAACAGAGGTGCAGGCCAGAGGTGTGGGGATGAGAGGATTCACCAGAGACAGTGGGGAGCAGAAAAGGCAGATTGACTGAAATACACTGCTGAGGGGAGCAGTGGGGAGACAGGAGAGATCTGCTGTGCCATGTGGGTAGCTCCCTGGCCAGGAATTGAATTCATGCAGCAGTGGCTGGCAACAGCTTGGTAGCGCTGAGACTTAACCCCTTGTGCCATCAGGGAGGCCCTGCTTTTTGTTCTTATGTGATTTTCATTGTAACATGGCATAAGGAAAATTTTTCCTAAAGTCTTTGCTTTATTTTTGAGATAACAGTTTCTCTTTCCAGCTGATCATTGAAGTAAGTCTCCCATTTCAAATTGTAAATCAAAATCTCTCTAGCTAAAACCTTTTCTTTTGTACTCCAGGGAGGTATGGCCAGAAGGAGACGTGTTTGGCTCTCAAGACATTTCCCCAGACGAAGAGATTCAGCTGCTGAAAGAAATCCTGTCTGCCCCTCTGCCCCGTGAGTCTCATTCCCTTCACATCTCCCTCCAGCTGTTATCTCGCACAGAGTGACAAAGGCAGCAACCCTCACTCCTTTAGGGCACCAGGGGCCAGAGGAACAAGGAGCAGAGGAAGAGGAGGAGGAAGAGGAGGAGGAGGAGCAGGAAGAGTTGCAAGCCATCCAGGTGTCGGAGAAGGAATTCAATTTTCTGGACTACCTGAAACGGTGTGGGCCGTGACGGCTGAGTTGGACCGGTGGTGGAGATTTGTGGAGCTGTGGGGATGAGCAGTGTCTTTCATGTGCTGACATCCTCTCCCTCCTTGTCTTGGTGCAGCTTTGCGTGCTCAACTGTAGTCCGAGCCTACGTGCTGCTGCTGCGGAGCTACCGGCAGAACAGTGCTCACACCAACCACTGCATTGTCAAGATGCTGCACCGGCTGGCCTATGACCTCAAAATGGAGGCCCTGCTTTTCCAGCTCTCAGTCTTCTGCCTCTTCAATCGTCTGCTAAGTGACCCTGCTGCTGGGGCCTACAAAGTGAGGGGATACCAGGGAACAGGTCTAGAGGCATAGCAGAGTCCTGGGCTAAAAGGCTTTTTGCTTCAGGAGATAAATGGTTCTGAGTGGTGTCAAGGGTGAAGAGACGAGAGTGGTAAGGAGTTGGCAGGCAGGTTGAGGGAGCTGTATGGGGAGGGGCAGGAGAGTCTAGGGAGGAGGGACAGATTAGGAAAAATACCTACAGGGCCAGGTTTATGTGTATGTTTAGGCTGGAGACATAACAGCCTCCCTCGCCCGCAGGAGCTGGTGACTTTTGCCAAATACATCCTGGGCAAGTTTTTTGCATTGACTGCAGTCAACCAGAAAGCCTTTGTGGAGTTGCTGTTCTGGAAGAACACAGCCGTGGTTCGAGAGATGACCGAAGGCTATGGCACCCTGGATAGTGGGTGAGTGGGAGGATGGGCGGTGGAGGTGAGTGACCTAGTCAGAGGGTCAAAGCCAGAGGAGCTTGCACATCGTTTAGTCCAACCTTTCTTTCCCTTTCATAGGCGGGAAAATACGTCCCTTAGGTGAAATGCTTTGTCTAAGATCACTCAGAAAGGATTTGGTACTGGAGCCTCAATCTTCTGTCCACTCTAGTTCCCTTCTCCCTCGCTAGCCTTCATAAGGTTTCAGTTGGGATGCAGAGAAGGGGTGTGTGTGCCCTGCCCCAAAATGTGCTGGGAAGGCTCAGGGATGCGTAGACCTATGGTTCTCTTTCCCTTAGTATCTCAGCTCATCTCCTTCCACACATTTCTTTTTCTGTAAGACTCTTGGACCCCACCTACAGTGTCAGGTTCTATAGGCTGGAAAATGTCTTAGTTTGACTTTGGGGTTCTTTTTTTTCCTAAACAACAACCAAACACGCTCAGACTTTAAGGTTCTTAAGTGGAAGGAGGGGTAGGGGAAGGAAGCACCCTATGTCTCTGCTGCCTGGCTTCTCTGAGTTACCCACTTTGCCCTTTCCTGATAGAACTAACCAGAGAGGGCCTTTAGGCTCCTCTTTTTGTTTTTTTGTTTTTTTTTTGTTGTTGTTTTTTAAAGATTCATCCATTTATTTATATAAGCACTGGGTACAGTCAGAAGCACAGGAGGGTGAGAGAACTCACCAGAGCCAGAGCAGAGAACAGAACAGACAGACCGATGAAATACACTGCTGAGGGGAGCAGCGGGCACGGCAGGAGAGGTCTGCGCACCATGTGGGAACCCCGCTGGTGGCCGGGGATCAAACCAGTGCTGCAGAGGCTGTGGCAGCCTTGCAGCCCAGCACTCAACCGCTGCTGGGCTCCTCTTTTTGAACCAACAACCTACATACTCCCCTATTCCTTTCCCCATTTAGATCAGCAAGTCGCAGAGCCCCTGCATGGAGCCCAGAGGAGGAGGCCCAGCTTCAGGAACTGTACCTTGCCCATAAGGATGTGGAAGGTACAATGCTACAAGGCCTTGAGATTTGGAAAGTTTATGAGAAGGGCAAACTAAACTCTAAGACCCCTCCTTACTTCACTCCTCCACCTCCAGGGCAGGATGTGGTAGACACCATCTTGGCACACCTGAGTGCTGTTCCTCGAACACGCAAGCAGGTCATCCACCATCTAGTACGGCTGGGGCTGGCTGACAGTGTCAAGGACTTCCAAAGGTAGGGACAGTGCTTGGAGGTGATTGAGATGGGGAGTTCTCTGCTCTCTCCCTGGCCCCCTCTTTCACTGTCACTCCTAACCAGGAAAGGAACCCTAATTGTGCTGTGGACAGAGGATCAGGAGCTGGAGCTTCAGCGGCTGTTTGAGGAGTTCCAGGACTCAGATGGTGAGTGAGGTGGAAGCTTGGGGAACCTCTGAGATGAGAGTCAGGCTGTCCTTTTCTTCTTCTTTTTTTTTATTTTTTTAAGATTTATTTATTTATTTATACAAGCACTGGGTACAGTCAAAAGTGCGGGAGGGTGAGAGAATTCACCAGAGCCACAGCGGGGAGCAGAGCAGGCAGACTGACGAAATACACTGCTGAGGAGGGCAGCGGGCGGCAGGAGAGGTCTGTGTGCCATGTGGGATCCTCACCCGGTGGCCGGGGATCGAACCGGTGCTGCAGAGGCTACAGGCAGCTTCGCAACCCAGCGCTCAACTGCTGCGCCACCAGGGGAGGCCCTGTCCTTTTTTTCTTTACCTTCTCTTGTACTCAAGGAAATTCTATCCCTTCTGTCCACTTACTATATTTGTGGTGTCATTTTTGAATGACTTGCTCTAGCTTCTTCCCAGAGATTTCTGATGTCCTTTCCTCATCCCTTTCTCATGTTGTTCCTGGGTATTCACACTTCCCCTCCCTCTAGATATCCTGGGTCACATCATGAAGAATATCACAGCCAAACGCTCACGGGCCCGAATAGTGGATAAACTGCTGGCTCTGGGGCTGGTGGCTGACCGGCGGGAGCTATACAAGAAACGCCGGAAGAAGTCGGCATCCTCTAACTTGGTAAGAATCCTACACTGGCTGCGCCACCTTGGTGACTCCCTGACGTGCTCCTTAGAAGTAGCCTGTACAGACTCGTCCTGCCTCAGGCTTTTCTGCCTGGTCCCCTCACGGGGTGGGTCAGGGACCAGAGGCCTCCACTTGGTTCCTCATTTTGTCTCCTTTTTCCATTTCCCTGACCTTTGAATTTTAGCCTGATGGAGGGGAATCCCTGAAAGATTTTTGCCAGGAAGATCTGGAAGAAGAAAACCTGGCAGAGGAAGACAGTGAAGAGGATGAAGAGAAAGGAGGCGGCTTGGAAGCAGAGCAAGCCCAGGGCGGCTCAGTCCTTTCCGCTGGAGGCCTTGGGCAAAGCCTGCGGCAGGAAGGTGAGGCTCAGCCTAGAGACATGTCCTTGTAAGGCACAGGGTTAGGAACACGTGCCCTTTGTAAGTTTCCCTTCTTCCATTAGGCTTTTCTGCTCCCCTCCTGTGGCTCCAGAACTGCCTGATTCGAGCAGCTGATGATCGGGAAGAGGATGGTGAGTGGAAAGTTATATTTTAGGACTAGGGCCCTAGAGGCTGCCCAAGACTTGTTCTTGGGGTAAAAGATGAGGTCTTTCTTCATATCTTCACCACGTGACTATTTCTCCTATCCTAGGATGCTCCCAGGCAATTCCCTTGGTGCCATTGACCGAAGAAAATGAGGAAGCAATGGAAAACGAGCAGTTCCAGCAGCTGTTGCGCAAGCTAGGAGTTCGGCCTCCTGCCTCTGGACAGGTAAATACCAATTACCATGTCAGCTGAGGCAATGATAGTGCTGTTTCAAAATCTACCTCGCCCCCCTCCTCTTGCCGTTGCTAACACTGCCCTCATCGCCTGTCATTTTCAGTCGAGGTTCCTGCAGCAGCTGTCCCGCTAGTCTTCATTCCCAACCTCTCCTCCCTCTTAAAGGAAGGAGCTGCATGAGTTATCTTTCTAAAATATGGTTTTGGGGCCTCCCTTGGTGGCACAGCGGTTGAGTGCTGGGCTGTGAAGCTGCCAGCAGCCTCTGCAGCGCCGGTTCGTTCCCCAGCTGCCAGCGAGGGTCCCACAAAATAAATAAATAAGTAAATAAAATAAAATAAAATATGGTTTTGATTGTTTCACTCCCCTGTCCAGAGCACTTGGTGGTTTCCTGCTGTTTGTAAAACAGGGTCCATCGCCTCAGAGTTGTGGGCCAACCATGGTACCTTCACAGCCGTACCACCCACACACCTACATTACAACAGTCTTCCTGGACTATTTTCCATCCTCCAAATACTGATCATACCAGTCCCTCTACTGGAAGGCTCCAGTTACTCACACAAGGTGAAACATACACCACCCTTCTTCCTGAGAGTCTCCATCCAGCCTTCAAAAATGATTGTCACCTCCTCAGAGAACCTCAATCCTTATCACTCTTTCAACCCCTGATGTGAAAGTGGTCACAAGAATTTGTTCATTCCCTGGATGTTGGCTCTTTGTCCCATTAGATTGTGATTCCTCAAGAGCAGGGATCTTGTTTGATTGATCCTCAGATGCTCAAAAGTCATTAATTTATTTACTAAATTAGCAACTCTAGTGAAGTAGAGGCCAGTCCTTTACTCTCATTTTCAACTTGTTTGTCCCTTTAGGAAACCTTCTGGCGAATTCCTGCCAAGCTGAGTCCCACCCGGCTTCGGCAGGTAGCAGCTTCTTTGAGTCAAGTGGAGGAGGAGGAAGAGCTTCAGCCAGGGCTGGACCCTGGAGAGCAATGCCCTGCAGAGGAATACCGAGCACAAGCCCTCAAGGCACTCATGGTGGCCCGGAAAAAGAAAGCAGGCCTGGTAACCCCAGCAGGTAATAGTTGCACCACTTACCTGTTTAGAACTTCTCTGTGCCAGCCCTGGTAACCTAGAGGGCTGGTATTCTGGGAATATTCTGACCTAATTCAGTCCCTCTTCCAGTCATCCCAGAGGAAGGGCCTGCTGCTGGGAAAGACCAGCTGAAAGCGGCTCCCAAGAAGCGACACCTGCTGGACAGTGACGATGAGCAGGAGGAAGAGGGGGACGGGAGCAAAGGTAAGGACTATGCTTGGGGCCTGCCTTTCTCCCAGCCCCTCGCACTCTTCATAAGCACTACCAGCCTCTCCCCCTTAACATATTTGGGTACTTTCTCTCTTCTCACCCCTATCCTACCTGTGGCAGCAGAGTTGAGAGCTCCAGGCATCCAGAAGAAGAAACGGTTTCAGATTGAGGATGAAGATGAAAATGACTGACAAACCAGAAGCCTGGGGACAGAGACGGAGTCATATTTAGATGAAGAATTTAAATTTGAGCTGGGAGGTGATGCATGACCCAGACACTCCTCTCACTGGACAGAAGCCATTTGAGTCCTAGACTTCCCATGGATTTAGGGTCTGGGAAGTTTCGGTGACAGCATCGGACACCACTGTAGTCACTTCTTACTTCCCCCAGTTTTCTCAGTATGTCTGAGCAGCTCTCTGAAGACTTATTCTTCTAGCAACTGTCTCTTTGGGTTATTAGCCCTCTTTAGCAAGTGAGAGGAGTAGGTGAAATACAGAAGTCTGTTCCTTTTGGCCCCTTGGGAGGTGCCTACCAGCACGAGATGGTGGGCCTTTATGACACAGTGGGTGAGGATTTGCACCATTTTCTAAAGGCAACAGATGCCCCCACCCTCCTTTTCATTTCTGTGATCACCCCTAAGTTGATCTAAATTGCTGCAGTCAAGATAGGGTGGGACTGCAGCGCTCTCCAGATGGTGAATGTATTGGATTTGTGTTTGGTATTAAATTAAACACGTAAAATTAAAAGTTGTCAATGTTGATATGACTTGCCAGTCTAAGTACCCCAGCCCTCTACCTGCTGTGTTCTTGGAAGAAGAACTAATTGTTAACTATTACAGTTAAAAGGGACTGCTAGCCTTTCCTTCTTTTTTCTGCTTTTGCTACTGAAGACACACAAAAGTATTTATACATACAAGAACTAGGGTACAGGCCAGAGGTGTGGGGGTGAAAGGATTCACCAGAGACAGAGCAGGGAACAGAACAGGCAGACTGACTGAAATACACTGCTAAGGGGAGCAGTGGGCAAGTCAGGAGAGGTCTGCTGCACCATGTGGGTAGCTTCCGGGACAGGGATCAGACTCGTGCTGCAGTGACTGGATAGCTCCAAAGGTTGCATCTTTTTTTTTTTTTTTTTTTTTTAAGATTTATTTATTTATTTATACAAGCACTGGGTACAGTCAGAAGCACGGGAGGGCGAGAGAATTCACCAGAGCCAGAGCGGGGAGCAGAGCAGACAGAAGGACCGAAGTACACTGCTGAGGGGAGCAGGGGGCGGCAGGAGAGGTCTGCGCGCCATGTGGGACCCTCCTCCGGTGGCCGAGGAGCAGCCAGGGATCGAACCGGCCCTGCAGAGGCTGCGGGCAGCTTCACAACCCAGCACTCAACCACAGCGCCACCAGGGAGGCCCCAGAGGTTGCATCATAATGGTCCCTTGAGCCACCAGGGAGGCCCTGATGGAGTTATTTTGATGCCTCCTATTTTGATAGGTAACCATCAAGCAATGGGGAAAGACAAAACTACCGAAGATTTTTAGGGCAGTGAAAGTCTTCTGTATGATAGCATAAAGGTAGATACCGTGACATTATATATCTAATAAAAACCATAGAACTATACAGTGCCATATAGTTCCTGTAGTTTTCGTATAGGCTTAGAAAGAAGTCCCATCACAGGGCCTCCCCTGGTGGCGCAGCACCAGTTCGATCCCTGGCCACCGGTGAGGGTCCCACATGGCGCACAGACCTCTGCTGCCGCCCACTGCTCCCCTAAGCAGTGTACTTCGGTCCTTCTGCCTGCTCTGCTCCCTGCTCTGGCTCTGGTGAATTCTCTCACCCTCCCGCGCTTCTGACTGTACCCAGTGCTTGTATAAATAAATAAATAAATCTTAAAAAAAAAAAAAAAAGTCCCATCATAGCAATGAATGTGTTTAATTGAGTGCTATGCTAGGATTCACAAGGTAAAACAAGAAATTTCTCTGGTTTGGTCTGACTTGCCAATAGGTTCTTTTCCCCCATTTTTAACCTGATAAGTCCATTGAATAAGAATCATTTTGGGATTTCTACCCAAAAGTCATTTGCATCCCTGCCTTTATGTCCCTGCTTCCCCAAAATATAGGGCAGTTTTTGTTGACCTAGGTTTAGGTCTGGGGAAATCCTTATGGTGACAATACATGGGGCAAAAAAGGCATTAGTCACAAAGGGAGAAGGTCTGTGTGTCAGCATGAACCAAAGGTGAGGAGGACAAAGTCTGAGCAATGAAGAATTGGATAAATATTTGTGAATCTTGGGACCTTCACTGCTTTCATAAGACAAACAGTGGCTTGGATAAAGGGAAGGTGGAATGGATAAAGTCATTTAGATTTTGGAAGCATCCAGCAAAGACGTGTTTAGACCATTTGTTCCTCTGGCTTATTTCTTCCTGAAACAGGTAAGGACTGTCCACAGCCTGGGAGGGTGGGAATGAAGCTATGACCAGCATAATTGACCTTTCCAAGGGCTAAGACTACTAGCTCTGCAAGTTCTTGGTGTGTGTTTGTCCCCAGCCTTTCCCCATTCCCAGTCTGAGCAGAGTCTCTCCAACAGAGCTGTTCCTGACAAACCACCATGATCCAGGTTGTGCTGCTCCTTTGCTACGTCTTGCTGTCCTCAGTGACGGCCTTTCCAGGAAATGCCCAGGAAGGATCCCCAGACGTCCAGCCATCTTTCACAGAAACTGGACATCCTCCAAACATGCTCTCCAATCAGATACCTCTGCCAGATCCCAAGGCATGCCAATATCTCCTGCACACAGCCCTCTCTCTCACCCCTCTGCCTGAGTACCTGTCTACCTTAGCTCTGGAACGAGCCCTGGAGGAGGTTGGCTGCTCAACTGAGGCTCACCTTCTGCAACTTCAGCTTATTAGGATGGGAGAAAAGGACACCGTTGACACCTTCATTCGTGAGATTAAAGAACACAATAAGGAGGAAGGGGTTGGCAACACTAAGGTCATTCCAAGGGCTCTGGGGGTAGCTGCCGGGGAGCTTAGGCGGGTCCAGCGCTCCGTTGCCCTTCCTGAGGCATGCAAGTCTGAAAGCGGCTGGGTGCTCTATGAGACAGCAAAGCTGATGATTGAATTTGCTGAGAAGCTGCCTCCCAGTGAGCTGTTAACAGAGTTCAAGAATTCTGCCGTCAATGTCACCCAGCAGTGCACAGAAGAGTCTTGGTCGCTTTTGGAAGAGCAATGCAAAAAGCTGATAGCAAGCCCTGAAATGAAGGATGTCTCGATCCCTTTAGAGGATCAGTTATACTTTTTCAAGCGTTTTGTAACCATTTTGGTTCGTATTATAATGGACAGCTTATGGAGACACTGGCAAATGTATTTAGGATAGAGGGGACCTCCTGAGCTTCATATTTCCTTTCTCAGTGTCCCTGAGAGGCCTGGGTAGCAGGGCTGGGCACACACAGGGCTGGGGACAGCTCAGACCAGATATTTGCTATTTTAATCCTGATGTAAAAGGCATGTGACTGGATTTAATTTTGCCCCCTCTTCATAGGTACTAGCATCTATTTCTCCTTCCAATTTCTCTTTCAGTTATCAGATATTTTGAATCTTTTATGTACTAGACATGAAGGTATTGTAATCCTTCCCCATTCATTTACCTTTTACATTTTAACTCTCCAATTGGGTGCTGTGGCTTGGTTAGGTTAATTTTTTAAACAGAAAAGAGAAATAAAAAGTCGCCTTCAGGGCCTCCCTGGTGGCACAGGGGTTAAGTCTCAGCGCTACCAAGCTATCACCAGCCACTGTGGCCTGAGTTCAATCTCCGCCAGGGAGCTAATCCACATGGGCAGCAGACCTCTCCTGTTTCCCCGCTGCTCCCCTCAGCAGTGTGTTTCAGCAGATCCACTTGTTCTGCTCCCCACTCATTTTTAAAAAGTTGCCTTGGGCCTCCCTGGTGGTGCAGCAGTTGATTGCTGGGCCACGAAGCTGCCCGCAGCCTCTGCAGCACCAGTTTGATCCCCAGCCACCGGTGAGGGTCCCACATGGCGTGCAGACCTCTCCTGCCGCGCCCACTGGAGAGCTTCAGCAGTGCACTTTGGTCCTTCTGCCTGTTCTGCTCCCCACTCTGGCTCTGGTGAATTCTCTCACCCTCCAGCGCTTCTGACTGTACCCAGTGCTTGTATAAATAAATAAATCTTTTTTTAAAATAAATGAATAAATAAATAAATAGTTGCCTTTATACCATAATCACAGTTATCTGATCTCTCATGTGTGTGTGTGTGTGTGTGTGTGTGTTTTCTCTCTCTCTTTTTTTTTTTTTCCCCCCCTTTGGTTGCTAGTTCTTCACAGATCTGAGAATCAGATGACATAAATCTTACCAGTCCAGGTGGCTGGAATGAGGATTATTCTCTGCTTAAAACCTGGGGGTGTATTAAAATAGAATCAGTTGTAAGCCCGTGAGTTTTACAACCTCTACATATTCTAGACCACTACTGCCTAAGGTGATTTTTTTGCATGATGTGTATTTTAGATCTACCTATCCAATATTGTCAATACTTATTCCACGTGTCTGCTAAACACCTGGGGATGGTACAACTGAGGGACTGATTTTACCTTTTCTTTCCACATAAGTTTTAAATTATTCATAACTTGTGTTCTTGGTACTGCACGGTGATATGTCAAAGTGTTATGGACTAAACTGTCCCTTCCGCCCCCCGCCTTGTCCCCTCCCACATTCATACATTGAAGACTTAACCTTCGCGTTAGGCTGTTTTTGGAAACAGGGCTTTTGAGGAGAGAATTAAAGTTAAATGAGGCCCTAAGAGTGGGACCCTAATCCAATGGGGCTGGTGTCCTTGTAAGAAATGGAAGGGCAGGGCCTCCCTGGTGGCACAAGGGGTTAAGCACAGCACTGTGAAGCTATTCACAGCCTCTGCAGCACCCCTGGCACCTCTGGCCTGTACCCTAGTTTGTGCATAAATAAATAAATCTTTAAAAAAAAGAAATGGGGGCCTACCTGGTGCTGCAGGAGGTTAAGACGCAACCTATGAAGCTACCCGCAGCCACTGCAGCACGAGTTCGAGCCTCAGCCAGGGAGCTACCCACATGGTGCAGCAGACCTCTCCTGACTTGCCCGCTGCTCCCCTCAGCAGTGTATTTCAGTAGATCTGCCTGTTCTGCTCCCAACTCTGTCTCTGGTGAATCCTCACACCTCCCACACCTCCGACCTGTCCCCCAGTTCTTGTATACATAAATAAATAAATCTTTAAAAAAAAAAAGAAAGAAGAAGAAAGATGGAAGGGCCAGCATGAGAGCGAGCACATAGAGAAAAGGCTGTGAGGGCACAGTGAGAGGGGCCACCAAGTGAGAGTTCTCAGGAGAAATGAGTCTTCCCTCACCTTGAGCCCAGATGTTTACCTTCCAGACTGTGAGGAATAAATTCCTGTTTCTTAAGTCACCCAGTCTGTGGTATTTTGTTAGTGGCATTACATATGGGTGTCTTTTCTTCTCTTTTCTGGTATCTTGGGAGTCCGTGCAATCTGAATTTTTTTCTTCATTCTAAAAATATGTCATCACTAAAAACATCATTTTCTCACTTCCTTTCTTAAATTTTTTTTTATTGTTGTGGTCAAAGAAACAGCTAAACATTGAACATCTTAACCATTCTAGGTATACAGTTCAGTAATGTTGAGCATATGTGCAGGCCTGCTCCAGGACCTTTTCATCTTTCAAAATTGAAATTCTGTATTTCAGAATTTCAACAATTCCCCATTTCCCTCCCTCCTCAGCCCCCTGATCTCTACTTTCTACTTTCTGTTTCTAGAATTGACTGCTCTATATACTTCAAGTAAGTGGAGTGGAATTATATCTGATTTGTCTTTCTGTGTCTGACTGACTTCACTTCACATAATGTCCTCAAGGTATAGCCACGTGACAGCATGGGTTCAAGCTTCTTTCCTGTGACTGAGCATCACATCGAGGGTCTGTGAATATTTACCCATTCATCTGTTGAGGGACACCTGCGTTGTTTCCACCTCTTGGCAGGTGGATATAGTGTTGCTATAAACATGGCTATGCACATATCTTTTCAACATCCTGTTTACAATTCTTTTTTTTAAAGATTTATTTATTTATGCTTACAAGACCTGGGGTCCACTCCAGAGGTGTTGGAGGGTGAGAGGATTCACCAGAGACAGAGCGGGAAACAGAACAGACTGACTGACTGAAATACACTGCTGAGGGGAATAGCAGGTAGACAGGAGAGGTCTGCTGCGCCATGTGGCTATCTCCCTGGCCAGGGATCGAACCTGTGCTGCAGAGGCTGCAGACAGCTTCACAGCGTTGCGCTCAACCTCCTGCGCCACCGGGGTGGGGTGGGGGGCCGAAACTTTTTGTCTTAATGATATATAGGAGTGTATACCAGTTTTAGAAGCCATCAAATATCTTCTCCTACTTTCTGGACTAGAGTTACCCCTCAACCCCAGATAAATTCTGGAAATTACCTGGAGTTTTAGTTAGATTTGGAAATAGATACTGCCCAGTTTATGAGCATGTTTTGTGTTTTGCATTGGAATTAGAAAAGTGAGTAGTAAAATTACACTGATTTGGTTTAATTTACCAATCTGTCCAGTTTCCCTGAAACTTCACCCAGTGTATCCTTTTAAATATTTATTTATTTTTATTTATACAAGCACTGGGTACAGTCAGAAGCCCGGGAAGGTGAATTCACCAGAGTCGGAGCAGAGGGCAGAGCAGGCAGACTGACAAAGTACACTGCTGAGGGGAGCAGCGGGCTGCAGGAGAGGTCTGTGCTCCATGTGGGACCCTCACCCAGCAGCTGGGGATCGAACCGGCGCTGCAGAGGCTGCGGGCAGCTTCACAACCCAGCGCTCAATTGCTGCACCACCAGTGAGGCCCCCCCAGTGTATCCTTTTAATTGAAGAAGTGTTTTGGGTTCCCTCACCAGAGCTCATCAGTCTTTCTGCCTTATCCCCTACACATGTCAGAAAAATACAAAGGAAACTTTTCCTCTTCTCCTACATATAGGTCTAGGGAAAACCTTAGGGCAGCAGGGATATGGGCAGGGCTAGCAAGGCCAATAAGGGGAAGAGCCTGTTTGTCAGTGTGGAGCAAAGGTGAGGAGAACAAAGTCTGGACTGGAAAGAGATACATAAATATTTGCCAATACTATGTCCTTCACCGTTCCTGCAAGCCATTAGTTTTCTGGCTGCCTCATGATTCTGGTGGTTGTAAAGGAGAAGTTGGGGCAAAAAAATCAAAACAGTCATTCAGGGGCCTCTCTGGTGGCCTAGAGGTTAAGTCTCCGCACCATCACCTCTATGGCCTGAGTTCAATCCCCAGCCAGGGAGCTAATCGACATGAAGCAGTAGACCTCTTCTGCCTCACCCGCTGCTCCTCTCAGCAGTGTATTCTAGTAGATCTGCCTGTTCCGCTCCCCACTCTGTCTCTGGTGAATCCTAATAATTCCTTTTTTAAAAAAAAAAAGTTTTATTTATTTATTTTAGATTTTATTTATTTATTTATACAAGCATTGGGTACAGTCAGAAGGGCGGCGAGAGAATTCACCAGAGCCACAGCGGGGAGCAGAACAGGCAGAAGGACCGAAGTACACTGCTGAGGGGAGCAGCGGGCGGCAGGAGAGGTCTGCACGCCATGCGGGACCCTCGCTGGTGGCTGGGGATGGAACCAACGCTGCAGAGGCTGCAGGCAGCTTCGCAGCCCAGCGCTCAACCGCTGTGCCACCAGGGATGCCCAAAAAAAGTTTTATTTATTTATGCATATAAGAACCGGGGTACAGGCCAGAGGTGTGGGGGTGAGAGAATTCACCAGAGACAGAGTAGGGAGCAGAACAGGCAGATCCACTAAAATCCACTGCTGAGGGGAGCAGCGGGGAGACAGGAGAGGTCGGCTGGCCAGGGATCGAACTCATGCTACAGTGGCTGCCAATAGCTTGATAGCGCTGACTTTAACCCCTGTGCCATCAGGGAGACCCGTCAATTTAATTTTTAAACTGAAGAGAAAAATAAACTAAGAATCATAGACATCACTCATGTCTCCTGACTCTGGGTCTCTTGGCTCCCATTACAGGAATTACAGTGGAAAGGTGGCCAGGGCATAGGAAATGCCAGAGACAGTGTCTCAGGGATTGAGGTCGGGTATGTAACAGGAGGACAATGGTTAAACGGACAAATATTTGCAGAGATTACATCTCTTACTGATCAGTGGGGAAATTAAGTTTCTCCTGTTTGGTGGAACAGTGAACTGGACAGAAGAGGATTGAGAAGCAACCAAACCTATCAAGGCAGCCTCACTTCTCAGTAACTGGACTGTGTGGTAACTGGGGCCCCTAAAAGTGGGTGGAAATAAACGGGAGGAAGTCCTTGGTGCCTTGTAGAAGGGGAAGCCAGGTGGAAACAACTGGGTGGCATTTCCTGTTTGAGCCTTTATTTGCAAAAAACAGAGCTTGGAGGTGATGGACAAGGTATCCCCTGAGCTCTGGGTTCCTTTTAGACCACAGCTGTAAGGGAAAGTTTTTATGTTTTTGGTTTCTCCCCTCTCCAGCATACTCTGTGCCAGAAATGTGCAGTCTCAGACTCACGGTGATTTCAGTTGAGCTGCTGCTTTGCTATCTCCTGCTGCACCCTGTAGAGGCCATTTCACATGGAAACCAGACAAATGTCCTGAGGCACCTTCCATCATCCTTGGGATCCTGGCCAACTTCCTCAGGCCCTTTGTCCTGCCAGACCTTGCTCCCAAAGTCCCTGTCTGGCTTCACCCACATGGCCCCGCTACACAAGTTCCTGGTAGGCCTGCCACTGGTGATAGCCCTGGAGGAAATTGGCTGCCAGGATGAAGTCAGGGCCCTAGAGCAGCAGCTCTACCAACAGGGGGGTGTAAAAGCCACACAGATCCTCATCCAACATCTTCAAGAGCTTCAGAACGGAAAAAACACTAGAAGGGGAGTGTCAGTGGATGCCCTGGCCTCTGCTTTGCAATTGCTGGCCAGGGAACAGGCAGGTCCAGAGAGGGCCCAACGCTCCCTCTCCATCAATGACTGCGAGCAGGAGCAGGAGCAGAGTGTATACAACATAGTCCGGATGCTGCCAGGGGTGGGGACCTACTACAACCTGGGCACAGCTTTGTACTATGCGTCTCAGAACTGTGCAGACAAGGCCAAGGAACGGGGCCAAGATGGGGTCTTAGATCTCGGTTATGACCTTCTGATGAGCATGGCTGGAGTGTCAGGAGGGCCTGTGGGAGTATGGGTCAGTGCTGCTCTTAAACCTGCAGTGAAGATTGGGGTTCAGAAGTTGATCCAGTATTACAATGAGAATGCGGGTTAAACACTGCACTATAAAGAAATCCACAGCCTCTGTAGCAAGAGTTCGGTCCCTGGCCCGCCAGGGAGCAGCCCACATGGCACAGCAGACCTCTCCTGCCTCTCCACTGCTCCCCTCAGCAGTGTATTTCAGTAGATCCGCCTGTTCTGCACCCCCCTCTGTCTCTGGTGAATCCTCTCACTCCCCGCATCTGTGGCCTGTACCCAAGTTCTTGTATGCATAAATAAATAAAATCTTTTAAAAAAAAATGAGAATGAGACAAATAGCCCTTGGTCAGAGACCAGACAGGAGGGCTTAGGAGGCACCTCAAATGTAGAAATGATGTGGAGGAAATAACTACATGCCCCGGTTGGTGTCAGAATTAGTAAATTCAGTTCCTGGCTAGGGAGTTCGACCTCGAAGCTTTTACTAACTATGCTTTAGATCATGGGGTGGGAGTTTTGGGGTATAAAAGGAGGTAATAAACACAGATGAATAAATCTAATATTCTGCAAGCTGCAGAATCAAATCCAGATTCTGATTTTTTATTGAGGAAGGGAGTACCTTAAAACGTGGGGACTTTACAGTGTGGGATTTGGAGTCAGAGGATTTGGTTTTGAGTCCAGGCTCCCCTTGTCAGTGCCTCAGCAATCACTGACCAGTACCTTCAAGTTTTTCTCCAAGCTTAGTATTTTAAATTTCTAAAGCGGGGAGAATGATTTTCCACCTGAGGGATTTTGTGGAAATTAAAAACAATGAACCCACATTAGGTGCTTAGCACAAAATCACCAATAGTATTAGGTATTATTATTATCATTATTAATATTAATTTTTCAGCTCCCCACCCCCCCTCCTATCCCAGAAGTGTCGCAATCCCGGTCCCACCTCCTCTCTGGGCTCCCTCAGCGCTGGGGTCCGCGCTAGTCTCAGTTCTGCTTCTGGGCTGCGGTTTCTCGGAAATCAGCTGTTTGAGGGCCTGGGCGAGCGCGCTAATCGGATTCGCCCTCGGCGGACAGGGGGTGGGGCTTGCCCGAGCCTTCCCACCAATCGCTGAGCTGGAAATGCGGGGCCCCGCCCCGCGGCCTGGGCGGAGCTGCGGCGGCGCCGACGCGCCCGGGCGGGGACTGGGCGGCTCCGAGCTGCCGCCGGCGCCCGCGTCAGACCGAAAGTGTTGGTGGCCGAGGCCCGGGGCCCCCTCAGCGCCGCCGGAGGGGAGGATCCCAGAGGTGCCTCGACACCCAGGGAAGGGCGGGAGGCCGGGCGGACAGCTCCCTCTGGGGACCGGAAGCCTCGACCGCAGCCGCCCCGAGGACCGAGACTGGGACCCTAACCAGGTACGGGACTTGGGGTGACAGGAGTGTGGGTGGAGGTGTGAGCCCCCCGGGGGGGCGGGGAGCCCCGGGAGCACGCCCCGGAGCGGGCAGCCTCCCTTCCCCAGCTGAAGTAGGCGCTGTCGCCGGCTGCACCCCGGGTCACCCCCCCTCCTGTACCCCATCCCCAAGCCGGTCTCCCCAAAACTCCCTGCAGCCTCGCACACCTACACCTGCTTGTCCCGCGGACTCGGGGTCCTGGCTAACTGTTCGCTCACCTGGTCTGCCTTCTTTTTGATCCTCAGCAAAACGTCGTCCGAAGGTAGATGCGATTCCCTCCCTTGTTGGCTTAAGCAGCAGGTACGGGAAGGTGAAGCGACTTGCCTGAGGGCGCACATAAAATTCAGTTCCCCTGAGAAAAGCCTGTTGAACCCAAATATGTGTCTAAGAGAGTGAGAAAAGCTTGTGTTACAGTCCTTAACCTCAGTGTTTGCAGTTTATTTGGGGAGACGTTATTGTTTCATTGATACTTAGGATTTACTTGATACTTGATTTTTTTAATACCAGCTGATTACTTACTCCTTGAGATCTCTTCATATCTTAAAAAACAAAACAAAACAAAACGAAAACCCACAAGTACATAGTTTAAAAAGTCAAGCACTCCTTAACAGGGTTAAAATGAAAAATAGTAGCCCCTTATCTGACCCTTCTCTGGTCCCTCCCGGCAGAAGGGCATGTTATGATTAATCATGCAGGTGGAAATCTCTCCCACCCCAAACTTTGTTTTTATTTGTAATAAAATCATGTGACCTTTTTAGACTTCACATGTGTCTTTTTATTATGTTCTGTTAGGCTCAGGCTGAAAAAAAAAAAACACTAAGTTTTAATTTCCTAAGCAGACATCACATGACAGTGGGCGGGGATTGGCGGGGAGAAAGATGCCCGGCCCAGTCACTTTGGTAACAGACAAAAACCATTCTTCAGTAAAATTTCTGGGTGTCTCATGAAATTGATAATACACATGAAAAATGAGAGGTTGACTGAGGTCGTATAAAGTGTCACAATTTTAAGGATTGATGACTCCTTGCTCAGTATTTATTTATTTATTTTAAAGATTTATTTATTTATGCACAGGCCAGAGGTTTGAGGGGTGAGAGGATTCACCAGAGACAGAGTGGGGAACAGAACAGGCAGACTGACTGAAGTACACTGCTGAGGGGAGTAGTGGGCCAGACAGGAGAGGTCGGCTGTGCCATGTAGGTAGCTTCCTGGCCTGTCAGGGATCGAACTCATGCTGCAGAGGCTGAGGATAGCTTCATAGTGCTGTGCTTAATCTCTTGTGCCACTAGGGAGGCCCCTTGCTCAGTATTTAAACAGCTACATAGAACTCCTTCCTACATGGGGGTGGTTTCTAGGATATGCCTTATCTCCAAGGAGGTTTCAGCTCCTGATGAAGCTTTGAGGCAAGCAAGGATTATGCTGATGTAAACATGTATGACCAAAACTGACATTTAAATGCTCCAGAATAAAGCGGTATAAACACAAACAAATTTAAAATAAATTTATTTATTTTATTTTTTTTTATTTTTTTTTTTTATAGAGGCATGTTTTTTATTTATTTATTTGTTTGTTTCTTTGTTTATACATGTACTGGGTACAGTCAGAAGCGCGGGAGGGTGAGAGAATTCACCAGAGCCAGAGCAGGGAGCAGAGCAGGCAGAAGGGCCGAAGTACACTGCTGAGGGGAGCAGCGGGCGGCAGGAGAGGTCTGCGCGCCATGTGGGACCCTCCTCTGGTGGCCGGGGAGCAGCCGGGGATCGAACCGGCGCCGCAGAGGTCGCCGGCAGCTTCGCAACCCAGCGCTCAACCGCTGCGCCACCGGGGAGGCCCAAATTTATTTATTTTAAATAGATATAGTAGAAATATCATTAATGTTTGTTGAAGCTGGATGATGGGAACAGGGATGATCCTTGTATTATTCATTCTACTTTGGTATCTATTTGAAAATTACCATTGAAACCAAAATGTGCTCATGTTGGAGCTCTACCAGTTAAGTCTCAGCGGTATTACCCCTGCAGCCAGAGTTTGGTCCCCAGCCAGGGAGCTACTCACATGGTGCAGCAGACCTCTCCTGTCTCCATGCTGCTCCCCTCAGCAGTGTACTTCAGCAGATCCACCTATTCTGCTCCCCATTCTGAATCCTCTCACCGCCCCCTACCCATACCTCTGGCCTGCACCTCAGTTCTTCTATGTAAAGGAAAAAAGAAAAAAAATAGTTCTAGAAGAATATGCACCAAACTGATAATATTGATTACTTCTAGAGAGAAGGGGAAGGGAACAAGATTGGGAGTGAGGTCCATATGGACTTTAATTATTTTACCTGTGAATTAGAAAAAATAAATTTGTAATAATAAACAATTATGAGACTATGGATAATTTAATCCAGTACAATTTCCAACAGAATCATCCTGCATCCTTCAGACTCAGATGCCAAATGGCGCAGTGGGAAATGCTTCAGAACCTTGAAAGTCCATTTCAGGAACAGCTGCACAATCTCTACTCAGAAAGTCTCCTGCCAGTGGATGTTCGACAACACTTGGCTGCCTGGATTGAGGATCAGAACTGGTGGGTCTTTCAGAAGTTGAAAGGATGAGGAAAGTGGTTTCTTCCTTCTGAGTCTCCAGGGTCCTGGAGATACTAAGGACAGAAAGGGAGGCCTTGAAGGCCTCGAGACAGCAGCAACCTGCAGAGATTCTAATCTGTATCATTCCTGCTCCCCAGGCAGGAAGCTGCACTGGACAATGATGGTTCTAAAGCCAACATGCACTTCTTCCACTTTCTGGACCAACTGAACTATGACTATAGTCCTTGCAACTCAGACCAGGAGAACTTGTTGCTACAGCACAACTTGCGAAAATTCTATCGGGATATTCAGGTACTTGGAGGAACCAGGAACAGAAAAGTAGGAATGGGACCTTAATGTCAAGGGGTAAGGCTTAGCATATGGAACAAGACTTGGAGGTGCAAAGGGATAGAGGAAGATCTGAGAACAGAGGGTCCGAGTCTGGGCTTGAGGGATCACTGCAAAAGGAAGGGCAACATCTACCTGACCCTGTGGGGTGAGGCTAGGGTTTGGGGGACCAGTGATAAAAAGGGGAACAAGGAACCCAAGGAGAGGGAGGTTTTGGGGTCCCTCATAGGGAGTGTCGGAGGCAGTAGTTCATTGAAGGCAGTTGAATTTGAGCAATTCTTTCTCTTTCTCTACTGCAGACCAAAAGCCCCACAGAACTGGCTGGCATGATCTTTAATCTCCTTCATGAAGAAAAAAAAATTTTGATCAAAGCACAGAGGGCTCAGGAGGTGAGAACAATTTGATGTTGATTTTGCTGGAGTAGCAAGCGACCTTGAAAAGGATTTGGGGAATTTATCTCAGAACAAGATCCTCCCACATCCTGTGGTATAATTTCAAGTCTGGATTTCAGGAATGAAAAAGCAGATTTGAAATGTGCTCAGAGCTTCTTATTTCAGGAGCAAGGAGAGCCAGCCCTCAGAACACCTGTGGGGAGACAGCAGCATGAAATTGAATCCCGGATCAAGGAATTAGGGACTATGATGGAGGTTGGTAATGTGGCAAGAATAGGGAGGGCAGGGCTCAGCCTGCCTCCTCCCACAGAAACCATCTCAGTCTTATCCCCTTTGCAGACGCTGGTGAAATCCATCAGTCAACTGAAAGACCAACAAGATGTCTTCTCCTTCAGATATAAGACTCAAGGTAGAGAAGCACATTAGGTGTAGAGAAAAGACAGATATGTGCTAGGAGGCCAAGGGTGGAAGAAAACAGAAGGGAAAAGCTCCAGTAAGCAGGAGCCACTTTTGATTCCACTTCCCTGGCTATAGTCCTGCTGTCTGTAAGGCTGCGGCGTCAGGGCACGCTGTAGGGTTCACGCTGGAGCTGTGGCTCAGGGATAGCTCGGGAATATTGGAGGAGATGCATGGAAACTGCCATAGCAGAGTAGGTGGGCTTCTGGTTCAGGTATGAACATTCAGAGTCCTTCTGAGGCCCAGAGATGCCTGCACTTTGCTTGGTTTGTCCTTCCTCTAAAATTCCCCCACCTGACTCTAGTGGGGGGTCTGGGTCAGGAAGAAGAGGGGAAGGAGCCCAGGCTCTGAATACTTGTCTCACTCCTGCTCTTATGATCAGTGAAGACATCCTCCTCGGACGCCTATCACATCAGACAGCAACAGCTTCTGCAGCAAACTCTGAATGAATTGGACAAAAAGAGAAAGGTGGGAAGCAGGGATGAGTTGCAGGGAAATGAGGCATCTGAGAGCCCTGTCCTCTTACTCTTCATCCCACCTTTAGAAGGTGAGGATGAGAGGTGTTCAAGCACTCATTTGATGTCTTTCCTAGGAGGTGATAGATGCTTCCAAAGCACTACTAGGTCGATTAGCTACCCTAATAGAGCTACTGCTGCCCAAGTTGGAGGAATGGAAAGTCCAGCAGCAGAAAGCCTGCATTGGAGCCCCTCCAGACGACAACGACACAGCGTTGGAACAGCTGGAGCAGTGGTGAGAAGCACTTCCACCCTCCTCACCCTATGCTCACTCCATCTGTATATGGTATATGGTCATTCTGGCTGAATATTGATGGTGTGTGTATATATATATATATGTGTGTGTGTGTGTGTGTGTGGTATAGATATATATATATGGTATAGATATGAATACATATGGTATATGGTCATTCTAGTTGAATGACCTTGAACAAGTCACTTAACCTCTTTGTGACTCAGTTTTACAATCTGTAGGGCTAGCTCCCCCTCCTTGCTTTCTAAACTGTAATGCCCCGTATAGGTAAGCATATCACCTTCCTTAATCTCTGCTCCCTAGAATGATCCCAGCTTGTTGTCTGACCACAGCTACACTTTGCTCTTCATTCTTACCACCTAGGGCATCCAGAGCTTACTCTGCCTCTTTGCTTTGGTGAAAGTAGTGGAATTAATCCACAAACAGATTTCTCCCTCCTTTTTAATCACCCAAGGGAGATATTTTCTATATTTTTTTTAACTGTAAGGGATAGAATACCAAACAAAGAAAGTCATCTGATACTTTGCTACCAAATGTAGCTACTATTATTAAACAAAATTAAATCATAATGTTTATATTATTTGACACCTGTTGGGTATATTTTATATTTACCCTTGCTACTTTTTTTTTTTAAAAAAAAGATTTATTTATTTATATAAGAACCGGGGTACAGGCCAGATGTGTGGGAGGGTGAGAGGATTCACCAGAGACAGAGTCGGGGCACAGAACAGGCAGATCTATTGAAATACACTGCTGAGGGGAGCAGCGGGTGAGGCAGGAGAGGTCTGCTGTGCCATGTGGGTCACCTCCCTGGCCGGGGATGGAATCTGTGCTTCAGTAGCTGCGGATAGCTTCACAGTGCTGACACTTAACCCCTTGCACAACCAGGGAGGCCCCCACATAACCTCTTTGTGACTCAGTTTTATCATCTGTAAAATGGGGATAATAATACTAAGTCCTGGGCCTCCCTGGTGGTGCAAGGGGTAAAGGAGCAGCACTATGAAGCTATCCACAGCCACTGCAGCACGAGTTCAGTCCTGACCAGGGAGCTGACCCACATGGCGCAGCAGACCTCTCCTGACTAGTCTGCTGTTCCCCTCAGCAGTGTATTTCAGTCAATCTGCCTGTTCTGTTCCCCATTCTTCTCTGGTGTATCCTCTCACCCCTTACACCTCTGGCCTGTACCCCAGTTCTTGTATGCATAAATAAATAAATCTTTAAAAAAAGAAATAATAAGTCCCTCATAGGGTGGCTCTACTAATTAAATGCATTAATATATGCTAAGCAAATAGAATAAATAGTATATGTCAAATATCAGATAAAAATTAGTTTTCTTATGCTAATAAATCTTTTGCCAGTCTTACATGTGAAATGGCTTTGATTGTCCTTTCTTGGATTTATGAAAAATGCTGGATAATCTTTCGTATACTTTCTGGGTTTGTTTTTTTGGTCCCAGTTTCTGACTTCCCATATAAATCAAGGGGCACTCTTGGAGACTGTGGACTCTAGCAAACTCATTGTTTCTCTCTCACCCAGGTTCACAGCTGGAGCAAAACTGTTGTTCCACCTGTTGCAGCTGCTGAAGGAGCTGAAAGAATTGAGCACCATAAGCTACGAAGGTGACCTTCTAGGTGAAGGCGTGAAGCTGCAGTGGGCCCAGGTCACGGAGTTGCTACAGCGTCTACTCCCCAGGTCTAAAAGCCAGGACGGGGGCTCTAGGGAAAGATTGAGGGAAGGAACAAGTGGGATCATTCTCACAGATGCTAACCTAGCTATTCTCTTCACATTTATCTTCTCAGCGCCTTTGTGGTAGAAACCCAGCCCTATATGCCCCAAACTTTCCATCGCCCCCTCATCCTCAAGACTGGGAACAAGTTCAGTGTCCGAATCAGGTTGGCACTTCAGAACTCATTCCTGCTTCCCTTTTCTAACCCTGGTACTGTTCACTTTCTAACTTTTTTTTAAAGATTTATTTATTTATACAAGAACCAGGGTACAGGCTAGATGTGGGGGAGGGTGAGAGGATTCACCAGAGACAGAGCGGGGAACAGAACAGGCAGACTGACTGAAATACACTGCTGAAGGGAGCAGTGGGTGAGACAGGAGAGGTCTGCCATGCCATGTGGGTATCTCCGCAGCCAGCCAGGATCGAACCCGCACTGCAGAGGCTGCAGACAGCTTCACAGCGCTGCGCTCAACCACCTGTGCCAACTACCTGTGCCCCACTTTTGGCTTTTCTTTTTCCTCTCAATCCACCTACCTCTACTAATCTCTTCTCTCGTCTTTTTCAAAGATGGGGTCTATTCAGAAGATTGAGATTGACTACTTTCTCATACCCAAACCCTTTCCCCCCAGGCTGCTGGTGAGACTCCAGGAAGGTAATGAGTTACTGACCGCAGAAGTCTTCATTGACAGGTAAGTTGAAGCAGGTGAAAGGGTGGCCAGGACGCATACCAGCGGGGCAAAGGGAAACACCCCCTCTGCAGCAAGAGCCTGGGCTTTGTTCTCACCCATCCATTTCTACCTCATAGAAATAATAGCTCATGGGCCTCCCCTGGTGGCGCAGGCATTTGAGCGCTGCTCCTTGAAGCTGTCCGCAGCCTCTGCAGCGCTGGTTCGGCGGTGGGGGGGCCCCACATGGTGCAGCAGACCTCTCCTGTCTCGCGCACTGCTCCCCTCAACAGTGTGTTTCGTCAGTCTGCCTGTTCTGTTCCCTGCTCTGTCTCTGGTGAATCCTCTCACCCTCCCGTGCATCTGGCCTGCACCCTGGTTCTTGTATAAATAAATCTTTAAAAAAAAAAGAAAGAATAGCTCATTCCCCCCCTTTTTTATATTTATTTATTTATGCATACAAGAACTGGGGTACAGGCCAGAGGTGTGGGGATGAGAGGATTCATCATAGACAGAGTGGGGAACAGAACAGGCAGACTGATGAAATACACTGCTGAGGGGAGCAGTGGGCAAGACAGGCAAGGTCTGCTGCACCATGTGGGCAGCTCCCTGGCTGGGGATCCAACTCATGCTGCTGTGGCTGCAAATAGCTTCGTAGGTTGCGTCTTAATCCCCTGTGCCATCAGGGAGGCTCCCCCACTTTTTTTGAGCACTTACTATGTGACATGCAGCCTGTCGAGTACGCATGTAATTATCATAGAAACCCCTTGAGTTAGGTGTCATTGCACCATTCAAATGAGGGAACAAACTTGAAGCAATTATGTCTCTTGTGCAAGGTCAGCTTACTAGTGAGCTGAAGATTTGGGTTTGAACCTAAATCTCTTGGATTCTAAAGACTAAACTCCTAACTTCTGTACTGTTTTGCTTCCCATTGATTTTTTTTTTTTTTGTATTTCTTTTCAGGAATTCCCAGCCACAAGGGTAGGTGTCCAACAAGGATGCTGCAAATATTTGTGCACTGCCTGAACTACACAACCACGTGTAGCAACCCTGATGGGTGCACAAAGAGGAGGTTGAGTTGGGTGGGGTACGGACAAAGGGAGGAGGGAGGGCTAAAATGCCATCTTCCTGCCAAGTTGTTAGAATAACGCTGCTCCTGTCTCCCCTATCCTCTTCCTCCTGGTTTAGCTTCCGAAAATTCAACATTCTGACCTCAAACCAGAAAACTTTGACTCCCCAGAAGGGGCAGAGTCAGGGCTTAATTTGGGACTTCAGCCACCTGGTAAGAAGGGTAGCAGCTTAAGCTAGGGGCTGATAGGAGTTTCTAAGCCTTGGGAAGTCTTGAGGGCAAAACAGGGATTTCAGGGACCTTGGAATCCCTACGCTGGCATTGTCTCTCCTCCCCCTCAATTCACAGACTCTGGTGGAACAACGTTCATTTGGTCCAGGAAAAGGCAGCAATAAGGTGAGGCCTGCACAGAGGATTGAGGGACAACGGGGGCACTTGCCAAAGGGCCCTCTGATCACTGTGTCTTTGGCTATTCCAGGGACTGCTGGGTGTGATGGAGGAGCTGCACATTATCAGCTTCACAGTCAAATACACCTACCAGGGTCTGAATTGGGATCTGAAAGTGAGTGAAAATGCAAGGCTGGGAGAGAGGAAGTAGATTTAAGAGAAGACATAAGATGTTAAACAGAAGCTCTCAGGGTGGGATATCACCCCTTGCGTTCTACCTGATGTCTGCAGCTAGAAACATCACATCCCTCCTCTGTGATTCCTCTCCTCTCCCCAGACGGACACCCTCCCCGTGGTGATTATTTCAAACATGAACCAACTCTCAATTGCCTGGGCCTCAGTCCTCTGGTTTAATCTGCTCAGCCAAAAACCCCAGGTAGGAGGTGGAGCCAACAGGTGAAGGCAGGGAGGGTAGAAGCTTGGTGTGAGACCACTGTTTCCTGTCTGCCCTTCACGCCTCCCACCCTGCAGAATCAGCAGTTCTTCTCCAGGCCCCCCAAAGCGCCCTGGAGCTTGCTGGGCCCTGCTCTCAGCTGGCAGTTCTCCTCCTATGTTGGCAGAGGTCTCAACCCAGAGCAGCTGAACATGCTGAGGGAAAAGCTGTTTGGTATGTCCCCCTTTTCTCTTAGCCTCTCCCCAGCCTTAGTCAACCCTGCCCTCTGTCCTTTCTGCCCCAGGACCCCTGGCCTTGCCTCCTGCTATCATCTGAACTGTCTGTCTGCCCACAGGGAAGAACTCTAAGAGTGAAGATGCATTGTTGTCCTGGGCTGACTTCACTAAGGTAACTCCCTGCGTCTTGTGCAGCTCCAACCAGCTGCCAGCCCATATACTGGCCCGCGCCCCCTCATGCTTTCTTGCCTTTCCATTCCCCTTCAGCGAGAGAGCCTGCCCGGCAAGCTGCCATTCTGGACATGGCTAGACAAAATTCTGGACCTGGTACACGACCACCTGAAGGATCTCTGGAACGATGGGTGAGCCTTGCCTTTGGGCAGCTTCCTTGCCTCCCTCTCCAGGTTCCAGGCCCAACTTCCTTTCTGGGCTTGAGAGTGGTTTCTGCGCGCCCTCCTGTGGCAAGTGAGGGGAGAGACCCAAAACTGGCGCCCAGTCACACCCCCTCACCTTTGCCATAATGGCCAGAGCCGGTATTTATTCAGCGTCTGATGTACCCCAGAGCCTGCTACATGCCTTCGTAAGGATTCCCACGGAATCCTTACAAGTATGCTGAGTAGTGGGTGTTGCCACCCTCATTCTGAATGAGGAAAGTAAGGCTTGGAGACGCTGAAGGACTTATCCCAGGGGCAGAGCTGGAATCTGAACCCAGGCCTATCTGACCACACTGCCTGTTCCTTTGTATAGCACTTTGCCTGCTACAAGGTGCTTTTTATGTATGTGACCTCACTGCGCCTTCACATCACTTCTAACCCTGGACACAGATATTGTTAGTAAAGTGAAGTGACTTGGTCAAGATGGAACTGCTTATAAGTGGCAGAACCGGGACCAAAAGCTAGTGTTCTCTCCCTATACAAGGGTGGGTGGGGCGAGGGAGGCAGGAGGGATTCACACCTGCTTTCTGGGCTCCAGACGCATCATGGGATTTGTGAGCCGGAATCAGGAGCGCAGGCTGCTGAAGAAGACCATCCCGGGCACCTTCCTGCTGCGCTTCAGTGAAACATCAGAGGGGGGCATCACCTGCTCGTGGGTGGAGCACCAGGACGATGGTCAGCCGCTCTGCCTGCCATCCCCGCCATCTGTCCTCTCTGCACTTGGCTCCCCCTGCTCTATCCTGAATCCTTCAACCCAAGCAGGGAAATCTCAGCCCAGCCTTTCCCCTCACACCTGCCTGTCCCTATGTCCACTCTCCAGGTGAGGTGATCATCTACTCCGTGCAACCCTACACCAAGGAGGTGCTACAGAGACTGCCGCTGACCGAAATCATCCGCCACTACCAGCTGCTCACTGAGGAGAATGTACCCGAGAACCCTCTGTGCTTCCTCTACCCCCAGATCCCCCGAGATGAGGCTTTTGGCCGCTACTACCAAGATAAAGGTGAGAAGCATGACATACGTCACTGATAGATTGCAGGAGTCTCGGGCATCTGCGGAGCTAATGCCTTCCTTCCAAACATGGGAAAGCAGAGTCAGAGAAGTTAAAGGAATTGTGTCTGGAACACGGCTAGTTAGTAGGGAGACATGAAAGGACCATCTGCTCTAGGCCCCACAGGCTGCGTGTCCAGTATTTGACCTCCCGCCTGCTATGTATGTCCCCACAGTTAATCTCCAGGAACAAAAGAAGTATCTGAAACACAGGCTCATTGTGGTCTCTAACAGGTGAGCTACAAACTCTTCTCTCAACTCCCCTGGCCCTGTTTGGCTGATGTAATGACTGTCACCTGCCCAGTGCCAGTCTCTCCAACTTTCTCTCCTACTGACCCACACTCTTCAGCCCCCAAGTCTTTTACTCTGCATTTCTAGTCTCTCTGCTATTCTCCTTAGGTTGTCTCCACATGAGTTTCCTGATAATATTATTGGGTTGTCAGAAGTCATGACTTGTTTTTTCTGTTTTTCAAAGAAAAACAGACAACCCAGTAGTTACACTCGCTGCTGTTACTGGGCATCTACTTGTAATGCCACATGTGGCACTATTTTTTGAACACATTTTTTTCATTTCTGAGAATCCATCTGAGTAGGTAATAATAACAGATCTGATGAAAGTTTATTGCATTTCTGGCCCAGACTCAGGGCTTTGTGTTTTCTCATTTATTGAATCCTCATAATAGTCCTGAGGCAGGTACTGTTATTACTCCTGTTTTCAGCTGAGAAAACTGAGATTTAGAGTAGTGATGTGGCATGCCTGAGGTAGATGGCTAATAAGTGATCCAGATCAGTCAGATTCCAAAGCCCTGCTTTTAACCATCCTACCTTCTCTCAAGTATTATTAGGTATTATATTTTTTAAAAAGATTTATTTATTTATGCACATAAGAACCGGAGTGCAAGCCAGAGATGCGGGGGTGAAAGGATTCACCAGAGACAGAGTGGGGAGCAGAACAGGCTGAAATACACTGCTGAGGGGAGCAGTGGGTGAGACAGGAGAGGTCTGCTGTGCCATGTGGGTAGCTCCCTGGCCGGGGATTGAACTCGTGCTGCAGTGGCTGCAGATTGCTTCATGGGCTGCGTCCTATCCCCTTGCGCCACCAGGGAGGCCCTTATTAGGTATTGCTGTTATCATTTTACAGATTTGAGTCTGAGGCTCAAAGATGTTAGGCAACTTACCTAAGGTCACCCAGGTAGTGAATGATAGGATTCAAACTCTGGCAAGCCTGATTCTAAAACCCATCCTCTTAAGCTCTCTGCGCTGTTGTTTTCTCAGAGTAGAGAGATAGTCTCTGCTTGCTCTACCATTCCCCACTTCACCTAAGTAACAAGCCCTTCCCCTTTTGTCTGTCTTGGGGTTTCCAGACAAGCGGATGAGCTACCACAACCACCAGAACTTAAGCCGGACCCAGAAGCGGAGTTTTCAGACCTGGATCTGGGGCTGGCACCAGGGCCAGAGCCAGGGCAATGTCTGGAATTAGAGCAACTATTGACCCCAACACTGAAGCTCACACTGGAGCCCACACTCTGTGTGGAATCACCAGAAATGCCGGAGCCAAACCTGGGAGCAGAGCTGACATCAGAGTCTATTCTAGAGCTACCACAACCTCCAGAGCTTAAGCCGGACCCAGAAGCAGAGTTTTCAGACCTGAATCTGGGTCTGGCACCTGGGCCAGAGCCTGGGCAATGTCTGGATTTAGAGCAACTGTGGACCCCAACACTGAAGCACACGCTGGAGCCCACACTCTGTGTGGGATCACCAGAAATGCTGGAGCCAAACCACCTGGGAGCAGAACTGATGCCAGAGTCTTTTCTAGAGCCTTTATCAACACCAGAGACAGAGCCAGATTTGCCCCCTGATCTGAGGCACTTGAACACTGAAGAAATGGAAAGTAAGTGATGCGATGGGCCTGGGGGAGAAGGGCCACATTCCCTTCCCTAACCCCCTTCTTCACCCATTTCAGAAAAGATTGACCTCCCAGCTCCTCTTTTCTCTGTGATTCCTTTTATTAAGAAATATACATACCTTCCCCTGCCCCTCCCCCTTCCCTTCCCCACCTAAGAGCTCCTGTAGGCCCTGCCCAGGCCTCTGCTACTATCCACCTTCACTTTCCTGCTGGTTTGGGGACTCCTTGCCTGAGATCAGGACCTGACTTCTCTCTCTGAACTACACAGTCTTCAAGAACGCTATGAAGATTGAAGAAATCCTAACGAATGGTGACCCATTGTTGACTGGCCAGAGCACCGCGGATGAGCCTTACGCCTTCAATCCCAGCCACTTCCACACAGAAGGACCGTTGGTCCCTTTTGAGTACTGAGAACTGCGTTTTCTCTATTCTTTCCATATACCTTGCCCCTTCTAGCCCTACGTCATGATGTTGCTCTCCAAGGATAGGAAATCAGGCATGTATCCCACCTAAGGAGGTCTTCCTGGAGTTTAGAGAGAAGTAAAAACAATGTGGGTAAGGAAGAGGACCAGTGATGCAGGAAACATGTGGGCCATAGTCCTCACTAGGACCCCGGAAGCTGTCTGCTGTGCTGGGGGACACAGGAATTATGGGGGGCCAGGCAAGGACTGTTGGGAGCTACTTAGGTGCTCGGGACAGTGACTTCTGGTAAGACTAACTAGTACCCGGGCCTCCCCAGTGGTGCAGTGGTTGAGCGCTGGGCTGCAAAGCTGCCCACAGCCTCTGCACCGCCGGTTCGATCCCCCCACCGGTGAGGGTCCCACATGGGACCTCTCCTGCCGCCCGCTGCTCCCCTCAGCAGTGTGTTTCGTCAGTCTGCCTGCTCTGTTCCCCGCTCTGGCTCTGGTGAATTCTCTCACCCTCCCGTGCTTCTGACTGTACCCAGTGCTTGTATAAATAAATAAATAAATCTTTAAAAAAAAAAAAAGACTAGTACCCACTAGCACTGGCCCTCAATAGGAAACGGAGAGGTGAGATAGTTTCCTGTGGTCCCCTATGACTAGGGTAACCTTTTTATTTTTTTCTTCCCCTTACTCTTGGCTCAAATCCCAAATGTCTTCTTTCCTGCAGGGACTGAGAGCTTTTTGCCTCTGCCCACCATGTGAAGCTCCTACCATTTGAAAGAAATAGGAGGGAAACCTCCTCTTCTTACCAGACTCTTCCCTTGGCCCCCAAATTAGCCACACCCATTCCTCTCCCTAAAATGCTCCTGTCATTCTAACATGCCTGTGATGCTCAGTACAGTAACTAGTCTCCTCTTCCCTGGTGCTCGGGAGACATGTCGCTTCTGGAGAACAGGGATGGCAAGGTTGTTGGGATTTTAGAATTGCTTTTTAATTAGGAATGACACTTCCTCTGTTGTTTCCATATCTTTTGTAAATAATAGCACGATAGAACTGGGTATTTTTACAGAGAAAGAAAAGCGCTGAGGCTTAGATTATTTCTCTACGAAGATATCATTCCCCTTTGTTTTGTACAATGTGTTATTTACCTAACAGGAGGGTTTCTGGTCCTTGGGCACGCACCTGCACAGAGACCAAGGTTTTGAACTTAGTACCTTGGAGGTTTATTATAGGACTCTGAACAACCTCCACCGTAGCCATTTCCAAGGCAACTACCATCGCTGTATGTGAATGAAATGGGGGCCTATATATATGGCTGTTTTCTGCCTGGGTTACAGAAACAGTCCTGTCCAGAAAGAGTGTCTTCTGTACAGAAATGGCTAATAAACTTTCTGCTGAGCTGGAAGTGTTTCCTCTCTGGATTTTTTTACTTATCTGCTCACAAAGTTAATGTCCTTGGGACACCAACAGTCATGTAGGAATATACTCATCGAATCACAGCCTTTCCTGCTGCTTAGATTCTCCCCAGGGTTGGATCTATGTGTATGGAAGACTGTGAGCTATGTATTAGTTGGAGAAAAGGGTGAGTAATTAAATAACTAGTCATTGTCACTCAGCAGGCCAAGCCTAGATAGAAAATGGGGGTCTGCCTGACTCCAAAGCCTCTTTAACATTGTAACGATGGAGAAAGGGAAGGGAAATCATCACTAACCTCTTCCCTTTCTCTTGCAAAGGGAGTTTAGTTCCGTGGCTCATCAAACTCCCTTTTGAAGGGAACCACAGATGTCCTTTAAAGAATGCCATGACCCTGGGGAATTGACCTTCATCTTCTTAGAATGTCCTGACTGCTCAGGACAGCTCTGACTTCTGACCCTGCAGTGACTGGGACTCCTGTCTTTGGCCAAACACACTCTTAGCCAAGAGAACATGGAAGGATGCCCTTGGTCAGGGAGCAAGAGAGAGGCACCACATCCTGATAATCCCCTTGTAATGCCATTCACTTTGTTCAGCCAGGCAGAGATGAAGACCGAAAAGATCCCTGTTACTCTATACACAGAGGAAGTATTCCTCCCTGCAACCCTGCAAAGTAGAAGGAAGGGATGCATGTTGTAGTCCCCTGGCTTAATTTGTCCACTCCGCTGCTTTTTCCCAATCAAGTCTAGGAATTAGACTCAGACATCCACATAAATAAGTCTTTATTGATAAACATACATAATTCAATATAAATATAATAAATAATCCACCACCCCAAACTTGTCATGAAGATAAATAACCCGAAAATTTCCCTCCCATCTAATAAATACTCGACCTTGTTGTAGGTCAGCATCATAAGTTAGTCAGTATCGGTCGATTTTCAACATAAGCAAATCCCATGCAAATGAACGGGCTGATTGTTAGCATGGCGGTGCCTGGCTGAGAGCGTTAGCTCAGTATGGCTGAGCCAGGGGAGCTGGGTGCCATCTTCAGCTGTGGCATTAAGGGCTCAGGGTCGCTGCTCCGTGGGCAAAGACCCTAGCAGCTACTGCCACAAAGGCCTGCAGGCTGCGAAGAATCTTGAGGCGGAGTAGGAGGCGCTGCCACGGCTGGCTGGGACTGAGGCTGGGAGTCTGCTCAGGTGGCTCCCAGTGCTGACCCTCGGGCTGAAAGGACACAGAACACATAGAGGAGCCTAAATCCCTTACGTCCTGGTCCATATTGCTCATATCTAAGCCCCCTCCTCCAGACCCCTCGTTCCTACCTTCAAGAGCTGCCTGAGGCCCAGCAGGGAGGCATGAAGCTGGCCCACAGGGCCATTGGGGAGCAAAGAAGTTTCCTCTGTGAAGATGTCTGAGCCCAGCAGCTTTTCATAAAAAAACAGGCCCTGATGGATCCTTTGCAAGCAGGACTGGAGAGAGAAAAGCAATGAAAGAAAGTGGATACCCTTTTCCTGTTCCATGCACTGAAGACCCGCCCAGCTCTTGGCCATACTCAGAGACTGCTACGGTCTGAATGTTTGCATCCCCACAAATTCATGTGTTGAAATCCTGAGCACCCAGGTGATGGTATCAGGGGTGTGGTCCTTGGGAGGGGATGGGGTCATGAGAGTCGAGCACCAATCTCATGAATGGGACTGGTGCCCTCATAACAGAGACCTCTAGAGCTCCCTCGCTCTGACCGCCACGTGAGAACACAACGTGACGTCGGCAACGTGGAAGAGGGCCATCACCCGACTAAGCTGGGGCCCTGATCAAAACTGTGAGAAATAAATGAGTGTTGCTTCTAGCTACCCAGTCTGGTATTTTGCAGCCCAAATAGAAAGGACAGACAACTTCTACTAATTCACCCAGGGGCCACCCAGCTATGTCTCCAGTGGCCTTTTCCTTGTGGCTCAGCCACATCTTAGTACCTGACTGTTGTCACTGAGTCCTTGGGGATCACAGCCATCCCCACACTGGATATGAGGGACATCACTTGTACTCTCCTCATTTTCTTCTTCTCTTGGCAGATCCTGGAATGGAGGAAGGGGCAGGAAGAGTGAAAAATAAGACCAGTACTGTTAAACCCCACCTGGACCCTCAGTCCCTACTCTCCCGGGAACCCATCTCCCTGCCCTTTCTCGTTCCCTGAAGACCTTCAACCCAGCTTCCATCTAAGGCCTCAAGTCCTTCTGCTGCAGCCTTGGAGGGCAGCCTGGACCGGCTCCTTTTGGTCCAGAGGCTGTCACTTACCACATGGCCCATTGGCGTGTGCGCGCTCCAGGCCAGTGTGCAGAGCTTCCGTGAGAGCTGCTGGCACCGGTCCCAGGCAGGGCTGCCTCCCGCAGGCACAGTCCGGCACTGAGCTGTCCAGGGCACCAGCAGCAGCAGCAGCAGCACAGCCCCGCTCCCCAGCATCTCGCTGCTCTGACGCTGTGCCTTGCACGTCCTCGTGGAATTTCTGCCCACTTCCCCTTGCTCTCAGCGGGACTCTGCTCAGTGTGTGTCAGGCTGTGTTTCCTCAGTTGTTCGCTGAGTGTCTTTGCTGCTTCCTGTTGTTTTTCTTCCCGTGCCTCTGAGTCCCTTTTTAAGGTCCCTGCATTTAAGATCCGCCCTAGAGTAGCAGGTGACTCACAGCAGGTGGGATTTCCCTCCCTGCATCATCCCCTCCTTGGGGAGCCCAGGTATGCATCCTCGGTTCCAGGGGAAATGAGTTGTGTGGTTACTGTGGCTAGAGGCTTGGGATGGGAATCGAGAAGACTGTAGAAGGGGACAGGGGCTGAGGATGGGAGTAACCGGAGATTTACATGTTTCTCTCATCTCAAGATCCTTCCTGCTTAACCTTTCCCTCATCTTTTTGCCTCTCCAAGCTATACCCTCCCTGTCCCAAGCCTCTTTCTTCACCTTCTCCTGCCTGAGGAAAAAACAAAACAGAGAAGCATTCATCTCTCAGTGAGTTCATTTCCGCAGAGTTTGATTCCCACCTGATGCCTTCTAGCTAAGAATATGGGAGCTGCTTTTCCTCTGTTGAGAACAGTTTGATTTTCACTGGGAGAGAAGGAACGCAATGGCACTTTGTGAACCGGGAAGTCACGTGCATGCCATGTATCATTTCTCCTCCACCTCAGGAGTCACTGTGGAAGCTAGGAAAGTTTTAGGAGAGAGTAGTTGCTGAGAACCATCTGATCCCTTAACTATAGTGACCCTAAGGGTTCTGTGAAGTTCAGGAGGTGGTTCTTTTGCGACATAATGTAAACAAAGCTTAGAAACCCAACTTTGGGGCCTCCCCGGTGGTGCAGCTGGTTGAGCGCAGCGCTGTGAAGCTGTCCGCAGCCTCTGCAGCGTGGTTCGATTCCCAGCTGGCCAGGGAGATACCCACATGGCGCGGCAGACCTCTCCTGTCTCCCCACTGCTCCCCTTAGCAGTGTATTTCGGTCCTTCTGCCTGTTCTGCTCCCTGCTCCGTCTCTGGTGAATTCTCTCACCCCCTCGTGCCTCTGGCCTGTACCCCAGTGCTTGTATAAAATAAGTAAATCTTTAAAAAAAAAAAAGAAAGAAAGAAAGAAATCCAACTTTGATATCCCAGCACCCAGCCCCTAGAAAATCTGGTTCAGGATAGTTGAAGGAGTACAATGTCAGTGACCCTGATCTGTCCTTCAGCCTGTTGCATCCATGGGTAAAATCCGCTGACACTGATTTCATCATCTTCCCTGATGCAACATCCAGTGAAACAGCTGAGAGTTGAGGCTGGGTGTGGGAGTGGAGGGTGGTCCAAACCGGGACTGCCCCAACCCCAGTGGAGGGTCCCAGAACAATTTGGACGTCATAATGAGGCTATGTGTGACCACACAGATGGCTTCCAAAGCCTCCCCACAGAGGCTGACCCTTTACCTCTGAGAAATTTACCCTTAATAGAGGCCTCCCTTCCCTTCCAACTACTCAAAACTGCCCAAAGAAACTTATGATTCAAATTTTGTGACTCTGTGATAAATCCACCCTTTGGATAAAACATTTCCACTATCAGAGAGATTATCTCAGTTTGAGTGAGAAATGGTTTCCCTCTCCCAACAGTGGGTATAAGTGAAATAAGGAAATTGGTGGTGAGGATGGGGATGGCTAGGGGAGCTCAGCCCATTGGTGTGCAGTGTCTCTGTGCATGTCTCATACCCACGTCTTACCTCTGCGAGCCTGAAAGTACAGGAGGCAAAAGGTGAAAAGAGGAGGAGGAAGCAGAGCCTGGGGCATGGAATGAAAGAGACAAGGGTGAGTTGGAGGCACGGGACGGTGCTGCTTTGTTTCACTTCCTGGTGCTGTAGGAGTTGGGTAGGAAGCAAGGCTGATGGGACAATTGTGGGACTGTTGGGTGGCTGGAATTACTTCCAGGACTAGATCTGACCCGGAGCTGCAAGGAGCCCCTGACGTCAGCTGGGTCTCAACCGTTATGCAAATCACATTCACAAGACACTCCTAAGCAGGCATTTCCAGTTGGAAACCCAGACTCCAAATCCAGCGAGGTTTCCCCAGGTGGTTAATAATGACGGCTAGTGTCTATCCAACTCTCACTTTATGCCAAGTACTGGATCTAGATACTCTTCTTGTATTAATCCATTTAATTCTTAAAAGAACCCAAAGAGGTACTGTTGTTACCCCATATTGTAAATGAGGAAACTGAGGTGCAGAGATGGGTAACTTGCTCAAGATCACAGAACTAAGTGGAAAGAATCCCGCTGTAGGTAACTTGGATTCAGAGCCTGTGTTCTTTTTTTTTTTTTTTTTTTTTAATATTTATTTATTTATTTATACAAGCACAGCGGAGGGTGAGAGAATTCACCAGAGCCAGAGCAGGGAACAGAACAGGCAGACTGATGAAATACACTGCTGAGGGGAGCAGCGGGCGCAGCAGGAGAGGTCTGCCCGCCATGTGGGACCCTCGCTGGGGGATCGAACTTGCGCTACAGAGGCTGCGGGCAGCTTCGCAGCCCAGCGCTCAACCACTGCGTCACCAGCGGAGGCCCCAGAGCTTGTGTTCTTAATTGTTCTATTGCGCTGGACTGAGGAAACATTAAGAGCATCTTCACAAAGCAGCTCATTTAGCCTAGGTATCTCTGCATAGCTCAGGGCCCATATTTCTCATGGATCTGTCAAGTTTCTCAATATGGACATTTCTCCAAACATAGAAACTGTCCGGTCGCTCAGTGCCTATGTTTTTGTGAGATTTTTAAATCTTGGAACCTATTAAGTCCGATCATTTTTTTTTTTTTATAGAGGCATGTTTATTTATTTATTTATTAATTTGTTTGTTTGTTTATACATGCACTGGGTACAGTCAGAAGCACAGGAGGGTGAGAGAATTCACCAGAGCCAGAGTGGGGAGCAGAGCAGGCAGAAGGACCGAAGTACACTGCTGAGGGGAGCAGCGGGCGGCAGGAGGGGTCTGCGCGCCATGTGGGACCCTCCTCCGGTGGCCGGGGAGCAGCCGGGGATCGAACCGGCAGCGCAGAGGCTGCGGGCAGCTTCGCAACCCAGCGCTCAACCGCTGCGCCACCGGGGAGGCCCCCGATCATTTTTTTTTTTAAAGATTTACTTATTTATGCATAAGTGGGTACAGGCCAGAGATGCGGGGGAACTGGGGTACAGGCCAGAGATGCGGGGGAGGGGGGGGAGAGGATTCACCAGAAACAGAGTGGGGAGCAGAACAGCAGACCAGAAGTCCGATCATTTTTTTTTTTTTTTTTTAGAGGCATGTATTTTAATTTATTTATTTATTTATACATACACTGGGTACAGTCAGAAGCGCGGGAGGGTGAGAGAATTCACCAGAGCCAGAGCGGGGAGCAGAGCAGGCAGAGGGACCGAGGTACACTGCTGAGGGGAGCAGCGGGCGGCAGGAGAGGTCTGCGCGCCATGTGGGACCCTCCTCCGGTGGCCGGGGAGCAGCCGGGGATTGAACCGGCGCTGCAGAGGCTGCGGGCAGCTTCGCAACCCGGCGCTCAACCGCTGCGCCACCGGGGAGGCCCAGAAGTCCGATCATTTTGACTGTCCTCGATTGTCAGTGGTTTTCTCAGTGCGTGACTGCAGACTATAAATAAATGCAGGAGCCCTCTAAATACTGTAAAGATAAATTCTGGAGTCTTTTTTATTTTTTAATTAAAGCCTATGGAGGGGGTGGGCGTGGGGAGAAATGCTTTGAAACTGTATTTCAGGAATTCCTTCCACCCAAGGGACCCTCTTGTGACCTTTAGAAACTAAAGTGCCCAGGAGATCTCTCCCAACCTGGGCCCATTCCAAAGCAAATGGAAAGAGTTAGACGTCAGGAATCCCTGAGGACAACTATCGACGCTAAATCCGTAAACGTTTGGGGGAGGCAGACGTCTCAACCTGCTGGGCTCAGGGCCCTCTGAGGGGTCCCGTCCCGCCGCACGAGCCGGGGGACTCTGCTAGCTCTGGGGCCCTGCTCCCCGGGGATGTCACCCCGGCCTCTGCGCGTCGGCATAATCCGGGGGGGGGGGGCGTTTCCGGTGGCTGCATCGTGAAGACGCAGCCAACAGGACCCAGTTGCGGGCCTGGCTCCTTCTCTCGCGCGCACCCCGGGCAGGGCCGAGCACGCCGGCGGGTGGCGGAGACTGTGCGGTCGGGGCGGTCACAGGGGCGAACACTCAGCCCCGCGAGGACGGCGGCGGGTGGGCGGGAACCCCTGTGCTTTGCCTGGGGCGCCCCTTATTCCGGTTTCTAGAGCTCCAGAAGGCACTGGGGCTCGGTTTCCAAGTGTGGGCGCGCTCATTTTGCTCAGGGAAGGCTTAACAAAAAAATTGGGGTTCCTCTTGCATCCCCTTGTGTTTCCTCAGTGTCCAGTGCAACAGAACGACTCAGAACACAGGCTCCGCCGGGCCACCCGCTAGAGGCCGCGCGTGACTCCGCTTGTCCTCAGCGGCACCCCGTAACTCCCGTTTTCACTCAGCGCCTGACGTCACACGCCCGCTCAGCGCGGCGTCCGTACGTGGCTCGCTCTGATTGGCCCAGGTGTGCCCCAGCCCCTCCCCGATTGGAGGCTGCGGCTGGGAGCCGCGTCCCGTGCGCCGTAGGGTTAGGTTGAGCCTGACGCGCGGGGGAGAATTGGGGAAACTGGAATTTCCCGCGGAGTTGACGGCGCTTTTTCCTCCCCTACTCGTTTTAATTCCACGCGCTCCAAAATATCCGCCATGGAGAAATCTTGGTAATGATCCAATCCCCGTACGCATCCCAGGAACACATCTGGCTCTTGCCCTAATCCCTCCCCACCGCCTGGAGGGAATTCTGGGTAATTTATTACTGTGGTTCCCCCAGAGGATTCTGGGTAAATAGCCTTTTCCATCACCTTTCCCTACCCCGCCCCAATTTATGGGTATCTGGCCATTCTTATTTTCCCCCGGAGAATCCTGGATAACTTTGCAGAGGATTCTGGGACGCTGCTCTTGTGCTCACTTCCCAACCCCCACCCCTTAATTCTGGGAGACAAGCACCTTGGCCTCCTCTGCTCAACTCCTACACCACAGTTTCTGCTCTTTCCACTGGTGGCCGGGGAGTGGCGGGGGCGGGGGTGAACCAGACACGTGAGCAGAGCTGGACGAGGTGACCAGGAAGTCATGGATTAGGTTAGATAGTGGGGTGGTGGTGAGTACGATGGCCCAGTGGAGAAAAGGAGAGGAGAGCCTTTCTTCCGCCTCTGCCCCACTGCCCATCCCCTTCCTACCTGTTTTATCCCCTGCTTGGCATTTTCACGTCTTTTGCCTTCCTATCCAGGTAACCTAGAACACACTAAGTAACTCGATACAAGTACCTCCCCTTGGGTTGTGCGCTAACAGGCCCACCCCTGACTCAGCTACCTCTTTACCTTTGCAGGCCAGGATGTCCTTTCTTGCCTTCACTGGTGCTGTCCTGCTGAAGGTCGGGGCAGGCTTCTAAAGGGGCTGTGGCAAGGAAGGGCGAGTCTCAGGTTTAATCTGCCATCATCATCATCATGAACTTCGAGGGTCTGGACCCTGGACTAGCAGAGTATGCCCCGGCCATGCATTCTGCCCTGGACCCTGTCCTGGATCCCCACCTGAACCCAAGTCTGCTACAGAATGTGGAGCTGGACCCGGAGGGCGTGGCTTTGGAGGCTCTGCCCGTCCAGGAATCAGTGCACATAATGGAAGGTGTCTACTCTGAATTGCACAGTGTGGTGGCTGAAGTGGGCGTGCCTGTCTCCGTCTCCCACTTTGACTTGCACGAGGAGATGCTGTGGGTGGGAAGCCATGGGGTAAGAACTGTACCCCTTTGTAAGGGCTAGAAAGTTTTAGCTCAGGGACAGCTGCTTTGCAGGGAGTGGGAACTGAGTTGAGGTGACAAGAGTTAGCGTGATCTCCAACTTAAGCCGAGAGGCTGGGAGTGGAGGGAGGAAAAGGGAGTCATAGGATCCAGGGATGAGTTGTACAGGTGTTATTTTTTTCTAAAGGCATCTCGCTGCTACAGTTTGACCATTCCATGCTCTGATTAGTTGTGCTAACTACCTATGAATTAGTCTATTGTCATTTAAATACAATCTCTTAATGATGCTTCTCTGTTTTGCATTTTTGTAATTATAGCATGTTTAAATGCATGTGTCTGCATATCTTGCATGGAATTATATTATCTTTGATCTTAACCTCTCTTCAGACTGTTACTAATGTTAATTTTTAAAAATGTGTATCCATATTGACAGTTAGGGAACCCAAAGGTTTTGTAAGAAAATAACATCCTCTCCTTGGTTTATTAATTTACATTCCATCCCATGTGAATTGTTTTCCCATTAGAAAGAATGAATTTTTAGGGTAATATATTCATTTTATTTTATTCTTTTTTTAAAGATTTATTTATTTATACAAAAACTGGGGTGCAGGTCAGAGACACAGGAGGGTGAGAGGATTCACCAGAGACAAAGTGGGAAGCAGAACAGGCAGATAGACCAAGGTACACTGCTGAGGGGAGAAGCAGGTGAGACAGGAGAGGTCTGCTACACCATGTGGGTATCTCCCTGGCCAGCCAGGAATCAAACCCGTGCTGCAGAGGCTGCAGACAGCCTCATGGCGCGGCACACAACCTGCTGTGCCACTCGGGAGGCCCTGTGTTCATTTTAGTAGGAAGTGTCCGCTGCTATGCTAGACACAAGGAATAGAGCTGAATAGAACGCAATCTTTGCCCTCAAGGGCTTAACAGGACAATGAAAGGGGAAAAAAAGACATATAGACAGATAATTTCATGGTACTTAATGCCAGTGTGAAAATAGGTACCATGTTAGGGAGAAAAATAGAGGAAGGTCAGATGACCTCCAGAAGGTGACACGTGAACTACTCAGAGATGATTAGGAGATGATTTGAGAGATGATTAGGAATCAGATGGAGAATAGGGGAAAACACTTTCTTGGTAAAAAGCAACAGGATAAAGAAAGATCCCCAGGATATTAGCTGGTGATTAAAGAGTATAAGAACTACAAACAATTAGGGCTTACTGGACTGGAAGATGAAGCTAAGAAGACATTAGACATTTCTTCATTCAGCCACTGTTTTTTTTGAGTATCCATAGGTGCCAGAGCTTGCTCTGGCTATTTTAGATAGATGGTTGGAGGAGGTCTCTCTGGTTGTCACATTTGAGTAGGAACCTGGATGCAGACCCAGATGTCTGTTTTAGGCTCTCTATAAGAAAGGGAGGGAGCCATGCAAATATCTAGGGGAAGAACATTGTGGAAAACTTTATATGCTGTGTTAAAAGGACTTGGACTTGAGCCTTCAGGCCAGTGAAGGTTTTTATCCAGTATGGCAAGGAGCAGTTTGCATCTTAGGTAGAGAACTGAGGTAGCAGAATAGAGCTTGATTTAAACAGTGAGAACTCAGACTTTTGTAGTATTTTGCATAAAATATGATGGAATGAATAAAGCATTATAGAGAGAGATACTTGAGAAGAGATTTGGGAAGTAAAATAAGACTTAAGTTGACTACTGAGCCGATCATGATACTATAAAGAATATAGTTAAGAAAATGAAAACAGGGCCTCCCCGGTGGCGCAGCGGTTGAGCGTTGGGTTGCGAAGCTGCCCGCGGCCTCTGCGGTGCCGGTTCGATCCCCGGCTGCTCCCCTACCACCGGAGGAGGGTCCCACATGGCGCGCAGACCTCTCCTGCCGCCCGCTGCTCCCCTCAGCAGTGTACTTCGGTCCTTCTGCCTGCTCTGCTTCCCGCTCAGGCTCTGGTGAATTCTCTCACCCTCCCGTGCTTCTGACTGTACCCAGTGCATGTATAAACAAAAAAAACAAAACAAACAAATAAATAAAAAAAACATGCCTCTATTAAAAAAAAAAAAAAAAAAAAGAAAATGAAAACAGGGCCTCTATGGTGGCGCAAGGGGTTAAGACTCAACCTATGGAGCTTGCCACAGCCACTGCAGCACGAGTTCCATCCCTGGCAAGGGAGCTACCCACATGGCACAGCAGACCTCTCCTGTCTTGCCTGCTGCTCCCCTCAGCAGTGTATTTCAGTCGAACTGCCTGTTCTGTTCCCCACTCTGTCTCTGGTGAACCCTCCCGCCCCTCACAACTCTGGCCTGTACCCCAGTTCTTGTATGTATAAATAAATAAAATCTTAAAAAGAATGAAAACAGGATAAACATGGTGAACTCAGTTTAGGATGTAATGAGTTTGAGGTTCTCATGGGATATCTGAGGAAGATCTTTAGTAGGTATTTGAATGTTTAAGTCTGAATTTTGAGGCAGTGGTCTCAGCTACAGAAGCTTTATGATTGTCAAAATCTTGAAGATGGGTGAGATTACCTAGAAAAACAAGCAAAGTAGTGGTGCTGGGAACAGCCATGTTTCAAGAGTGAGCAGAAGGAGAACACATAGGAGAAGGTATGAGCTAAGAGTCAGGAGAGAAACCAGGATGAGTAATGGCTTAAGAACTAAGAGAAGAATGAGTTTCACATTCTCTCTGTTCTAGCCTGTGACCCACAGTACACATTTCCCAGATGGCTGGGAGAGATTAAGACTTAACTGTGGAACGTAAGCCAGCCAGCTGGCCACCGGAGGATTGGACCCACATTCGTGACCTTCAACACTGTTCTAACCGACTGAGCCATTACCTGCTCATCAGGGTCATTGTTAAGGATAAAATGGGGTAGAGTTTACAAAAGTATCTTGTAAAACACTAAACAAGCATTAAAATAGTAGTATCCATGTCTTTTTCACTAAGATTGATTGGCCTCTGGCCTTATGCCTTCGTCACTGCAAGCCAGAAGGACCAGGCAAGGACAGAAACAAGCAGAGCAAAATCCAGACCCTGTTCTCTGTCTGGGGTGGCTTTGCCCCTCCACTCAGGGTGTCTCTGTCATCTTTTGGTCCCCCACAGGGCCATGCCACATCATTCTTTGGCCCAGCGTTGGAGCGCTACTCATCCTTTCAAGTCAACGGCAGTGATGATATTCGGCAGATCCAGAGCCTGGAGAATGGTATCCTTTTTCTCACGAAGAGCAACCTCAAGTATATGGCTCGTGGGGGCCTCATTATCTTTGATTACCTGTAAGTGACTTCACAGCTCTAGACTGGTCTGTCAGAATGGAAAGCCAAGGGCTTGGGAGCTTCTGCAACACTGGCCTCTGTGCCTTTCCTCTCCCCCACAGGCTGGATGAGAGTGAGGACATGCACAGTCTCCTGCTGACGGACAGCAGCACTCTGCTTGTTGGTGGGCTGCAGAGCCACATATTGGAGATTGACCTTAACACTGTCCAGGAGACTCAGAAGGTAGTCTGGGGCAGGGCCTGAGGGGGTTGGTCCCAGGGCGGGGAACCTGGCAGAGATGTGCATGTGACCTTTGTGTTCCTTCGGTGTGTGGGAAGAGGGATTCTCACTGGTTTTCTCCCCGCCAGTATGCAGTCGAGACACCTGGAGTCACCATCATGAGACAGACAAATCGCTTCTTCTTTTGTGGCCACACATCTGGCAAGGTGACTAAGGGGTTGGGCTCTGCCTTTCTCTCAGTTCTAGGGCTGTGGTTGCAGGATTGAGAGGAGTGGATTGACTTCCTATTCAGCCATGTTAAAGTATGATGTTATCTCACCACCAGGTGTTGTCTATTGTCACTGGGTACCTCAGAGGCAAAAGGTGAAGGAGTTCTCTTTGGGATTCCTTCCAGCTCTTGACTTCTCTTTGTGCCTTTTCTGTGCTTTTATTCCCCAGATCCCAGAACTTTAGTTCTTTTGGTAGGGCCTCACAGGGTGAGGTAGATGGCAGCGGCTCTTCGTGACCACGATGCTGGCAAATAATCCAGTTATCCCTTCTCCAGATATCCCTGCGAGACCTCCGTTCTTTTAAAGTGGAGCATGAGTTCGATGCTTTCTCCGGGAGTTTGTCAGATTTTGATGTACATGGCAACCTGTTGGCTGCCTGTGGCTTCTCCAGCCGCCTCACGGGCCTGGCCTGTGACCGTTTCCTCAAGGTGTATGACCTGCGCATGATGCGTGCTATCACACCGCTGCAGGTCCACGTGGACCCTGCCTTCCTGCGCTTCATCCCTACGTACACATCTCGCCTGGCTATCATCTCCCAGTCTGGTATGAAGGGGATGTAGATGGAAGGGGAACGTTCCATGAGCAAAGGGGAAGTAGGCCCCAGATGGAATATACTTCTAGGAACTTCTTTGTCCGGGGGAAAAGTAACCTTTCAGTGGAATCTCAGCGCCTCACTTAGCTTAGTCATCAGTTAGAGCTTTTATTTTTCTCTCAGGGTGTGGAGGACACAGAAAAGGATAAAGGTGGAACAGGCAAAACAACTTTCAATCTGCCTTTGCTGGCCCCAGTACAGGGCAGGCATCGGCTAGTGAGCTCTCTCTAGGCGTGCGTTTGGGGGCTCAGTAGAAAGGACATGAAAGGGCTCCCTTTCACGTCCCAGGACTCAGTGGGCTTCCTCCTCTCTCTAGGACAGTGCCAATTCTGTGAGCCCACGGGCCTGGCCAACCCAGCAGACATCTTCCATGTGAATCCTGTGGGGCCTCTGCTAATGACATTTGATGTGTCAGCCAGCAAGCAGGCCCTGGCCTTTGGGGACTCTGAGGGCTGTGTCCACCTCTGGACTGATTCCCCTGAGCCTTCCTTCAACCCCTACTCCCGTGAGACCGAGTTTGCTTTGCCCTGTCTCGTGGACTCACTGCCACCTCTGGACTGGAGCCAGGACCTGCTGCCTCTTTCCCTCATCCCTGTCCCACTCACCACGGACACGCTTCTCTCGGATTGGCCTGCTGCCAACTCTGCTCCAGCTCCCAGGTTATACCTTCCTTCTGGGCCAAAAAGAGGGAGTGGGGTGGGCTGAAAGACCAGGAGTCTACTTCTTTCCTGATTTTTGTCGACCTTCGGTATTTTCTTTTTTTTCCTGGTCCCATGGGGTTTGGGGGTAGGTGGGCAGACACCACAACCCTCTAGCCCTAGAACTGTACCACACTACAGGCGAGCGCCACCCGTAGATGCAGAGATTCTGCGCACCATGAAAAAAGTGGGCTTCATTGGCTATGCGCCCAACCCCCGTACCAGGCTGCGCAATCAGGTGGGTTCACAGAAGAGAGGGCCAGACCCCACCTCCAGCCCCCTGTTGTTTCTCCTCTCTTGTTCCTTTACCGATCCTCACTAGTTTCTCCTTTTAGTCAGTAAAGACTTTTTGAGGCCCACTGAATTGCAGGTGCTATGCTAGGTGTTAGGAAAGATTCAGAGACACATTAGATAGGTTTTGCTCTGAAGAAGTTTAGTGTTTGGTGGGTGGAGGATATGACCTGACCATAACAGAAATTATTTATGTTCTCTGAAGGGGACGATGACTCCATCCGCCTGCCTGGAGCAGCTATTCAGATTGGGAAATAGAGATTAATGTTAGAAAGAGCCCAGTTGTGGAGCCTTGAATACCAGTGTGCAGCAGCAGAAGTGATGCACTGAAAGGGGCATCTGGGAAGCTTAGATTGGTAGCTCTATGCAGGGCAGAGTGAATACAGGGAGCCTAGTGGGAAAACCATCACAGCTGGACAGATGTGGGTGGTTGGTGATGTGGAGGGTGACTGTGCAGCAAAAAGGAAGCATGGGTTTTTAGTGGATGCTAAAAACCCCGTGAAAGTGAAAGGTTCCAAACCTGGTAATTATTTCAATGTTGGGATACAGGTGGGGAGTAACCAGAGATGATTAAGAAACCCAACACAGTTAACCTATTTTTAAAAACTCTAGATTCCTTACCGACTTAAGGAGTCAGACAGTGAATTTGACAGCTTCAGCCAGATCACAGAATCACCAATAGGACGGGAAGAGGAGCCCCATCTCCACATGGTCTCTAAGAAATATCGAAAGGTGCTGGGGGCCACCAAGGGAGGGACCTCTGGGAGTTTGGGCCTGGGAAGGGAGTCACCTGAGAAAAGATTGAAGGACTCAGTTGAAGATCCTTCACCTGCCACCCTGGACTCAGGAGGGAGGTTTCAGAAAAAGTATGATGGCTGGAAAATTGAGGGGACTCTACAGATATCTTCGTCCTGCTCAGACTCTTTCTACTTCAGGTGACCATCAAATACTCCAAGCTAGGGCTGGAAGACTTTGACTTCAAACACTACAATAAGACCCTGTTTGCTGGATTAGAGCCCCACATTCCCAACGCCTACTGTAATTGCATGATCCAGGTAAGGGGGGCTCTTCCTGCATCTTGCATGGCTGACTGCCTTCTTGGGCCCACCACCTCGGTTCTTTTTCCATGTCATCCAAAGCAAGCCCACCTTATTATAGCCTCCTCCGCCATTCTTTCTTGCCCACAACCTTCTAGTCTCCTCTGTGAACCCCAGTTACTCACTGGATCCTGCTGTGTGTTCACCAGCTTGCTCCCCTCCCTGCTTCTCCTCCCATCCCAGGGGGCTCCATCAGTTCTCTCTCCTCCAGGTGCTCTATTTCCTTGAGCCTGTTCGCTGTCTGATTCAGAACCATCTTTGCCAGAAGGAGTTCTGTCTGGCATGTGAGCTGGGGTTCCTTTTCCACATGTTGGACCTCTCTCGAGGTGATCCTTGTCAGGTCAGTGCCTGAAACCTGGGACAATTAAAAGGGAAGGGCAGTGGACAGTAGGCGTGGACATCGCTATGCAAATGGCCAAAAAGAGCTAACCCCTTTTCGCCAGCACATTTCCTTGATCCCAGAGCAGTTATTTTATTCCGTCAAAATGTTATTGAATTGCCATTCATTTACAAAATTTGGGGGTACAGCTTCATATCTCAACATGTGCACATGCTTTACTTGCCCTCTACAAAGGCCCCAGTGCCAATACCCTGTCACTTAGCCCCTCTGTCCCCTCCTCCCACATCCCTCTCCCTGCTGGAAACCACCATCGTTTTCAGAACCTAAGAGTTATTTTTGTTGTTTCACCAATTTGTTTTCTTTGGTTATTTGTATTTCCCAAATGAGAAAACCATCCAATAGTTGCCTTTCACTTTCTGACTTAACTTCACTTAGCATAAGCACCTCGAGGTCCATTTGTCCTGTCCCCAAGTGCCCTGCTTTATCCACTTTAATAGTTGAGGCATATTCCATTGAAGATATATATCATGTGCCACAATTTCTTTATCCAGTCGCCTGTCAGTGGGCATTTAGGTTGATGCCTTATCTTGGCTATAGTAATGCTGTAAACATAGGGGTGCATAAATCTTGTATCAGTGCTTTACAGTCCTAGAACAATGAATGTATGTTCCTTTTCCTCCACATAGGGCAGTAATTTTCTTCGGGCATTCCGTACCATCCCTGAGGCCTCAGCCCTTGGTCTGATCCTGGCTGACTCAGATGAAGCTTCAGGCAAGGGCAATCTGGCCAGGCTTATTCAGAGGTGGAATCGTTTTATTCTCACTCAGCTGCATCAGGATATGCAGGAACTGGAAGTACCCCAGGCTTACAGAGGTGCTGGAGGCAGGTATGGGCCCAGGACATGGATAGTTTAAGCCACCATAATAGGTCCCTTGTGTCTTAATGGGTCTGCTGATTCCCCCAGTGTACACAGACAGCCCTCTCCACTCTTAGCAGCTTTTGCTCATCGGGGGACTCTGTCATTGGACAGCTGTTCAGCTGTGAGATGGAGAACTGCAGCCTCTGCCGCTGTGGCAGCGAGACTGTGCGAGCCTCATCCACCCTACTCTTCACGCTCTCCTACCCCGAGGGTAGCAACAGTGGTATACCCTGGAGCTGGGCTGGGAAGGGTCCCCCACATGTCTTGTAACACCAGAAGAGAGATGGGGGGATGGGGTGGTGGCTGACGGTGGGTATAAGGCAGAACCTGGAATGAAGCATCCAGTTTCCCTTCAGATAAAACCGGGAAGAACTGTGACTTTGCTCAGGTGCTAAAGAGAAGTATCTGCCTGGAGCAGAATACACAGGCCTGGTGTGACAACTGTGAAAAGTACCAGCCCACGGTGAGTGCACTGAGTCCCAGGCATGCTGGGACTCGGCCATGGTTGGATTGGCGAGGTCGGCACTGCCATCCGGAGATGGAAGTGGGAAGAACCCCAATTCACAGGAGCAGATCTGGGTTTTACTGTGCCTGTGCGAGTGTCTTTCCTTGTGGGCTCCCTGCCATCTCTTGTCGGTTGTGTCTTTTCAGATTCAGACCCGCAACATTCGCCATCTGCCAGATATTCTTGTTATCAATTGTGAAGTGAATAGCTTGAAAGAAGCTGATTTCTGGAGACTGCAAGCTGAGGTAAGGACCAGGACTTCAGATGTACATTCTCATTTTCTCCTCCTTCTAACCTCCACATGTGATTGTTCCTGAGGAAATGAATATTTTCTTCTTTGTGTTCAGGTTGCCTTCAAGATGGCAATAAAAAAACACGGTGGGGAAATCTCTAAGAACAAGGAATTTCCCTTGACTGATTGGTAGGTACTGTCTTAGGAGTCCTCAAAGGATTGAACTAACCAGTGGCCCCTTCTGTCTCTGGCTCCATCTCCTTAGAGCAAATGTCCAATTCTCCTATCTCAATAGGAAGGAACTCGGGAATCCGGAGGGCATGCTGATGTGTCCCTCCATTGAGGAATTGAAGAATGTCTGGCTGCCTTTCTCCATTCGCATGAAGATGACCAAGAACAAAGGGCTGGATGTTTGCAATTGGACTGATGGGGATGAGATTCAGGTTGTTGAAAAACTGGGAGAGGGCTGGAGGGTAAGGGAAAGAAGGTTGGGATAGAAGCAGGGCAGGGGGAAGATGGAACTTCGTGTAGCACAAAGAACGGGAGTAAGTTTTTGGCTTTTCTAGAGTGACTCAGTTCAGAGTTGGAAGCCACAGATGGGCTAAGATGAAGATAACCCACCGCGGCTCCCTATCCCCTACTCCAACCCCCTGGCCTCTACCCCCATCCCCCTCGCACCCCATCCTTAAACTGAGCTTAGCAGCCTGGGTACCCCCCTCACAGTGGGGCCCAGCCAGGGCAGAGGAGGAGCATGGTGTCTATGTGTATGACCTGATGGCTACTGTGGTACACATCCTGGACTCACGCACAGGGGGCAGCCTGGTGGCTCACATCAAAGTCGGAGAGACCTACCACCAGCGCAAGGAGGTAAGTGAGGTAGTACAAGGCAGGGACGCTCCTGGTGGGGGCCACAGTGGAGTCCCACATCTGTCCTTGTCTTGAGTCTGAACCAGAGTGGTTCAGCATCACTCTGGCCTCAGTCTTTCTCTGTATTTCACAGGGTGTTACCCACCAGCAGTGGTATCTCTTCAATGACTTTCTTATCGAACCTATTGATAAGGTTAGTTGTAACACATTCCATTTCCCTTTTTCTTAGCCTCATTCTTAGAGCCCCAGAGAATACCAGGCAGACACAGAAGGGAAGGAGGGATACTCAAGAGTAAAAAGCATTAATAGAGTTAAAAATAGCACCTGAGTTCTGTCTTCTGTCTGACTTGGGAAAAAGAAAACAGGGCACATACACAGGCCATTAAGTGCTTTTTCTTTTATAGCATGAAGCTGTGCAATTCGACATGAATTGGAAAGTGCCTGCTATCCTTTATTACGTCAAAAGGAATCTTAATTCCAAATACAGCCTGAACAGTAAGTGGTACAGAGTAGAGCCAGGATTGATCTTTAGGGAGAGATCTGGAAATAGCTTGTTAAGATGTTAAAAGAGATTTCTGCTCCTCAGGTCTTAAATTTAGAAGCTGGAGATCCTCAGCTGACCACAGATCTGAGGCATCTGGGAGGGGAGGGGGAGAAGGAAGGACGAAGATGGGGGTCGAGGGAAAGAGCACAAGGGACTATGGGTGCTTTGTGGTGGGAGAACGATGGTGATCACACCTGAGGGGAGAAATCCTGTACTGTCAAAAAATTAACAAGGCTGTAAGAAAAAGGTACTTATAAGAAAATAATTTTTTTAAAAAACTAAAAAAAAAGGAGCTCTAAATTCTAAGGATGTAGTGTGGAATAGATGGGGGGAGGAGAAAGTGACTAAAATGGCTAAAGTTACGATTTTTGAGGCTAATAATTCTTATTCCCAAGTGAGGAGCTGCTCTTTGGAAGATGAATTCCTTATTTATTTATTTATTTATTTATTTATTTATTTTTATAAAGTCATTATTATTATTTTTTTAAAGATTTATCTATTTATTTATACAAGCACTGGGTACAGTCAGAAGTGCGGGAGGGTGAGAGAATTCACCAGAGCCAGAGCAGGGAGCAGAGCAGGCAGAAGGACCGAAAGACACTGCTGAGGGGAGCAGCGGGCGGCAGGAGAGGTCTGCGCGCCACGTGGGACCCTCCTCGGTGGCCGGGGAGCAGCTGGGGATCGAACCGGCGCTGCAGAGGCTGCGGGCAGCTTCGCAACCCAGTGCTCAACCACTGCGCCACCGGGGAGGCCCTGAATTCCTTATTTAATACCTTGTTGGTACCGTTAAACCACAGTTTTCTCTGTAATCTTATTTTTCTGGGTTTTCCAAGTCAAAGTTCAAGGTGAAAATTTTACTCTTTCCTCTTTGTTGCCTTTTTTCTTAGCAACTTTTTTGATAATATCCTGACTTGACCCACCTGTCCCGTCTACTTGCTCAGGTGCTTGGCTCATCAGACATCATCTTTTTACTCACATATCTGACTATTGCGGAATCACAGTGTAGACTTGGTCTCTGGTCAGCCACACTAGGCTTCCCTTCCCTGTCACATCCCTATCCCAGCTGTCTGTCTCCTGGAATCTTCCTTCCAGTCAAGAACCCTATTGAGGCAAGTGTGCTGCTGGCTGAAGCCTCACTAGCGCGGAAGCAAAGGAAAACACATACTACCTTTATTCCACTGATGCTCAATGAGATGCCACAGGTTGGGGACCTGGTGGGCCTGGATGCTGAGTTTGTCACCCTGAATGAGGTAATCCCCCAAAAGGGTGGGGTTTTGGAACAGAACTCAGGATATTTGGAGTTATGAGCATCTCTCTGATTTCCTTATTAACTCTGCTATGTAGGAGGAAGCAGAGCTGCGCAGTGATGGCACAAAGTCTACCATCAAACCAAGCCAGATGTCGGTAGCGAGAATAACTTGCGTTCGAGGCCAGGGGCCCAACGAGGGTATCCCCTTCATCGATGACTACATCTCTACCCAGGAGCAGGTATTAGGATATGAAGGAGCCAGTGAGACAGACCCTGTGCTTACGTAGAGTGCTCTAAAATCCGGGGAAAGATAGAGCAGAACTCTGCACCTCATTACCTGGGCAACCTGTCCTTTTCTCTACCCTCAGGTGGTTGATTACCTGACTCAGTACTCAGGCATAAAGCCGGGAGACCTTGATGCCAAGATTTCCTCTAAGCACCTCACGACTCTCAAGTCTACCTACTTAAAGCTTCGTTTTCTCATAGACATTGGAGTCAAGTTTGTGGGTCATGGCCTGCAGAAGGACTTCAGAGTCATCAACCTCATGGTTTGGGCAGGGCGCTTTTGAAGCTCTTCTTTGAAAATGGGCCCCTCGGGGTTACATACTTTTTTGGAGAACAGGATATTATGGATCCTCTCCCTTCATTGTCCCACTCTTTCATCCTTGCCAGGTGCCCAAGGACCAAGTCCTTGACACTGTCTACCTGTTTCACATGCCCCGAAAACGAATGATTTCCCTGCGATTCCTTGCTTGGTACTTTCTGGGTGAGTTGTCCTACTTTAATGATGCACATTAAGGGCAGGAAAAAGTGTTTGGAGGGACCCAGGGGATTAAGGAGAACTGAGTTAGTAGTAAGTTACTAATGGATTTAATTAGCTTCAGTATCACACTGTACAGTCGGGATAGTGTTTGGTTCTTCCCCTTAAAGGCAGTCGTTCGTGTGTGTGTGTGTGTGTGTGTGTGTGTGTGTGTGTGTGTGTGTATCTCTGACTTTTCACATGGGCTACATGGGAGTTTTTCCCCCTACCTCTGTCCCTTATACCCCCTTGTGCCTTTTGTCCCTTTCTCCCTCCCCAATCTGAGAACACTCATGGTGCTTATTAACGTCCACTGGTTTTTGTGTTTTACTTTGTCAGAGGGTCTGCTGTGTCAATGTGCATTATTTGTTTTTATCATTCTGACTCTCTGTACTACACATAATTCCCTTAAACGCCTTCCATTTACTGAAGATGGCTGCATTTTAACTTAGGGCTAAACAGTATTCCATATTGTGGGTATACCACATTTTCTTGATCTAGTCATCTATTATGGACATTTAAGCTACTTGCATGTCCTCTACTATTGTAAATAGAACTTCAGGAAGTGAGTTTTTTATTGTTGTGTATTGGAAGTTGGAGATGTAAGTGGGGTATGTTCTTACTTCCCTCTGTTTGGTACCAAACTATTCCATTTTTACTTCCCCCAGATCTGAAGATTCAGGGAGAGACCCATGACAGTATAGAGGATGCCCGCACAGCCCTTCAGCTCTACCGAAAATATCTGGAGCTAAGCAAGAATGGCACTGAACTTGAGTCTTTCCACAAAGTACTCAAGGGTCTATATGAGAAGGGTCGGAAGATGGACTGGAAGGTGCCTGAGCCTGAGGGCCAAACAAGTCCCAAGAGTAAGGCCTGGGCTGGGACAAGGGGAATTGTACTGGGTAGGTTTTGATAGCGTACATGAAGATTAAACCTACCATAACAATGATAATGACATGGATAACAACACTACCATCACCATAACTTAATGGTTTACAAAGCATCTAATCCTCCCAACATTGATTGAAATATATTTTACTATTTATTATTGAAACCCTGTATTGGTCCAGACCTCTCTGTGCTCAACTCTAAAATGTTTGGAGCAGGTCCATGCCCTGTTTTCTTTTGCATTTTTTCTTCATTAGAAGTATCGGGGGTGGGGGGATCTCCTGAACTCACCTAAACACATCATTTCTTGGTTTTGTCTCTGACAGATGCAGCTGTCTTCTCCCCAGTGCTGGCACTCTGAGTTCACCCTCTCCTGACGAACTAGTCACTCTCCCTCATTGTTCTGTGGCCCAAGAACTGGGAGATGACTTTTCAAGTTGGCTATACCCTGCCCACTTCCAGAATTAGACCACTCAGGGTCTGCAGATGGTGCTATTCATAGAACTGGAAACGCAGCAGAGCTGTTGCAAAGGGTCTAGAAGCCTTTTTCATTCTTCAAAGGGTGGTGTGCCAGAAACAGGCTTGAATTGACCCAGGTGGAAAATAATTGATATTCTTAATAAATATGCTAGGTAATTCATATCTAGAAGCTCCTGACTACAGATTGAAGTCCTGGACTGTGATAAAGACAAGAGTAATTCAAGATTTAATTCAAGCATGGAGGGTCTTGGTGATCCCAGCAAACCAGTGTGGCCAACAACACCACTGCCAAAACGACCTTTGGGTCCTGGACAAGAGTGGCTGGCTTCATTCCCGCAGACAGCTGGGACACATCTGTCTTCCATCCACTCGCCTATCCCAAGTTTTGTTTTCTTATTTTTTAAACTTTTGTTTTAAACTGCATGTTTTGTAAAATAAAAACAAAAATAGTACGGGCTGTTATCTCTCTCATTAGAGACCTGCACCTGTGGGGAAATCTTTGAATTCAGACGCCTGTCCTTTGTGTTCTTTCTATTGCAATTGGAAAAATCAAAGCTTTCACATTCCCACCAACACACACACACACACACACACACGTAAAGCTCTGGAGTCCAAAGTTAAAGATAGCGGAGCAGTATGATTGTCTTTCCTGGACAACGTTAGGGCTTTACAGAGTTTGCCTAGCACCCAAGGTCGGGTTATTTCAAGAGAGTGTGGTTTCCTGTCAACTCTGTACAGGGGAAGTTGGACAAACTACAGGTCCCAGGACAGCTGCAGACCTGCAGCCACTGCCCTGGTCTTCGCGGCGTCGCGGTGCCTCCTGGGAGATGTAGTCCCGGGCGGGAGCCCGCGCTCCGCGCCGGCCGGCGGCGCACCTTTGCCTGCGAAGGTCCCACCGCCGAGACTGACGTGGGCGAGCGGCGCCGCCGCCGAGCCCCGCGCGGGCTCCGTCGCGCCTCAGGCCACTCCTGCGCCTCGCTGACCCTGGCGGTCACGTGCTGCCGCTCGCCACGCAAGTCTGGGTCCTTCTGCGATGCACCGGGGTCCTCGCCGCCCGGAGTCGCTCCCAAGCTGCCTGTTCGCGCGCGCGTCCGGAGGGGTGGGTTGGGGTCGCGCTTCCCCGCGGGGCTGGCGCCGCGGATCCCCGCTGAGGCGCCCACTGGGCCGCGGGGAGCTGGATCAGGCGGTCGCCGGGACACCCCGGGTCTGAGGCGCGCTGAGGCGCTCGGGAGAAGCCGGGACAGCCCCGCTCCCCCGTAGCCAGGTGCCGGGGTCCGAAGCGCGAGCGCGAGTCCGGTGTCTGGCAGCGCCTGGGCCACGCGGCGGCCCTGGGAGCGGAGGTGGGACGGACGCCAGGGGCGCCGAGGGTCGGGGGCGAAGCGAGCGCAGGCAGTGGCGGGGTCCTTAGAAAAGGGGCTGGTCCGCACAGGAATCGCTTTTAGACCGAAAGTGAGGATGCAGCAGTCACCGGCGCCGGCTCCAGCAAGCCCTGGCTGCTGAGTGCTCTCCTGGCCGGCCGGCCGCCGTGCTGCCCCGCGGCCGCTCTCTGGGCCGGCTCCCCTGCGCCTGTCACCCTCGCCTCACCCCAGCCTCCGTTCCGTAGCTGCCACAGAGCTGTGAGCCCTGTGTAGCCTGCGCTGAAAGACCAACATCCAAGGCCTCGTCTGTCCACGTAGTTTCTGGGGCTGAGCCCTAAGTTCCGAGCCGCCTGGGGAAGCCCGCGTCCTCAGGCTCGGGACAGAGGCGCCCCTTTGTGTCCTGGCCATGTCCTGGAAAGTAGACCCAGAGTCACACTGAAGCCTTTGTAGGCCTGGGCATGAGGGACGGATAGGGCAGCCCGGGTAATGGGAGGTGGAGGATGGAGCCGCCTGCTCACACCTATAATTTATTCCCTTCCAAACCCAGGTGGAGCAGCCCCGTTACACTAAAGATGAAAGGCTGGGGTTGGCTGGCCCTGCTTCTGGGGCCTCTGCTGGGAACTGCCTGGGCTCGGAGGAGCCAGGATCTACACTGTGGAGGTAAAGGCACAAAGAGAAGTGGGAAGAAGTGGGGGAGGGCAGTGGAGACAGCCTGGGGAGGGCATCAGAGCCATGGCCCATGAGAATAAAGAATGGCAGTCCCTGGGTCCATTCCTTTCCCTCCCTCCTCCCCCACCGTTTCTCTCCTCTTGCACCAGCTTGCAGGGCTCTGGTGGATGAACTAGAGTGGGAAATTGCCCAGGTGGATCCCAAGAAGACCATTCAGATGGGATCTTTTCGCATCAATCCAGATGGCAGCCAATCAGTGGTGGAGGTAACTTACTAAACTCAAGTAACTAAGAAGGATCTTGGTTTAATAGCAATTAGGAAAACATTAGTAAACAAAGGAGAAATTTAAAAAACATGACCCAAAGAGTTCTTTAAGATTGGGCTGTCTCATATGGAAGAGGCTGGAGGCTTATACCCTGTGCACTTGCTTCCTGACTCCAAACCTCCTGAATACTTTGTTTCTGCTATGGAAATTCTTAGCAGATAGGGAACCCCCTTCAACCCCCTTCTCCACATCCTAATACCATATGACTCATGTTTTCATTCTGGCAATGTGGTATACATACAAACATGGGGGAGGGGTGTGTAACACACAAATATACAAAGCTGTACCTAGTGAGCAATACATTAAGAAACATTGAGGTTATGCTGCCTGTGAAATGCTTTACTAGTTGCTTTCCTGGAACCTGTACTACCTCCCTAATGCTCACCTATTGAGGGCTGGTATTAGTCTCATTTTAGTACAAAGAAGTTAAATTACCTTATATCATTAAGAATTAAGGGAGGGGGGCCTTCCTGGTGGCGCAGCGGTTGATCATTGGGTTACGAAGCTGCCCGCAGCCTCTGCAGCGCAGGTTCGATCCCCGGCTGCCAGGTGAGGGTCCCACATGGCGCACAGACCTCTCCTGCCGCCCGCCGCTCCCCTCAGCAGTGTACTTCGTCACTCTGCCTGTTCTGCTCTACCCTCTGGCTCTGGTGAATTCTCTCACCCTCCTGCGCTTCTGACTGGACCCAGTGCTGGTATAAATAAATAAATCTTTAAAAAATAAAATAATAATAAATAAATAAATAAAGCAGTGGTTCCTATATTAAAAAAAAAAAGGAATTAAGGGAGGGCCTCCCCCAGTGGCGCAGTGGGTTGAGCACCGCACTGTGAAGCTGTCCGCAGCCTCTGCAGTGTGGGTTCAATTCCAGCTGGCCAGGGAGCTACCCACATGGTGTGGCAGACCTCTCCTGTCTCGCCTGCTGCTCCCCTCAGCAGTGTCTTTGGTCCATCTGCCTGTTCTGCTCCCCGCTCTGTCTCTGGTGAATTCTCTCACCTTCCCGCACCTCTGACCTGTACCCCAGTTGCCGTATAAATAAAATCTTAAAAAAAAAAAAAGAATTAAGGGACCTCAAAGGAAAAGAACATATAGTTGCTAGGATTAATCAAAGAGGTCTCTATAATTTGCACACCTGTTTTAGTTCTTAGGCTTGTATAATGAGATCATATTTGTAACTATACAAATAAATGGATTGTTTTAATTAGGGAAGGCTTTATAAAATAGGTTGATTGAGCTAGATTTTGAAGAAAAAGTAAGGCTATAAAATTACTAATGTACAGAAGTAGAAGAATGTGACCCAAGGCTGAGGACATTTCTAGGTGCCTTATGCTCGCTCAGAGGCCCACCTCACAGAGCTGCTAGAAGAAGTATGTGACCGGATGAAGGAGTATGGGGAACAGATCGATCCTTCTACCCACCGCAAGAACTACGTTCGCGTAGTAGGCCGGAGTGGAGAATCCAATGAACTGGACCTACAGGGCATCCGAATTGATTCAGATATCAGTGGCACACTCAAATTTGCGGTGAGTTATGGGAGTGAGTACTAGTTCGTGGAGATTTGAGAAGTTTTTGGAGCATCCAAGTGGAAAATAGGGTTAACATCCTTGTCCTCTCTGGAGGTGGAAGCAAGAAGCCTCTTCTTGCTGCTGCCTGTCATTTGTGTCTTTGGGTTGACAGTGTGAGAGCATTGTGGAGGAATATGAGGATGAACTCATTGAATTCTTTTCTCGAGAGGCTGACAATGTCAAAGACAAACTTTGTAGTAAGCGAACAGGTAAGCTCCTCCCACTTCACCTCCTGTCCTCACAGTCCTGTTAAACATGGCACGCTCCCTAGTGTCCCTCCTCCTCCAACCTTTGCTCTGCGCTCAAGAGCTGATTTCCACTACCCATGGCTTAGGGACATGGGCTCGTCTTCATTCTCTGCTTGTCAGCTTTCAGAATTTGTGGCTCCCTCACCTGAGATACATGTGAAAGGGGGTGGGAATGTTTTGTCATTTAAAAGCCTATGGAAAAATGGAGGTTGGTTTATGTGCCAGTTTGGTTTTGGGCGTTGTCTTGAAGAGGCATATATCATATGAGAATGGTATTTTCCTTCAAATTGTTATGTACTGTTTGCAGATCTGTGTGACCATGCCCTGCACATATCTCATGATGAGCTATGAACCACTGGAGCCCCCCCAGACTGACAGACATGATGGATCACCCCCAGGAGGGGAAGAGGGTGGCAATGCCTTTTATATTATGTTTTTACTGAAATGAACTGAAAAAAAATGGAACCAAAAGTACAAACTGTGTTGTCATTTCATGCCCAGAATTACTCTCACATTAGGCTTGAAGATATGGGATTCCAGATGGAAAAGAAAAGGGAAGGGAAGGGAAGGGTTGGGATTGGTTAGCAAAACTGGAGGAGCCTGCAGCTTTTACTCTCCTACCACTTGAGAGTCCAGCTGCACTGACAACTCCATCAGCATTTATTCAGTGCCTGTTCACTGCCACGTGTTTAGTGTCTTACCTGGAAAAAGGAGGAGCCTTTATAAATAAGGGAGTATAAGTAAGTATATGCTAGTATGGAATTCTAGAAACTACCTGTATTCACACAGATGAAACATAAAGTAAGACAGATTTGGTCTTAAAGGAAGTAACAGACACGCATTATTCTGCCCTCCCTACCCTTTCAGATGGAGGGATCAGAAGAACAGACAAGAAGGGGAAAATGGATATGGTAATTCCGCTGGAAAATAAGGGTTTTATCAGATAGGGAGAGACGAGGTAAGGAAAGTTATTTACTGAAAGGCTATGAAACTTTTGGTGGCTGAAACTTTTGGATCTGATGCTAATAACAACACTGGTGGCATTTACCTGAGTCTGCTCAGTGACCTAGGTCCACAGTTTATCAGAGTTGACAGTTGGGCAGAAGCTTTGATTTTTCTTTGAGTGGTAATGCCTCACACCAACTTTCCCGAAGTCACAGGGTAATATTTGTCCAAGTTGATCCTGTGATGCCACATGCCACCAGTGTTACCACGGCCCCCTGAATGTAACCAGTGCTCACTAATGCGACTGTGCCTGTGGCTCAAGTGGCCCAGAAGTTTCCAGGTCCTCCTCAGTCTGGGTGGCTAGTTGGCGGCCCAGACAAAAGAGCACCTGAACCTTTCTGGATGCTCCCTATAACAAATGATTCTAGCCTGTTTTTTTTTTTTTTAAGATTGATTTATTTATGCACAAGAACTGGGGTACAGGCCAGAGGTGGGGGGTGGTGAGAGGATTCACCAGAGACAGAGTGGGGAACAGAAGAGGCAGATCTACTGAAATACACTGCTGAGAAGAGCAGTGGGCGAGACAGGAGAGGTCTGCTGTGCCATGTAGGTTGCTCCCTGGCCAGCTGGGGATCGAATTTGTGCTGCAGAGGCTGCAGACAGCTTTACAGTGCTGTGCTTAGCCCCAGGGAGGCCTTCTAGCCTGGTTTTTTATAGAATATATATTTAACCATGCATATGTGATTACACCTTAGCTTTAGGTGCCTTCAAACTGAGTTTGTCAGTAAAATGTTAGGACTTCAAATAAATATTCCCCAAAACAATGTTTAGCTTGGCCCAGATGTGACTAGGAAATTTTATTATGTGAAAATTTAGTCCTTTCCCCCCCAAAGATTGATTTATATTTGCATAGAAGAACTGGGGTATAAGCTAGCGGTGTGGGGGTGGCGGTAAAAGGACTCACCAGAGACAGAGTGGGGAGCAGAACAGGCAGACCTACTGAAACACTGCTGAGGGGATCAAGAGAGGTCTGCTGCACCATGTGAGCTGGCTCCCTGGCTGGGGAACAAACCCATGCCTTAGTGGCTGGCAATAGTTTGATAGCGCTGAGACTTCAACCCCTGCTCCACCAAGGAGGCCCCCTACTGGTTATTTTAGGTGATATAAATGTCTTTCCTATTTTTGTGCATTCTGGGACAGTCACCATTTATCATGTATTTTATATATAGTTGCACAAAAGTTTTACAGATAAGACTATAATTCTTTATCTTTTAAAATATCTTTAGATATAAGGATTGCACATTGAATGGATGTGCCCAAGACACAATTAACAATGTCTCAAAAATTCCCTTCCTGAGTTGCAACTGATTAGTCATAGTCATCACCCCCTATAAACAATACAGCTTAGTAGTTAAGGTACTAAGAGTGAGGCTAATCTACGTCCCAATTCTAGCAATGCCATTTATAGGTAATGGCCCTAAGCAGGATATGTTATCTAAATCTTGGTTTCCTCCTCTGTAGATATTATGAACCACATCCCTTAGAGTTGTGATGATTGATTAAGATAATATATCACCACATTTAGATAATCTGGTAATTAGTAAGTGTTCAATAAATTTTAGCTATTACCCATTAAATACAGATGTTTGGTTTACTGATGTAGGCATTTAAGAGTTTTGAGTTTAGGCTGCATTCTTCTACTTATCTCTAGCCACCAGGGGGCACCATTGCCTTTGTCCATTTAAAAGAGATCCTCCCAAGGTCAAGACGACCTCAGTGTTCATTCAACTCTCTTTCCTTTTGCCCCCTCCTGTTCCCAGGCACTTCGTTGTGTTTATTTTTTTTTTATTTTTTTTTTTTTTAATTTTCTAGAGGCATGTCTTATTTATCTATTTGTTTGTTTGTTTGGTTTATACATGCACTGGGTACAGTCAGAAGCGCGGGAGGGTGAGAGAATTCACCAGAGCCAGAGTGGGGAGCAGAGCAGGCAGAAGGACCGAAGTACACTGCTGAGGGGAGCAGCGGGCGGCAGGAGAGGTCTGCACGCCATGTGGGACCCTCCTCCGGTGGCCGGGGAGCAGCCGGGGATCGAACCGGCGCCGCAGAGGCCGCGGGCAGCTTCGCAACCCAGCGCTCAACCGCTGCGCCACCTGGGAGGCCCACTTCGTTGTGTTTAGACCTAGAGTTTATCTGGAGAATGTAAACTGCTTTACTCAGTGGCTTTATCTTCTCCCGTAACTTTCTTCCTGCCTCCCCAGATCCCACCTTTTATTTTTTTTAAAGATTTATTTATTTATGGGCCTCCCCTGGTGGCGCAGTGGTTGAGTGCTGGGCCATAAAGCTGCCCACAGCCTCTGCAGCGCTGGTTAGATCCCTGGCCACCGGCGAGGGTCTCACATGGTGCCGCAGACCTCTCCTGCTGTGCCCGCCACTCCCCTCAGCAGTGTATTTCGTCAGTCGGCCTGTTCTGCTCCCTGCTCTGGCTCTGGTGAATTCTCTCACCCTCCCGCACTTCTGACTGTACCCAGGGCTTGTATAAATAAATAAATAAATAATTCTTAAAAAAAAAAAAAAGATGTATTTATTTATGCATATGAAAGCTGGGGTGTAGGCCAGAGGTACAGGGGGTGGGGGTGGGAGGTGGGGTAAAAGGATCCAGAGATAGAGTGGAGAGCAGAACAGGCAGACTGACAGAAACACACTGCTGAGGGGAACAGGGGTCAAAGTCTACGGGTGGGATCAAACACTTGCTTCACTGGCTGCCTATAGCTTCACACTTGCTAAGACTTAACCCCTTGTGTGACCAAGAAGCCCTTCCACACACACTTTTAGGAAGAGTCTCTAAGCCAGCTCCTGGGATATACCATTTAGTCCCTTTGAAGCCTGGGCTTTCCCATTGGCCTTACACTAATGGAGATCAGAACTGAAAACTTCAAAAGAAGCCCATAAAGTCCTCATGACATTAGGCTGTAAGACATTGTGTCAAAGGGCTTAGAGTACTATCCCCTACCCTCCGTCCAATCCACAACAGGTTACCCTTCCATCTACTCAAAAATTATCCCAGGGGTAGCCTCACCCTGAGAATGCCTCTGTTCTCGTGGGGCACCAGAGTTCAGTCTTCTGGTCTGCCCGCTAGCCTCTGTGGATAATTAACCAGAGAGAAGAAATCAGGTCAAACTATTCTAGGGTTATGAGGAAATCCTCTGTGAGGTGCTAAATTGGGACTAAATATTGATCAATGGAACTTTGAAGTCACCGCGGGGGCAACTGAAGTCAGTGTTCCTCTGGGGCTTGGTTTGGCTTCTCTTTCTGAAGTTCCGTCCTAAGACCTACCTAACTGTCTCTCAAGCCAGAGGAGCAGTGGTTGATAGGCATGAAGCTGGGTATGAGAAAATTTGGGGAGAGAAAATTATGATTTTTTTCTCCCAAGTCTAAGCTATCAACTAGGTTAATAAACTAAGCCTCACCAGACCTGGCTTAGGTGGCAATGAGCCTTCTGAACCTTGTTACTACTATGTGAGGAGATCAAAGGACCTGGGGCTTGGGATTATATGGATAAGGTGCCCTGGTCCCTGAATCATTCTCTGTCCTTGGGTCAATGACACAGTGGGGTTAGGGAGGCAGCAAGGTGCTGAGGGCTAGTCTCCTCAGAGGAGTGAGTCAGGTGTGATGTGGAAGCTCATTTTAGAGCCATAGTTCATTTCTTGTTCTCCGGGGAGCCCAGGGTAAGAGTATAAAAAAGGTAGCCAAGTAGGAGAAGGGGCCCTGAGGCCCTCTGAGAGACACTGGAGTAATGTGACAAAAGGGAGGGTGCCAATGCCTGGTTTGGGTGGAGGGAGTTGGTCTTCGGGTGATCTTAGGCTGCCTAGAAGTGGGATGGGCTGGCTATAGGGGTTGTGCTGGCTATGGGGGTTGTGCGACTAGAGTGGCTGCGAGACTAGTGCTGCGGCTCTGACCTGCACTGGAGCCTCCATGTGAAGGGGGTGTTTGTAATTCTCGGGTTTCTGGCACTAGACACAGAACAACCCACAAAAAGGGATGCCTCACCAGGCTTCTGCTTGGGCTTTCTCCCTCCACATATTGGGATCTACTCGTATCCATAACACTGGCTTCTGTGGAGGTCCCACCAACCAGCTCACTGACATCCCTGCTGGTGTGGACATACTATCACCTCTCCAAGCAGTAAGTCATTGAGCAAAGACATTCTCCAAGAGAGCACGCCAAGGGGGCAGCCGAGCGGGCAGGGCTCAGAGGCCATGACTGAACAGTGAGGCGTCGGCTCCCCAAGCCCGTTAAAGGTCGAAGCCCTCGGGCTTTTTCCTCAGATACCTCAGAACCAACCTCAAACGCGCTCAGGGCGAGGGGAGAGGACCGAGGAGGAAGTTAAGTGAGTTCTCAGGCACATACTCAGCCACCTACACGCCGCCTCCTCCCCCCGCAGCCCTAATTAGCCTAATCCGGGCGGTCCAATCCCCCCCGCCGCCCGCGCTGTCAACGGCTCAGGTCCCGCCCCCGCGGCGCGCCGCACCAATCAGCGAGCCCGCGGCGAATCCCCTGAGCGGGGCGGGCTCCGGGCGGGGGGCGGGGCCTCGCTGAGGACCTCGCCTGGGCGCCGCCGCCGGTTCGTCTCCGCTTTCCCTCAGCCGCCTCCTTTCAACCTTGTCCGCCCGTCGGTGCGGCCTCCGGTCCCGCGGCGGCGGCTCCCCGTTCCTGCCGCAGCTCTCTCCCCTTCTCCCTCCCCAGCAGGTCCCCGAGTTCGCCCGCCATGGCTTTACTCACCGCGGCCGCTCGGCTCCTCGGGGCCAAGGTGAGCAGCTCCGCGCGGGAGCGAGCCGTCCGGGGTGGGGCTGCGGCGCCGCGGGCCTCCGGCGCCGGGGTCACCTCCCCCCCGCGCGCCTTAAAGGGGCCCCGCGGGGCGGCCGCGGCCCATGTGCGACTCCGGCCTTCCGGCGCCGGCGGGTGAGCGTGGAGGGGGCGCTGCCCGCCCCCGTCTTGCGGGGGAGGCCGGACCCCACTTCACGCCACGTGTCTGGGTGGAGGGGAGTGGGGAGCGGGTGGCCCCGAGCCATAAAAAAAAAAAAAAAAGAAAGAAAAGGCCCGCCAGTGGATACCATGTGTTCCCCCGAGTTCGGGACAGCGCCTGTCCGGGGCGGGGGTGAGAGGAGGGGCCGGGCGAGCGGCTGTGCTCGCGCGTCCTCCGGCCGGGGCTGCAGCCGCGTCGATGTCGGCTTCTGCTCCTAGCCCGGGCCTTGTCAGCGCAGAACCGCCCGGTTCCATTTCTCGAGCCCGGTTAATGCCCCGCGGGGAGCGCGCCCGGAGCAGTCCTGCGGAGGAGCGGGGCTCACGCTGGCCTCGGGACGCTTGCACTTTTTACATAGGAGGCTTTGGGTGGGGCGGGGCGCTGCTGTGAGACCTTCTGCATAGTTGTCATGTACGAGTGGAGAAAGCACCAAAAAGATCATTTCTCTCAAACTGCGGGCCGATAAATGAAGATACTGGGCAGGAGAGAGTAAGGCCAAGGTCACGTGACTGCTGTTTCACCCAGTTTTGCTGTTAAATCTACCCAGAGGGCCTCCCCTCATTCTTTGGGGACTTTACTTCACTTTTACTGCCTTCTGGATCATAGGAATCTTGTTGCAGGTGATGGTGTTTTCAATTTCAGATTGCCAAGACTTTTTCTCTGGATAATATAGCCTTTTAAACAGAGGAATTGCTGTCCTGAGGGAGTCCTAGCCCTCTCATTCAAGGAAGGACAGTCCCATAAGTGACCTTGACTCCTGCAAAGAATTTATATTTTCTCTTCTGCAGACAGATTGAAGTTGCAGGCACTTAGGGAAAGGAAAGTATAGGGATGGTTTTGGCTGGCTGTGGGTGCGCTTGCGTGGTTGGCAGCTAAGGTGAACCCTGTACGATTTATATTGGGGTTCTTCCAGACACCCAGCAGCAAGGTGGAGGCTGTTCATTGGGGAGATACTTGTCTTACTTTACTGTTGCTTCTGCTGCCAGGGAACAGGGTAAGGAAGCCTCTTGGGAAATGAAGTAAGTTCTAGATAGTGTTTTTGGCAGAATAGGGGACACTATAATTAGTTCATTCCAGAACTGCTAACCATGACCAGATGTCTAACCCTACAATAGTTTGAAAGAGTCTTTACAACTTACCTTTTGAATTTATTTTGTTTCTTAAGCCTTTGGATGAGTTCAGAAAACTTTTGGGATGACAAGCTATTTAATTGTAGTCTTGTTGCTGTTTCACTTACTTTCCTGTCAGAGAGGGACCGAGGATCCCAGAAACCTATATGTTGGAAGCCATTAGAAGACTTTTGACCCTTAAATCTAGCAAAGGCCAATCAACTCAGGAATGGAAATTTCCAAGAAGCCTTTCAGTTTGCCATTATTGTTATCACCTGCTTGAGCTTTCTTTCTTTCTTTCTTTTTTTAAATTGATTTATTTATGCATACAAGAGCTGGGGTGCAGGCCAGAGATGGGGGTGGGGTGAGAGGATTCACCAGAGACAGAGTGGGGAGCAGAACAGGCAGATTGACTGAAACACACAGCTGAGGGGAGCAGCAGGTGAGACAAGAAAGGTCTGCTGCGCCCTATGGGTAGCTCCCTGGCCTGGGGTTGAACTTGTGCTATAGTATCTGAGAATAGCTTCACAGTGCTGAGACCCAACTCCCTGCACCACCAGGGAAGCCCCTTAATTAGTACTTAGTTTTATTTTTGCAGTTAAGGTAGAAGGACAAAAAGAATCTTCTGTCCTGGAAGGACTGACCCTTATCATTTTGATCCTCAAGGTCAGAAGTAGTTTCACTTTTTGAGGGGAGAATTCTTTTTAACCTTGGTAGGAAAAACAAATGTCATTGTTCTCTTGTTCCACCATACCTAGGTATTTAAAGGAACACCTGAATTGGAAGGAAACTAATTCAGAGCTTGTTTTAAAATTGTTTGATTTCGGAGCCTCCCTGGTGGCGCAAGGGGTTAAGTCTCAGCACTATGAAGCTGTCCGCAGCCTCTCTAGCGTGGGTTTGATTCCCGGCTGGCCAGGGAGATACCCACATGGTGCAGCAGACCTCTCCTGCCTTACCCACTGCTCTCCTCAGCAGTGTATTTCAGTAGGTCTGCCTGTGCTGCTCCCCACTCTGTCTCTGGTGAAACCTCTCTCTACCACCCCATACCCCTGGCCTGCACCCCAGCTCTTGTATGCATAAATAAATCTTAACAAAAAATAAAATAAAATTGTTTGATTTCTTGTTTATCCAAATGAATTTATATTAAGCAATGGTTTTAGTATTAGCTGTGGGTACCTTAGCTTTGCAATGTAAATTTTGTCTTTTCTGGGCTTGGCTCTGGGCTGAGAATTGGAATAGGACCAGTTCATTTCTAGACTCTTCATGCCAACCTGACTTAAGCAGCCCTAGTTAGAGTTATTTCTTATACCACTGAGAATTACTTGTCTAAGCAGGCAGGATGTTTAGTAACTTTGAGCAAGTCAATCCAAAAGTGTTTGTAGAATTTTTTTTTTTAAGATTTATTTATCTATAGAAGAACTGGGGTACAGGCCAGAGGCATGGGAGGGTGAGAGAATTCACCAGAGACAGCGGGAAGCAGAACAGGCAGACTGACTGAAATCTGCTGAGGGGAGCAGCGGGGAGACAGGAGAGGTCTGCTGCGCCATGCGGGTATCCCCCTGGCTGGCCGGGAATCAAACCCATGCTGCAGAGGCTGTGGACAGCTTCACAGCGCTGCGCTCAACATGCCTCACCGGGGAGGCCCTGATTTTAGATTATTTTTAGAGTTTTTCAAGATAGTTAATACTCATAATTCTATTACAGCAGTCCTACAAATTGTCCATTTTGTTTGGTGGAATGTTAGGCTTAAAGCCCAAAACTTTTAAAGACAAGCACTCAAATTTCTGAGCCTTTGTTTTGATTATCAGCCTACCCAAAATAATGGCAATTCCTTGACACTTACTAGAGGGACCAGAAATGAAAAATGAAGGGTAAAGCATCATGTGCTAGTGGTGGAACAACTGTATTTGATCTTCCTAGTGACCTTTACAGTGTTAGAAGGTGACTGCATGGGAGTGGGGAAGCAGGGCACACAATATGGTGAGGAGACATGAGGGCGATAACTAGATAGGAAAGCTGGCATTTGTGGTTTTTAGAATCCAGGTGAGCAGCAAGCAGGATACCATACTTTGTGGATTTCCAGAGCACACAGTAATTCCTTCTGCCATTTTTAGTGCTTTAGTGATAGAGTTGAGTATGATGTCAAATGTAAACCAGTAGTGAGGTAACTTTAGCAGTACATTTTTCTTATGATCCTCTTCAATTCTTCCCTCAAATTTCTTAGGTCCTTGTATTTCTTTTTAACATGCTGTCATTCTTCAAGGTCTCTAAGTTCAGTGTGCTTTATCACCTGGATGCTTTTTAACATCACCCATTCGTGAATCCTGCCTTAGAATTCTGATTCAGTAAAGGTGGAATGGAATCTGGAAACCTGAACTTTGTCAGGTCCCTCAGTTGACAGACCATGCTTGATGTTGTCTTTCTGATGGGCCAGTCAAACCACATACAGACCTTTTAGTTTGCAAGTTTATTGAATATGTGTATGAAACCTTGAGCATTTTCAATTTAGTGATTATTTTAAAAATTGGCTTCATAAGTGACTATTCTAAACAACAGTCTGTTTTAGACTATTTTCCATAGTTTTGTATTCATGGTCTTTTTTCCCCAAATGCATTAGAAAAAGATTTCTGAATCCTTGAGCAAAACATTACAAGAGCCTCCCTGGTATCACAAGCAGTTAAGTCTCGGCACTGTGAAGCTATACGCAGCCACTACATCACGAGTTCGATCCCCAGCCAGGGAGCTGATCTATATGGTGCAGCAGACCTCTCCTGTCTCGCCTGCTGCTCCCCTCAGCAGTGTATTTCAGTAGATCCACCTGTTCTGCTCCCCACTCTGTCTCTGGTGAGTCCTCTCCCCCCTCCCACAGCTCTGGCCTATACCCCAGTTCTTGGATGCATAAATAAAATCTTTCAAAAAAAAAATTAGGAGCTAAAACATAAAGATAACTAGTAGGGGTAAGGGAACAGTTTCCACTTCCTGAGAAAGTCATAAGGGGACAGTCAGATTCTGTATACTTTATCAATTACTATATACTCAGTGTATGCATTAATTGTTACCAAATATTTGTTAAAGAATGGAAAGAATTTCTACTGAAAGGAAAATCAGGACTCTTAATTCTTTTCTGGAGCTGAATTGGTGCCTTTTTTGTCTTCCTTGTTGAATGATCAGTGAACCTTTAGGGAAGTGCCTGTTGGAAAATGGCAGGTAGAATTATTATTATTATTATTTTTGGCCCTCCCTGGTGGCACAAGGAGTTAAGACACAATCTGTGAAGCTATTCGCAGCCACTGGAGCATGAGTTCAATCCCCGGGCAGGGAGCTACCCACATGGTGCAGCAGTCCTCTCTTGACTCGCCCGCTGCTCCCCTAAGCAGTGTATTTCAGTCAGTCTGCCTGTTCGGTTCCCCACTCTGTCTCTGGTGAATCCTCCCACCGCCTCCGCCCCACCTCTGACCTACACCCCAGTGGCTGGTGATAGCTTGATAGTGCTGAGACTTTAACCCCTGCACCACCAGGGAGGCCCCAACAGGTAGAATTATTAAAGAAATTGCCCCAAGTACAAAGGGGGTCAGAGAATGATATCTGAATATTACTCTGGTCAGGCTATTAAGTGGCCTGACCCAGTACAGTGCTGGCCAATTTCCACGATTATCATTGTGAAATGCACATGTTAAG